GCTTTATATACAGGATGTCTCAGAATAACCGCATGCGGAGTAAACAAGTAGATTCTTGGTACCAAACAAAAAAACTTTTTGTTTATCAAAATTTCGTTTGAATAATAGATTTCAAACGAGAGCTATTCAGTTTGCCGAAATAATACACTAGATTGCATATGAGATAGATGGATGAATATAGACTAAAATATGAAACTAAAATTGTAGAAAACTGTAGACCGTAGGAAAATCCTTACCCCTCCCCACTATCGATTAAACTTACATAAGTGTTTTTCACATCGTACAAAATTTGGCTTATTCGGGAACAAACTTCATTTTTTTTTACTCTCTTGTGGATTCGTGGTTGTTACTAAATCAGATTTCACATACAATACGCGGTTTAGATTTTACGATAGAGATAACGAGAGAAGAGTACTTTTTAAATATTTCAACACGTACCATTACCGTACTACGTTTAATGGAACTGTATCTGCGCACGAAGCCTTGTAAACACGTTGGCCAGTTGGTGAATCAATACGCAGGCGCCATTTATTGCCGATGCAAAATCGTTATGGCAGATGATATGGTTATCACAAAAGCAGTGAAATGACAGGAAAAAGTGAAGAATACCGTTGAAATTCTGCCCGTATATTATTTTAGCTTTGGAAACTTGGAAGCCTGTCCAGAACTACAAGATGAAAAATAATTTGCTAACGTAGCAAATTTTTTGCTATCGCGCAGAAAAATGTATTAGTTATTACAAAACAGGAAAACGATTTGTTAAGAATACTAATTAAATTATTTTGCTGGATCTACAAATTATTTTGCTGCAAGAACAAATTGATAAACGCAAAAAAACATTATTTTGTTCTAACATCAAATTAACGTATCCTACGGACGAATTCACTCAGCAGAACTTTTTTTATCCTGACGAGAAAATTGTTTCTGTTTCAATTACGAATAATTTATTAATTTAATTATTCAAAATAAATATTATCGCAGTCGCAATGAATATGTAGTAGCAACGATAGTTTCGCTACTAGAATAAAATTATTTTTCTCCGCGCACCGCCGCATTTTTGCTCTTTTGCGGATGGAAGACATAAAGTCTATTAATTTACAATGTCTGCGTCCCCAAGGACTCGTCGCTCTCTCAATGAGCATTGAAATGAAAACGAGTGGTATTCAAGACATTTCCGACTTTCCTTAAGTCGCGGTGTTCCATTTCAATAAAAGTTGACGTTTATTCGTCTCCGAGGAGAAGCTTCACAGTGAAGCTGGTTGGCGGCGATTTAGAAAGTACGTAAGTGGGAGTCTTCGAGGAACATATTCGTATCGCGAATTATTTCCTGATGAAGAAATACAAGAATACGACTGGTGGAATAATCTCTAATACATCGTTGTTTACGATATCACTAAGTCTAAGCAATAATTTCGATAAAAATAAAGTGAGAACAATAATAAAGGGTTCTGTTATTGTTTTCACTTTATTATTATCTTTACGTTGAAAAGAGTCTAAATTAAGAGTCGAAACGTTTGTAACTATTGACTTATAATGTAACCATTGAATTTATATTAAATCTCATAGTTTAATGTAATTTCCGTTATGTCATCGGCATTGGCTTTTACTTATCCTTATTATTGTAATTAATAAGTAATAATTGATGCCAGATTTTGAAAACTACTCTTTAAGGGAACGTAAAGTCATTAAAACAAGGATGACAAATAATATCGTAGATCTTCCAAGAGGTAAAAGAATTTTTTGCATGCAACGTTTCGCGCGAACGTTGCCTTTTTACTCGCACTGAGTGAAAAGTATCTAAACTTGAGAAGAATCGAATGACATTTTTTCGGTATGCTCGCATTGAATTCTAGCGGAATCCTTCTGTCGCGGGTATCTTTATCGATTCGTAAGAATCCCGATATATTCGACACTCCGCAACCGGTGTTGCTCTTTCCAAACCGATCCTAATGTCAGCTTTAACAGTACGGCCGACACGACACACAAGAGAAAAATAACGGGCCGATACAGAAGAGACAAAAGAAAGTTCCAAGGGGATCGTTCGCGGTGATCGTTCTAACGGTAACGGCATGATCATCAAAATACAGAAGTCCATTCTAAGACACCCGAGAGGACGATGTAGTCCTGTCATAGAGCATGCAGAAATGTTACGAGAATGATCCCGGATACGGCTATATTAACGTCCGTTGCATTGCTACGCGCTAAGTGCACCGTAATTTCTGTCAAATATTAGCGAAGCGGCAATATTAGTAATTGCCCAATTTGAACCTCGATATCGCAAATACAGGAAAATGTATTAAACGATGCGCACTTTATGCGTAAATTATTCTCGCTTATTCGTAAAAAGTAATCTATAAAATAGGAAATTTCGTGTGATTACAATTAGTGTGATTATAATTGGGGCGAAATTTGAACGATTTAACGATAAAGAGTGAACGTTCGGAAAGAATGAATATATAGTCTGAACGTTATTAAGACGACTTCCGCAAAGGAATCGTTTAAAAACTATTAATTGGCTTCGTCTAATTATCGCAGACTTCCTCCTGGATGAGTGACGGAGATTGATTCGGTGCCGAATGAGCCTCGCTTCACTGAGAATTCCGAACGAGACGAAGATAAATTTGCGCGTCCATGAACGGATTATGATGAAGGGCAATATTCTTGTACTGTCGTGTCACATTTCGAAAGATATGTAGAATCGTCGATTTTAAAACAAAATAAATAAAGAAAGTACAAATGATAAACAACAAATCTCAATAACTTTGTTTTAAAATTAATGAAAATTTTGCCATGATATGTAACAGCGTAACACAATGCAAGAGAAAATTACATTCTTTAGGACAATAAATGCTATTTAGAAAGAAACTTTCCATATGGAAAAATCCAATAATTGAATATACGTACTTTCTAGTTCGTGAAGTTTCGAATATTCAAATATTTGGATATTCGAATGTTCGAATTTTCAACCTTCAAAATTTCATTACTCAAATATAATGTGTCGAGAAGGCTCAGAAATTCGAAGCTTCAAAGCTTCGAAAAGCCGAAGCTTCGAATATAATTTCTAGCCCTAATAATTAAGTAATCAGCTTTCACAGTACAAAAAAGGGGAGAAAAAACATTCCTTTCTACGGAGGAAGCTGTTCGTATAAAAACTCAAAGCTCACAGTAGCCACCTGCTGCGAGATAGAGCCGGGAAATTGAAGTTACTGAACGAAGACCGCTTCGAGAGATTAACGGTCAGATTACTTCGAGATGGATTAGTCGTAATAAAGCTTACCGGGATGATGTAGAAAAATATATCATTTTGAGGAACGTTTCATTTTCCAGGCCCGTAAAGCAGATGAAAAGAGAAAGCTCCGTGAGCAAAGTTAATTACCGGAGTCATGAAAATAACTTTGAATATAAAGAACGGTGAATTGGCGAACTGCGTTCGCGTAAAGCTATTTTCGGACGGTCGACGAAATGCTTTCACCTGAACTGGTTTTAAATGTAGGAGTTGTGTTCTCGGAATTCTCTAATGAACGGCCATACAGGGAGAAGCGAATCAGCACGCGGTTAATTACGGTTCCGTTTTGCTCTTTTGAATATTTTTGTGAAAACGTCAGTTTTCAGCGGTGGACACTCGAGTTCGGGTTTGCGGACACAACGCGATCGAAAAAGCACTTAAGCGTTACATTCGTCGTGCACTCAGTGCTAATTGCTGGGATTTTTGTCGCTTTGGAACAATGTCTGAACAAAGAAAACAAGCGCGTTTTATCTAACAATTAATCATCCGCCCGGTAATAATGGCAGTTGGAAATACATTTCATTTCCTTTTTTCGTTGGCGCGAATGTATTTTTTCTCCCTAATTGGATTTATACGATCGAATAATGATCTCGATAAAAGACCGTAAAAGATTGCAAAGAAATGAAATATTTACAATACAGATGTCATCTTCGTAATGCAATTGAACGAAGCGTAGTTATAGGTGCGGTTAATTGATTTAATCAATTTGCATTGATTATATTTAAGTATTCTCTCCAGTAAATATTGCTTATTTTTGACGGCATGTCGACGTTTAATTTACGGGAACGTTTCTCCCGAAGTACTTCTTGATACCGCGAGCGTGGTTTTGGCCGCGGTAATTATTCGAATTTAATTAAAACTCGCGTTCGAAGTGAGCTGCGCTGTGGTGAAGTCATTAATTTAATTTAAGGGAGAATCGCGGTACCTTACCGTTGTATATATATATATATGTGTAGATATATACGACAGATACGAACGAAGTCGTTATTGCAAGTTCACGAACTCAGTTATAACTTTCGATGAATTCAGTTTCTTTAGCAGCGTTGAAATTTTCTTTTCGGATTCGGCCGCGTTACCAACTTCATCCCATTTCTGGTATGGACGCGTTTTCCCCGGGTACCCAGTCCGTTATTCAACTATATAATGTAATTCTCAGATAAAATTCTGTATTTACACCGTTATCGGCAACATAGTGAACAATTAACGAACAAGCAAAAATTTGCGTTGTCTTAAATATCGAAAAATGAAATATGTTTCATAGGAAAGTAAAATCGACGAGCGGCACGACTTTGGTTAATTTTGAACCCGCAGCTCTTCTGTCAATTTCGCAACTGCTACTTGCGGAGGGAGTGCGGGAACCTAAACATGCAAAATTAGTAAATTTCACGGATAATCAATCGAAACTCTCAGTTTTCTTATTCTTTAACTCGAATTATTTCCTCTACAGTTTCTATTTTCCCCTTAACGAACGGTCTCAATAACGGTAGCGATAATTACTGTGTTTTCTCTCTTTTCGGTACGGATGCAATATCCCGATAATACAGATTATTAATGCAACGGTTTCGAGAATAAAACCTTTCAAAGCGTTTATCAACGCTTGGATAATGCCTGGCATTAATAATTCATGATACAACAGCATTGTAGCAAGCACCGAATATAAGATAAGAATGAAGACTTTAGCGCTTAAAGAAGATATTTATTTAAATTGTTGCAGGAGCGATCTTTACCGAGGATCAAAAGGATAGTCCGTCGGAGTTAGCGTTTAAGTACGCCATCTACAAGATCAACAAGGATAAGACTCTCTTAGCGAACACAACGTTGGTTTACGACATCCAATATGTGCCTAAGGACGACTCTTTTCACACGTCCAAAAAAGGTAGGAATATAACTGATATAAACCCGGGAATAGAGGGAGGCAGGTAATTAACGTCTTATTTAGAAAGGTTTAAATCTCATCTATCTGTTATATTTGCTTTATTGATCATAATTTGTATCACTATAACTAAATTCAAGTCTCTATATCTCGGAAATATCAAGATATTTCACAAGAAGGCATAAATTCACTTTGTCTGATAAGAATTGAGTGGTTGCCCGAAGTAAGTGGTTTTAGTAAGTAACAAAACCGACAAGGCCTATCTATATGTTTCAGCGATTATCATCGTGAACGACGATATTTGTTGATAAGTTGCTATCTCTTTCTTTTCTCTCTGTAAATATTACAATACAGAAAGAAATAACTTTGCTGTTGCAGCGAAAACATCGTGTCTAGTTCATATTTGCGACAGCGATAAAATTTAGTTGGCATAACCAAATTAGCGAATAGGGAGTAACTAAGAATAAATTTTCTTAGTTTAGGACAAAATAGTGTTTTCCTACGTTTACTAATTTGTTCTTACAGCAAAATAATGTGTAGATTCAGCAAAATATTTTAGCGAATGGCAATTAATACTCTTAATAAATCGTTTTGTCGTCCATATAATAACTGATAGATTTTGCTTCGACAGCAAAAAATTTGTCATGCCAACAAATTATTTATATCCGTCAACATATTTCAAATCTACTACCAATTAAAATGATGTTATACGTGTGCATATGCATACGCATTAGAAGCTACAAACTCTGTTACACGCGATCAAAGAGATTTATGGATTTGAATCCGCAAAAAAATATCTCGCGAACGCGCCTGGTTGGAAATTTCGTAACGTTCCTTCCGATCTTCATGTTTCATGTAAAAACTGAAAGCGCTCATGCGTATGCGCATAGCATATTCTTCGTACTGCTGAATCGACTAAACCGTTCAACCAATTACGATATCTCCAAACCACGTCAATCAATCTCAAATCAATTTCTAAGTCAAACTATCGCTCAAAATGTTTAAAAATCGATAAACTAAAACATCTATCCGGCGATATTTAAATTAGACATATATATTAGAAACGATGCAAGAAGCTTTCAGATTCATATTTTTGCAAATCTTTTCGCATGTTGCATAAAAAATAACAGCTAATCTAAAAGAAATTTAAAATATGAGTAGAATAATTTTAAGTTTGCTCGAACAATATTAGTTGAATGCTTGCATTTCGATTATTCACATGACAACTTGATGGATCGAAGATGAACAAACACGTTTATCTGTAAAAGATGAGAAGTTGGACGATATCGTAGTTTGTTAATTAATTTCTCCTCTCTCGCGTGGCTTGCTTTTTCTTTTAATACTAAACACTACTGCGCTAGTGTGCGCCATCGATCACTAAATTCTTTCCAAATAAACTCACGCTATTATAAATATACATAATTTTTTTGTACGATGACTTTTTTTATCGGTAATCAATACGAGTTTAAATATTGCACGTACTATGTGATATTGCAATCATTCACGATAACCATCGAAATGAGCAACGAAACTCGCACATCGACATCTAGATAGGTAATTGGTATATTGACATTGGAAAACAAGCAACAATGAAACAACACCCCTTATTTATGATAGGATTTTCCAGTAGTTCATGTGTAGTTACAGTTACCACATAATTGAGTGAAAATAAACGAAAGACGAGGTAATAATGGCTATTTACGGCAACGGCGTAATTTGTTAAAATGTTAAATCGCTGTTCATAACTTACGTTTACGAGACACAACGCAACATGACATTTACGAGGGGATGACAGTGACTGATAACGTAGTAAACTTAATATAGCTGATTATACATAGATATATCGCAGCATCATTTATTTTGCAAGCATGCAACAGCTGCCCAATATTCAAGTCTTCTCATTATGCTTATATGTTCATCGTTCTGTGTTTAACTAAATATCAATGATTAGTGATTGGTACTCCGGCATATTTCGATTACGCCGTATCCTCTTTAAAAGATCGCGTTCCTTTTTGAATGATTGCCTCGCAACGCTCATTCATCGAGCTGTATATTGGAAGATATAAACGTGGATTTTCCCAAACGGAAAGCTCGAAAAACTGACATTTGGGAATTAAAAACACGCTATTTCGGGATAAAGATCTGAAATACGAAAGTAAATATTTTCTCCGCAGGATAACCGTTTGGGCTATTTCAAACCCCAGTATCGCGCTCGTTGGTGAATCAAATGTTGATTGATGTTATCAGAGACATATATAACAGCAAATGTTACCGAGCGCATGTAAACATATCACATGTGAACTAATAAGTCAATTGTAACCAATATATCTTTACAATAACCAAACGCAGATAGCGAATGAATTCACAGTTATCCGCGGTTTGTTGTTTGTGCAGTTTGTTTATTTGCATTTATCTCTGCCAATGTTGTGTTTGCAAGAACACTGAGGCAAATAACGGTAACAACAGCCTGGATTCGTATTTAACATTTAATATTTAACATCAAAGATGTTCAACATTAAAATACGAAATATGAATTATCGAGGAATCCATCCCCGGTAGAAATACCAGAGAGACAAATGGAAGAGCAAAAAATGAGATTTGACCGGGATTATCCTGACTTTAAGTTAATGCCGGTCAGCGATGTTTTTACAATGTATAAAAGGAAGACATACATTTTGACTGAACTGACACTGAAAATCAGACATATTTATTGAAGGAGAGACGTAACAAAAGTTTTGTATGTAATAAACTTTATGCACCTTTTGTGCGCAGCAACTGCAGTTAAAGCGATACATCTTGATTAGGATTCCAAGTGGATTTACTCCGAGGCAGAAATGAATAAACTGCCCAGTAACTGTTCAAAAAATGCAATGAAGTTTCTACCAGGGACGTAATCAGTACAATTCTGCGAGCTATGCGACGCGAGGAATACAAATTAATTTGACCTGCGTGCTGTAATTAGCAACTGGAAACGGTGATGTAATACCGTCTATGAAACCGGCTAATTAATTAACTTGATCTTTAATCCGTGATGCGATTAGAAAACCGGTTAGGGGCTGACGGGAATTTCCTGTCAGTGGAGCGCCTTTGACATGCAGGCTTAAAAGTTGGCAGGAAGCCTGGCGAAAGCAATTCAGTTAGCGCGGCCCTAGTATAGCGTGAATTACAGCGCGAGAACGTCGCACGCGACAGAGTGTAGCTTCAGATTTATGTAAAATAACACGAAACCGGATCGACTACGAGAGCCGAAACCATAACAATGTTTCTTGCCGCGGGATCGCGCGCACGATCGAGGACGCGAAAGATAAATGTCGCGCAACGGGCCCGGCCGGTTATGAAATCGCAACGGAGCCATGTCTCTTCGGAATGTGTTTTCTTACAAAATTCTACACCGTCGTGGAAATCCCAAATGTTTGGTCTGGACCGACGGTTCTCGGGCTTCCCCGTGCGACGAGCTTGCGACGAGAACGTCCTATTGCCGCGCGTCACCGTTCGTACGAAAGAACAACGCGCACATGTAACCCCCTCCCCCCCCGCATAACTCAACCAAAAAAAATTCATCGGAATAATAGGAGAATAATATACAAACGACGGATAATAAGCCGACTGTAACGTTCCGTAAACTCAGCACGGTAAACTACAAAGCCGGAGAACCGCTGGGTCCCACGACGCAGAACACGCGAATATCGCGCAGCGATTACACTCGAGCTTTAAATCATGTAACTATCCAGCCGGTATAACATTCCCTCTTTGAAACACGACAGAGATCCTTAAGCCAGTAAACCGGCGGGTTAAAAGAGGTTACGACGATGTTGAACTCTTGCTCATGCCGCGAAGTCTGAGCGGAACTTGAAGAGAAAACTTCGCACATAAAGCCCCGTGTAAAAGAAAGAGTTCATTCCGTTACCCGTGATTACCTCGGGATATTTAGCTAAAGACGACGGCGCACGCTCGCGTCGCTGTATTGCGATATTTCTTCGTTATTCCATTGGGCAAAGCGTCCGTGAATTTCCGCACGGTCGTTTACACCCTCTTAGGGCCCGCCGCCCCAAAGAGGAAAACATTCGACGGCGGCCCATAAATATGCCTATAGAACGTCATTGTGCGTAATGCGTGCGAGCCGAGGCGCTTCTTTTTTCACGGCACGTTTGAAATGATACGAGCCGCGGCTGAAGAGATTGTCCCGCTTTCGTTCCGTCGCAGTTCTCGTCGCACTAACGCGCTTCTTTCAGGCGCGCGGAGTTGAACCGTGCCGAACGGGGGAGCCGCGACTTTTCCAACTTTTCCTTCGCACTGACTCCGCACCCCCCGTGATAAATCTTCCGTGTGCCGCCGTCGCATGGGTGCTTGTATACATTCTTCAGCCCGGAATCTCGAGTAGGCGCGAGCGCGAGTTTAATGTTGCGTGCGCGCGCGAACTCGGCTGACTGTCGCGCGGCGCGCTAATACGCAGTGACGCATTCCGTCGAAAGTAATCGCGCCGTCGCGTTATCTTCGCCAAAACGTATCGGCGGCCCCGTGAATTCGTTCACGCGGAAATTTCTAGATAGATTGAAACTCTCCCAGAGGGGGAGATCGGATTTGCCCGATGAGGCGAGAGGCACGAAGCGACGTAACTCAGCCTTGATTATTTCGACGGTTAAAAGAAGCACCGGCTTGAACCCGACAAGCTAGAGTAGCTTATTGTCACAAACTTTTTATATCATATTGATTAAATAAAAAAGACGTATGAAATATTTTATAATATCATGTATATTTTAGAGATGTATGAATCACAAGCATCAACATGGTCGAATCGAATCTGAAATTTTCACTTCGAATCGAGTCTTTTTAATTCGAATGCGAATCCGAATCAGATTCTCCGTGATTTTTGTTACATGCTATAATGTTAATATGATAAAATATTTTAATTAATATTAAAAAAAAAGACCTTTTTTAAATTGGCAAAAATATCAATCATAGTCATGCCTAGTTTTGAGATAATCTCTTACCAACCATAAGAAAAATGCTGTGTCAAGTGTTTGAAAATTTATAACGGATATCAGACAGGAGTGTGCATAGTTTATAAGTTGATAGACACATACGTATGTATGTAATTATATTTTACACGATAGTAAATATGTACAGAATGTTGCATCAACATACGACTCATTACGACGGGTTGCCTGCCCAAAAGGCGCACGCGTTCAGATGTTAATTTTGGATTTGTCGTACCCTGTCGTACTTTGTACACAGTATGTTTTATGGCAACTAACCCGTATGAATTCCAGACTCAACCTTCCCCACTGTTTACTTTGTACTATCTTTGCTTTCGTGATTATATAGAAAAATAACCTCATACATCGTAGTTAAAATGGAGAGTTCTCATACTGTCGGTTTCATATCGAATGAGGGAGAGAGTGGATTTTCATTAAGTATGGCGAAACTGCATCTTGCAAAGGCTTTCAAAGAACCTAAGAGTTGGTTTATCCCTTAGAAAATTGTTACTTATACTTAGAATTTTTTATTTCCTACTCTGTTACGTCAGTTCTTTCCGGGACGTGGAACGAAACAAAGCTTCAGTGGGAAATTGAATTCGCTGCGAAACACTCGACTCGAGAAAATCCTCTATGAATTTCTGAGTGCGTCTAGTAAGGATTACGAGGTACCGCGACATATTACTGGCGGAAGGGAGCGAAGCATGTGGAAGTTAATCGATTGTCAAGGCAACTGCAGTAAGGCATAACGTTGCTGTTATATTGCGTAAAGGAATAAGCACAAGAATAAGCCGGTTTTCTTCAATAATACTTTAATAGAATTGAAGATTTTATAAATTGAAAATAAATATAAATACACACATGCATCATTACTTCCCTTTGAGTTCAGATGAACGCTCAATGTTGCTTTAAGGTAGTTTTATCGTAGAGTACCGGATTTCCAGCAGCGATATTAAAAAGTTCTTACTTAAGTTTATTATTTATTGAAAGAAAAACTTTTCCATAACTTTATTTAAATATTTAATTAATAACCAGTAACTAATAATTAATTAACTTTCTAAATAATAAACGTTAATTTTTAGCGAAATTAAAAGAAATATATACGCAATATTATAAATACGAAGATATTATTTATTTTTTATTTTTCTGCCATTACAAAAAATTGCTCGAAAAATTAATGAAAGGATTAATAAATAAACGAAGCTTATCGACGATATACATATTCCTTATATATCATTTTTATATATCATGTAAAATTATATTTCGAAGGAACGAGAGACATCATGTTTTGACATTTCTCAATATATCTGATTTGAAATTGTTAAGAAGAGAGTGAAACGCGTCATCGTCAAAACAGGTTAATAAGTGAAAAGTTTTAAAATAGAGATTCATACCCCTTGCTACGTCGGGAAGAGTTTATTTTTCCTCAACGTCGCGGACACACCCGCGCAAATTTCGTTTCAAGTTTCCTCGTTGTAAGGGAGAAAGAAAGTTACTCGGCGATAGGAAGCACGCCGGTCTTTATTAATTTTCCGTCACGCCAAAAAATATCGTTGCGTGTCCGGTGTTATGGAGACTTCTTGTGGAAATTTCGCTTCAAGTTGTGTGGTAGGTGTAGTTTTGCTCGGGTCATCGCGAAAGTGGAAAACAAAGGGAGATAGAGAAATCGGAAGAGAACTAAACCAGGGAAATTGATTGGATAACTTTAAAGAGCGACCCGGGCCACCGAGGCGGAACACTTTAATGGAAAGCTCCGTTTACGAAGGCTACGGCCAGAAATAGCGTGCAGCTAACCAAATGACGAAGCGATTATTTCGCCGGATTTTATTTCTCAACGTTTCCGGAGACACTCCACTCGCAGAACGCGCTCGTAATCCTAATAGACAACTCCATCCCTCCTGTCCCCTTACTCTCGAGTCCGCCCCTCACTCCTCCTAACGACTCCGGGACGGCGTTTTAAAGAGATTTACAGCTCGTCATTGCCAGCAAGCTTAATTCGCTGATAATTCAAACTGCCATATCTGCGTGAGGCAGTTTCGCGAGTACGCAAGCAAACTTGTTCGCATAACTTTTAACGATGAGTTCGACCGGACAGAAACGGCATTTTCCGCTTCGTTCTTCATTTACGTTATATCGGTGAGCGCGATAAACGTATAACGATCACTAAACGCGGGCATTTTTGAAAAGTTTTACATGTAATAAATAAAATAAAACCAAATTAGAATAATGATGCTTTCTTCCGTCAATTGCAAATAAAGCTAATCATTCAAAGTAATAATCGATTTATCAAGGGGTCTGGAGCAATTAATGGAAAGTATGTTTCCAAGATCCCCGGGGTAGACGGATACCAGCAATACCGTTACTTTAATTGCGATAATTTGCGAAATTACGGAAGCTGATCGCGTCGTGTATTACATCGAGTTCATAAAAGTCATGACGAAGCGCCGGCGCGATTCTTTGTGCGGAAACTGTCGCACTCATTACCGCAAAACGGATAAACGCCGGTTCGTTAAACGAAACTGCGATATCGTAACGAGGTAACGATTCTTATTTACTCTCGCCGAGCGGAGCGTTCGACTTAATCAACGGCGGAGCAGCGGCGGGAAATTTCGCTGCCGACGACGAAACGTGCGTCGACGAGGTGGCGTATTGTGTGTCACTCGGCGATGTATGTGTATGTATGTGTGTGTGTGTATGTGTGTGTTTACCGACGTCTTTTTGCAAACCATCCCGGTAATTTAATCGGGCGTATAGTGTGAATGAGCGTTTCAGCACGAAATAGCAACACTCTCGGTCTAAACGAGCGCACGACGAGTAATACCCTTTATTGTTGGGATGGGCGCGGGGCGCTTTGTATCCAAGGCGAACTCCGCGTAATTCACGACACTTGTATGTTTTTCGAGACGTGGCAAATGTAATGGAAACGTATTAATGGAACAATGGAAGTGACCGTGTAGCAACGTGTCTGAACAACGTTAATGTTGTGACCGCTGTATCTTTTCCACGCGAAGGGGAATAACGTGTATCTAATCAAAATCCGCTGCAGTCCACTTTCCCCGAAGTATTTCGCCGGAATTATCGGCTCGATTGCCTCGATCAAAGAAAACCGCTTCGTCCGTTTTATCCGCGCAGTCTGACGTTACTGCAACGAAAGATATATTCCGTTATTACTTTATCGTAGGAATTATTAATCGTTAAGCGAAAGTAATCGATTTCATTTGATTTTAAAAGGATGCCATAATGATGCTTGAAAATTTTTCTGGCGAAAATGCCGTTTTGTTTTGAAAATACAACGATATAAAATTCATAACTTATAGTAATACTCTAAATGTATATATCGGATTTTGATCTTTTTTGTAGACGAGAAAATGCGCGCGAGAGTGAAAGAATTAATTCGATGAAGACGCGAAAGTTAAGGGCGACACACTACGTGCGTGAAATTTACTGCGGTCGCGGGCCATGGAGACCGCCGGCGAAAACAAAGAGACGCTTGTGAATAATTCAGAATACAGCTATAAAACCCAGCCAGCGTAACCTCAGAAGGCGCGGGGTGGTACTTCCAAAATCGAACTTATCCATTCTCGTTCGGTTCCCGCCTTTGCAAGCATGCCAGATATAATTCTCCGCACTAGGGAGAAGTAGCGACGGGTTCCCCGAAAGGCTCGCTCTCCCTAAGGATAATGGATAAGAAAGCTGAGACGTTAAAGAAACCCGCAGCAGTTCTCTATCTGTCCGCTCTAGAATGGCGCAGACAGAGAGGGTAACTCATACGTCGCCCTGTTTTTCCGGCGAAATCGTTCGATCGCATCGTGCATCGATAGCCGCGCGGTGTGAATACTACGCAAATACATCGTTCCGTTCTCTCTTTCCGCATTCGGGTTTTACTCTAGCGTTGTTTTCAGCGCAGTACGCATATTTAAATTTGTGTAATAAACGGACAGAGTAACAGCCATTATAATCAATTTCATTCGTTATAATTCAGTGTGTAGTACACTGCATTCTGATCCCATCGACAACCAACGCAAAAAGCAGCTGGATAGGCTCGATACAGTTCAATGTTACACCGTTTTCAAATTTTCAAAAGCGCTCCAGAATCGAACGATAATTTATTATGCAAGATTACAGGAGAATTTCGTAATCCTTCGCTGTAATGTCTGTCATCGATTTATCGCGGCGGCGTTTGCTGATACAGAACTTTCGAGTACGCTTCATCTAGAAATATGAAATCGGTGTGTCAGAGCCAGTCGTCCTCCAATCTCCGTTTTAGCACGCCTCTCTACCCCTATTGACATCTTCCTCGCTCATCTTGTGATCCCATTATCGTATTCGTCACACTCGTTTATTTATTCTTAGTTTGACATATGAGGTACGTCGCGAAAAATCCCAAATTAACCCGCTTTATATATCATAAGAACTGAGAACGATCTCAAAATAATACTTAACGTAAATTTCTAACATATGCTCTCATTTAAATCTGGCCGACAGATCTTCATTTGGCGAAAGCTGAAACTAAATATAGATTAGTCGAACATCAAGCGCACGACATACTGTTAGCAAAATCTATATTTAATAATCTGGTAAATTTAATAATTTAGTTATGAAGTAATTTTTTTATTTTTTTCGCAACCATTTACCAGTATTGGCTCTTACTGACCTTCTCCAATTACTTGAAAAATCTATACTAAAAGATTCTTTCAGCAACTGATATATATTTCTGAAAGTGTTTAATTTTAATTGCAGCTTGTAAACAACTATCCAGATCAGTGCAAGGCATCTTCGGGCCGTCCGACCCACTTCTAGGCGCCCACATTCAAAGTATATGCGAGGCTTTAGACGTTCCTCATCTCGAAACGAGAGTCGATTTTGAGCCTACTTTCAAGGAGTTCAGTATTAACCTACATCCCGCTCAAGACCACCTTAACAAAGCGTTCAAGGATCTTATATCCTTTTTAAACTGGACCAGAGTAGCCATTATCTACGAGGAGGATCACGGTAAGTGGAGGACTGTAACCCGAATTTAAAAGGTTATCGTAAAAGCCCTTCAAAACCGTATCTACCCACTCGTGCATGTGTTTGAACGAGCTTTACGAGAATGTTTAATATCGCGAATCGTTCCCCCCCACCCTGTAATTCCAACGTAATTTCCGAGACACTACCTCGGTTCAACGTCGAAGCGACGAGCGCATCGTGAGGATATCGATCTCGGGCAATTCGTTGTAAATACTAGATCGTTGCAAGCGTCTTTTCAAGCGCGCAGTACGAATGATTTAGCGGAACTGTGCGATAGACCGCAAACGCGGGGTATGCGGACAATGCCAACGCAACAACACAGCGTCCGAAGATTTTCCAACCGCAGAACTCGTTTCGCCGCAACGGGCGAGCGTCATGTGACGCGGCAACAACGCGGAAACTGTGCCGTAGATACTTGCGGAAAAAGGGTGATCTCGTTAGCAGCGGCGCGCCGTCGACGGCGGTCATTACGCGTCGTTTCCCCTAGTCTTGTTCTTTTCCGGTTCTTTTATTTATTTCTCCCTTTTGCTTCTCTCCGCGACGACGCCGGTGATGCGCCCTCATGCAAATAGAACGTCGGGATCAGACGCCGGGGTTGAATGCCGCCGTCCGAAACGCCGGCCTGTCACACTCACCCGGAAGTAATCGCGTTTACATATGACCGTGTAAACGCGCGCGAGACCGTTCCCGCTCGCTCTGGTTTCGCTCTTTTTGCGGCCTCCTTAGCCGCTGTGATCATACACCGTCGTGGCGGTGTTCCTCTTCGCCATTTCCATTTCGCGACGGGCTGGCACCAACCGCGACTAATCGAAATTCCGGCGCGGCGTTGATGTGTAAAACCCGCAGTCGCCGGCCATTTCCATTCTTTCCGAATCGCATTAGTATATTTAAACCACCTGCATCCGGAGAGAATGTATGAATCCTACAGGCCTCTCCTCATATCCGGAAAGAAGCGTTTGCATTTATTTACCTTGCTCGATGGAAAAGGTGAGCGGCACCCTCACCTATCGTGGGAGAATGGCTACTTACAGCATCGATCGGCTAAAACATGGAGATTAGCAATGGCGATTCTCAGCATCTGATGTGGATCCGCGATATTGCTTGGTATACATGTGTCCCGTGCCGAGAATGTTGCTACATTGTGTCTATTACTTCAGCGTTTCAGGGTTTAACGACCGGGTATCGAGAAACTCTACCATATACATTTACGAAACGGTTTCTTCTCCGCATGGTTACCACGAGGGAAGTATCCAACCTTATCTTGCCTAAATTGCCGCTCTTGATTGGACGATGTAACGCGGCGTATAACAGGAGCACACAATAGACCCGTCGCCGTTAGCGATAAAACGAGAGGAAACGGAACGCGTCTTTTCTGCAAGTTCCCGATGTCTATAACTCGCCATAAATGTACGATGTGCGGGGTGAGAGGTTTCAAAATTCCTCATCGTAGAAGCGCGTGCTCCGAAAGTGCTTCGACCATAGCATGCTCGGGAAATGTAACATCTCCGCGTCGTCCCGCCTAAATATTCATCAGTCGAGTAAATCCACCTTTCAGCAGTTCGTTAAAACTTCAACGTGCAAAGATATCCGTTCGCTTAAACGTCATTAAGTATTAAGCCGCGTCGACGTCAATCGAGACATACAGAGAGAGAGAGAGAGAGAGAGAGACGCAACATGACTTACAGTTTCAACGGTTGCGGCGATTTGTAAATTTTGCGCGAGCGACGGCGGTTATTTAATAAGTTTAACCGGCAAACTCCGACTGGTGAGAGATGGTCGCGAGATTTCGAACAAACCTCTCGTGCACTTTGTAGATTCGGCAAACTCTCTGCTTTCTCGCCCAGTGTCATTTAGTTATTCATAACTGGAGGAACGACTAATCTCGTAGTTCGTTAAAACTTTATCGGGAGCAAAAAGTTCCGTTTTTCGGCACTGTAAAATAATAACGAACGGCTGAAAGCGCCTCGACCGCGGCGAGACGCTCGCGCCAACGCGTACGTGCTTTCGGGACACAAAAGCGCGCGTTGTACAATAGAGTGTGCGGTATATGGAACTGTTAAAATTAACTTCTGTAACCCCGAGTGTCTACATTTTTTAGGATAAACGTATCGCTAAAAATGGATCGCATTGTTTTGCCGCTCGGACAAGTAACAGACCGGTCGCAGCTGTGTACTTATTTAGGGTTTGCACCCGTTGCTTTCTAATAAAACTTTGACGTCTACTAAATTAATTTATCGAGTTTACTTCGCAATAAGGAATACGTTGCCTCTTGTTATAATAAGTTTCTTTCTAGACGTGACGCAATCTTATGAAGCTGTCTAAATAAATTATTTATGCGTGTTGTAAAAGATGATGAGTAAAATAGGCCGATTTTGGCCCCCAAAATGGCAAGTAAAAACGGCATGTCTTTTTGTAGTTTTTGAGCTGGTGAATCTGATTCTGACCTTTGATCAAATTTTAACTGATCGGAAAAGTATTGTTAATTGTGGATTCTTTCCTGAATACTGCTTTTTCTGAGTGATATTGTTAATTTATAGATTATCGATATTTTTAATAATAATATATGTTACATCTATAACTAAGCAGTCAAGAGCGAAGAGAGAAATTTCGCGTTCAAACATTATCGTCATAGAACAGAAGAAGTTGAGAGAACGAAACTAACATATTTTTCCTGAATTTTTCCCGCCTTATGTGTACGTACTTTTTGTGTCATGCGCCATGAACTCCAAGATATAACAATGTGTACCTACTATCTGTAGAATTAATTTTGTAAAACAGATTACTCTGTACATTCCGCAACTATCCTACTTTCTCTTTCATACGTTTCTCGGTCGGATACGGTGCACTCGGTGGTGTTGCACAGAATGCCTTTCGACTTTAATTATAACTTTTTATTATCCGAGTTGTTTCAGCTTCTTCGTACTAAATTGCTCGCGTTGATCCACTTTAACAAATTCAATTTAACTGCAAATTAATAATGATAATTTGGTTACTCAGTTACATCACGAGTGGCTTACTTCGTGAAATGTTTTTTATTTGCAAACGCTCGTAACACGGAAGTTGCCGATCTCTCGATACTGCAGGGAGAACAAGTGGAAAAAAAGCCGATACCAATTTAGTCAAAGAACCCGCCATTAGAATTAAGATCAGACACTCTCTCCGAGACATTCCGTATATAACCGGGCAAAAAGTGCGCAAGTAGCTGTAATTGCTCGATTTGTTCCGGGAGTGGAGTTTACCATTTTTCAATTTTACGTTTTGTGCGGAGCGCCAGCTCTCCGGCAAGCTACGCTCGTTAACGCGCCGAGAGATTTATCTTCCGCTTTCCTTTCATCCTTCAGCTGTTTATCGATCCTCTTCTTACTGCCGCTCTATTCGTCACGATCGTTACGGAAGAGTAATTAGCGAGCTCAAAGTTGGCTGCACCTATCTGGACGCCCGAGAAGTCTCTTTCAAGAGTGCGGAAAAGTAAGATGACGGCGGCAGTCTCCCTAACTTTGCGAGATTTGTGTACTGAGTCGAAGTTAAAGCAGATCCGACGCTTCGAGAAGTGATTATGTTTATCGCCGAATGTGTCCGGCTAAAGATAATCTTCCTCGTTTCTTCGTACAAATAAGGAAGAAAAACATGTTTCGCGTGATCTGCGTAATGATGGCGTTGAAACGTTTAGCCTATGTTAATGACGGATTTTCTCGGAATGAGAAGAAGGAGATACGATGTTATACATGTTAAGAGCGACGTTGGCAAATCCAAAGAGACGAACGCGGTGGACGTAACTGCCGTAACGAATTCCGTGCACGCAACGGAAACCTTTGTTCGGCACTGCAACTTGAGCAGCGCTTGAATAATCGAATGGAAGTGAATCGTAACAATTCGCAATGTCCCCTTAACGCGCGACGTCCTCTCGCGTTAATGGCGTAAAACTAGTTATGAAAAGTCGATTACGATCTACTCATCGTGATAGTCTTGATAGTCTGGTCGTGTTCGATGCGGAATTCTCCGCAAATCAAATTAACGACCTTTTCTCTCCCCACACCGTTCTCCCGGCCAACGGCAAGCTTGTTTTACAGCTCGCTCGTTGCCATTGCACGGAAATACATTAGTTATCCTTACCGGAGTCATCCATACGCTCCATACGTGTAAATAAACTATGATACTCATTTCCACAAGAACGTACTCGACATTGGTGAAATTGCGATGTATGCGACCGCAGAGAGAGGCTTTACTTTACGGGAAATCGTTTATTGCATTTATTATTATCACGCTTCGCGAGAAGCCCGTCGTTTCGACTGTTTATACCATTGCCCCGCATCATTCCATTTATTTCCCGGCAATGTTGAACCCGTATAATATTTCCGCACGAATAACAACCCATTATTCTCATTATGTCGTTTAAATAACTATGGAGAGAAATAAAAATAAAAAGATTCGAACGTAATTAAAATGTTTCATTATGACCTGCTCTGCGATTCATATATCTACATTTGCTTGAAATTCAGAACTGATATTTCTCTCCAAGAAAAGGACGACGTTGTAAAAGTAAATTTACATGAACTGCGGTACGTCAAATTACATTTTTGAGCGAATTTGTTTAAAAAATAAGACGAAGCGAAGTAACAGCGTGATAAGCCGCGAAATTGCAACTCTTGCATGTATCTCGGTCGACTGTGCCCGGACAACATCATTTATATTCCGCTGCTCAAGAACTTCGTCGACGTGACATAACCTTGACGGCTTTATAGGGGAAAAGATTAAAGAAAAACACACATGAAAGGTTACAATGATGAAGTCCGGCGTCTCGCACAAGGGCCAATTTGCCGCGAAAAAATATTCCTCTTATGTGTTTCGCAGGTCTGTTCAAACTGCAGGATCTCGTGAAATCCCCGCCATCCGTGAGAACCGAAATGTACATTCGTCAGGCGGGTCCTAAATCCTACAGGCAGATCCTGCGGGAGGTCAGGCACAAAGAGATTTTCAAGCTGATTGTTGACACGGATCCGGCGCACATGCAGCAATTCTTTCGAGCGGTGAGTTCCGAACGACGTTTCGATAACTGCCGTCGTCATTCATAGTGTTTAAACGTTTACCACGGCATTTTCTCTTTTCGCATGCCAGAAATTTCCGCTACCCCTATATTTTTGTTTCGTACACAATTGACCATCCCTCTTCCATCACACGAAAAATACCACAGCGCGAAAACCAGACGCGAACGGCGTACGAATTTTTTCTATTTTTCCACGCCGCTTAATCTCCCGCATGATAAACTTGACAAGTTATTTTATCCAGACCAGATCGTATGTATAATTCTTTTTTCGATATAATGTAAAACATCGCGGGGAGGATAATAGATCATGCAAACAAAAGAGAATTATTGAAACTTTGCTAACGCTGTTATTTGAATACGTAATAATTGCTCACTTCGACAGGAAATAAAAAGAAGAAGAAATCTAGTAGTGTTATACAAATTTCAATCTTTTTGTCCGGCAAATATTTTCTAAAAATGAATTTTAATATTCTCAATATTATAAATGTAATACATGTAGCAAGTTTTAATATATACAAGTGAATGTCTACTTGTGCAAAAGTAATATCATATTATATACAGTCAGTTAGATTTCTGCCTCTTATAAATTACTAAGAAATATAGGAAACAAGTTTACTTGGATCAAGTAAATATTACTTGAACGGTAGCACTTTTTCCAGTGTGCACTTATTTTATTTATGGAATGCGCAGGACAAGCGAATGTATAGTTTAAATGACCAGCTTGTAATGCACATACCAACGGAACGAAGTTAAAGTCTCCCTCACAAAATAGAAATGCTCCTCGGCGAAAAACCCTCTCATGCTTTTTCGCAAACTGATAGCGTTTTCCGCATAACTGGAGAAGAGCGCGAGGAGAGCTGCCGATCGATGCAGCGGACGCGACGCGAGTGATACGATGCAGTTTCAGGGTGCACCTATGAATCGTGAATGGTCGTCCTGTCTCGTGGGGCACTTAATCTTAATACCTATCCAAGTATCTGTTAGGTCGCGTCGAAAGCGATACGCGCAGAAAGAGAGAAGCTCTCGAACGATCGTACGGATAGAACAATGGGAACAACAAGTTGTTTACCGGATGTAGAATGATAAAAAAAAGAAACAAAAGGAAAGAAGAAAGAAATAAAGTGAGAGGGGGAGGGAAATACAGAATGAGCTGAACGAAGATCTGCACGCGTTCAGGGCGTGCGCATTCGCCGCGGCTCGTAAATAACTTCCTCGGAATCATGCGCGAGACTCGGCGCGCGGAGATTAAAAGGGCTGGTACAATTAGGATTAATGGCGACTGCGTCGCAGTGTTTTTTCTCGTGGTGACGCTTGTTTTGCCTACACGGGGCTATCTCTCGGTTTAAAAGAGAAACCGGCGGAAGGAGCGTGAGAGTCGACTTGGTTCAAAAGAAAAATCGCTTGCCGGATCGTAAAGCTCTTTACGGCGCGCGCAGCTCGCGAAGCGAAGCGCATTCTGTTTGAATCTGTTGTAAATTGAATCACTCGTTAGGATACTTGTTATTAGAAACAATCAGATTTCTAAGGATCCTTCGAGCGGGGCGTATAGGTCAGGATATAATGTCACGGTAGACGGTAAGGATAACGACGATATAACGGAAATACCGCAAAAATATTTAAGGAAACTCACAAAAATTTACCATACCTATGACAGTTTTATTGCTTTTCCTCTAATAGATGAATGGCGTGCGCGTTAGTAAGCGCTGAAATAAAGACTCGCTTAAATTTTTCAACGATTTTAATCTGTACCCTCTTCGGGTCTTCGTTCCCGTGAATATTCCACGAGGTGCGCAATCTATGTGTATATTATGCCCGGCACTATAATAACCTAGAATTATCAATTGTCGTGTTCGTACGCGATCGTATATATAGATTTACGGTGACATCGGCGGCTTCGAAATATTTAACTGTCCGTTTGCGGCGGGTGGGCGAGCAGGCAGGCGGCCGAGCGACGCAAATCACCAGATCGTGAAATTAAATCGCGCGAATTGTCAGCGGTAACGAAACAAATGTTGAAAATAGCTCATGCAAATGCGCGCGCGCGCTCTTTTCGCGCTCATCCGAAATGATGAGTGCGACCGATGTTTTTCACAATTCCCGTCTCTTTCACAAATACCGCCGCGTGTGTGAGCTGTGGTGAATAGAAAAATTTGCATAATCGGGCGCGCGGTCAACGCGCCGGAAATGTACGCTTCGATTATTCGCCAACGAAACACGCGTCATCGATGCGATCTTTTTCCTTTTTTCTAATTCCGCCGATGATGCCGGCGAGAGGGATAAAATTTCATCGTTGCTAGCCGAAATACGCATTGACGCCGTCAGAAAATCTACGGCTCGCCGTTAATTTATGTAGAGTACCTAACGTAAATACCGCAGACTGCGGCGCATAAATATTTCAATGTCTACTTTATAAAATATGCAACGTAAATTCGCAAAATAAAATTACGACTGCACGTTGGTCCGGCATAATTTATGTAATACAATTATATGCGGTTTTGTGCAAGCGCCGTTGGTGTGGAAGGATGATACGTCGGCAATAATTATGCTCACTGTCGCGTAAGCTAATATGGGCAATTAGGCAGTATGGCAAAAGTGTTTTATATAAAAAAAATTTTAAAGCAACCGCAAACATAATGGTAATGATTGCGAAAGCGACGGCAGATAACGAGATAATTATGCACAGAGAGTTAATTTGTTCCGAAAGATGCAGCAAACTCCACTCACGATCGAAGGACTGCTAGTGTAAATATATTACGAGCGAGAAGGATTAGACTCTATCCGTTTCTTGTCTTGTTGGCGGCACTCCGAGAAGCAATCTTGCCTCAGACGCGGTCGAAGAAAGCCCGTTATTTGCATGTTGCGCCCCTCGAGGATTTCCAAGGATAACCTTCGACTAGCCAAGCAATCAAAAAACGTCCATGCTTTCATGCAACCGCTCTCCTACATCCTTTTAACCTAACACATCCGGCGTCCATCCCACCTTTCCTTTCTTCGAAAAGCTTTCTTCACGGGAGGATCCACGAGAGATCGCTTTTATCTGACCCGCTCTCGAGAATGCAGCTCGATAGATCTAATACGTATGGCCGTGGCCTCACCGCGGAGAATGAAAAGCGGCGAATTATATAGGACCACGAAAGAGGAGATGCAATATCAATACTTTTGGCAGTGGGATCACGGCATGAGATGTAATATTTGTCTTGTGCGTATCCATTTTGTGGGGATATACGGGGATGAAATAGGCAAATTGATGAAATAAATACAAAACATGCGTGTATGCATATTGAAAATAGAATTGAAAGTATCCATTATAAAATATTAATCGACTAATGATATTAATTCAGTATATAGAATGCTCTTAGGATTATACAGATAAAAATCTGCAATCATAGCTAAAAATAACACTAGAAGCAAAAATAACAAGTAAGGAAAGCTTGATAAATTTTTATTTTTACTATTATTTTTGTTTTTAATATTATTTCTTATACTAGGAAATGTCTGATATCTCAAAGAGTCCAGAATATCAACTCGAATAAAATTACACGTCACGAAGATTGATTTTTGCTTTACATCTCTATAATTCGTTCGCGAATAACGGTTCTTCAATATTTTACCATTCATTACATCCGCGTTGTTGGTATCAACAAATACTATATATCATTCATGCGTTCGCGAGGTCAATAACTGCATTATCAATTGACGTAGTACAGGAATGAAAGCTGCGTTACGCATAACGTGTTACGCATTGGAACTTGCGAATTTATTTCCAAGCACGTATTATTTAATTTAACAGATGCTGTAAATTCTATTTTCGTAACGCCGATATATTTATTATGATATCCTCTCGATGTAATTTCCTCTTCTTTTGTGTTACAGATATTGCAGTTACAAATGAACGACTACAGATATCACTATATGTTCACTACTTTCGTAAGTATACTTTTCTTGTATCTATCTGATAATCAAATCTAATAAAGAAAATGTATAATCTCCGAATCTCTCAAAATCAAAATAAGGAAAAAAATGGCGAGATTGAAATACACATATCTTTTGTTGTTAAATTTTAAACTTTATATCCTCGTATTAAGAATAGTCTCTTCCAACGTTGTTATTATCAAACAAAGTTCTGCGATATCGAGAATATTGTATATGTAAGAATTATCAACAGCTAGTGAGAGATTGCCGCTTCTTATTAAAATAGTTCTTCTACCAGTCTTCCTATATATTATATCAATTTCACGATTTGAGCTATTTTGTATTTTGTTATCTAATTTCATCAATTATATTAACGTTAAATTAATGCATTATAACGGTCGACTAGCAAGCCTCAGGCATTATTTCATCTATTGAGATATAATAAAGCATTTATCTCTAATTATGCGCTAAATGGAACGGATAACGGATGTTAATCTATAGTTATTAGCTTGGCTGATCATAAACGGTTTACAGGAACAAATGTGAGAAAATGGATTTATTTTACTCGACAATCGCGCAATTATAGTCAATCTCGCTTATGAAATAAGAAAAACGTCTTTCCCAGACAAATAAGAATCTTGTAGGGACAGAGCTATTACATACTGCATATGTATAATATTCGTCATCCTCATAACCGACGTAGCTTGTGCTTTGACCGGTTTCTCTTTGTACACTGTATGCAGCTTATTATGCGTATTACGTTGCATTAATCCTGAGGTATGAGAGTAGCTGTAGGAATTAGACCCTTCTCTTCCTCTAATCTAAGATCCTCTCTCTCTCTCTCTCTTGCTCTCTCGGTATATCGAAAATTTCCCTAATATAGTCCCTTAAAGTTCGCTCCTCTCATTCGAAGCGAGCCCCCTTTGACATATCATCGTTGCCGTCGCCTTCCGAGCCGCAGCAACGGCACGACTTGAATTCCAATCTCCCGTTCCATTCGAGATTTCTATCCTAAATGAAGCTAACGGTGCGCGCAAACCCCGCAGCTAACATAGCCGAAGTTATGACGTGCAAACGCGAGCTCGCGTAAACGGATGCGCGCGTGTGCGCAAGGTATGATCGCGTAGGCGCGTAAAAGAGAGAGGGAGAGAGAGAGAGAGAGAGAAACGGATGTCGCGCACCATTTCACGTGCACATTCCCTTGCACGCTGGTATTTATGCACACACATGTGCACACGTGGCCGCGTATAAACGTGCGACATGTCTAACGCATATGTGTCCCTCGAATTTTGCGGCATAACGACGTCTCGTACGCAGAACCAAACTGCTCACCTACGTCGCGTATGCTCATTCCTACAAATATGTTCAGATTAATTGGCGACAGGTATTAACCCCACGACGTCAGTTGCACCTTGATTCCTGTAAAGCGGTAAGCCTTAAGCTGTAACAAATTGACCAATCACAGTCGAATGTGAGAAGAATAAATCGATTATGATTGATCAATTTCTTACTGCTTAAAGCTCACCACACTAAATCCTTGTCTACGACATTGTTTTAAGACGTAAGCCGTAAGAAAATTGACCAATCATAGTCGATTATTCTTTTAATAAACGACTGTGGTTGTTGACCGAATGCTAAGTTACACGTTTTCGGCGGAGAGTTAAGACTTTTATAGAATAATGTACCCTTAATTTTGATTTTCTACTTCATTTTTCAATGCTAGCGGCGTGTATATAGTAACCAGATTATACATTTTAAATATACAATGCCACCTATTCTCTCACATTTGATATATAATAGCTAGACAACGACTAGATCAGAAAACTGATTCTACATTTTAGCGAATAATCAACCAGTAACGAGTTAGAAAATTTAATCTAGCCTGGACCAGCTAGTTCCTAGCTTTTGATTCAGGCCAACTAAGTCCATTTCCACTCGGGACATAACCGTCCCGAGTTATTAACGTGACTGTTGCTGTATTTTAGTATTTGGACAGCTCGGATTTGACGTACGCGAGAGCAATGAAATAATTGTTGCACGGAAATTCATATCGTACGCGTTTATCGTCGGTCAAATATTGACTGTGCTATATACTGCTAGCTAGACAATGGTACAAGAGATGTACAGAGACGGTATCTGCAGATCGATGTGGTAGCCAGGAGCTACGGTTTATATATAGTGTGTTCATCTTGCAATCGGTCGCCGATTTAGCGATGCTTTATATTATCGGGAATCTAACTAACCGCATGTGACGAATAATATAATATATCTCGAATACTGACATTGAATTAATTACCGTCGGCTAGATGAAATTATTTAATGAGTTCATCATAATGCTGCTGCTCTGGTTAATAACAGCCCGTGCAAATGCGGCAGCAGTTCGTAAACGAATTATTCAACGTAGAACAGAACTTTCAATGAAGGGAAATTAATAATTAATTAAGGCTTGTAGGATAGCGTGCTGATAGTTCGTCACATGAAGACGTGACATTAAAATAATAAAGCAACGACGATTAATCAAAGTATAGCCGCAGACACGATTGAAAACATGAATTTTCGCGACATTGTGTCGACTGCAAGTCATACTTTCCAAGCATATTCCAAGTGGCCCGATAATGGATTATACGGAAGAACAAGTCATATGCTTTATCACATCTTAGAGTAACGTTGATCCTGAAAGATTTACGGCGCGCGATCTAGTGAAGCAGTTTAATTCATTCCCACGATGCAAATCTCCATTAGATACTTTCGGCGTTTCGGTGAGGAGTACGTTTCCGAATAAATCACTTTTAGAGGATGTTACGCAACTTTCTCCCGGCAGTAACGGCGCGATTCAAGAGGTAGGCAGGCAAGCAGGATGAGCAGAGAGTGAGGAGTTTAAAGGGAAAGGGGTATAAGTAGCAGCGTGAAAGGGACGGAAACCGCTCATGAAACGGAAACGGAGTTTTATCTGGACAGCCGACTTTGCTGTGCAGCTGCGCGGTTGTCGGTGAATGACCTCGTGGAAGAGAACCGCGTTATTTACTTTAACGATCCGCGTCGAGCGATGCATCACCGTATAATTATAAATCATATTCTCTCGGGTTTCTAGCGAGAGCTGCGGAAGGTGAAGATGGAGGGAGGTCTAGTTGGGAATGGTAACACCATAACGATCGCAATTACGACGATGACAGAATCGTTGGGGCTGTCTCATTTTTCTTTAATTTATTCGCTTCCGCATAATGCCGCGAGAGCGGATAGATATTTACCCCGGTTGCGTTTTCTTAAGCATCACCGCGACCGAGACTGCTCGATCTCTTTTCATTTGATGCTGCGGAATAAATCGATAGCCGCATTTATTTTTGCCGAGGCTACGGTCTAAATTCGGAGAGAAAAAGTTGTTTTTCATCCTTTTTGGTGTGTATAAAATTCGTAATAATTAATGCTCTTTGTTATTCGCGGCACTGAGGTTTGACGTCACGAAGAATCTATCGCGCGTTCAAATGATAATAATTAATGAAAACTACTATGTGAGGCGAGGTAAAAGAGCGCACGGAGAATGAATACAAGCTATAATTAGGTCGGAACTGCTTCTGAAATAAATGAACTTTTTTAAACTTTGATAACCTTTGCTTTCGCAGGATATAGAAACGTTCGATCTGGAAGATTTCAAATATAACAGCGTGAATATGACAGCCTTTCGCCTGGTGGATCTCGAAGAGCCCAAGGTTGCCGAAGTACTCAAGCAGATGGAACGCTTCCAACCGACGATTGGACATGCCATTCTGAACAAAACGGGAGTCATTCAGGTAGGAGAAAATCTCAAGTAATATTCAACGCGACACAAAGTTCAATACTTCGTTATTATTCCGACAACGCGATGTAGCAATGCAAGGACTTTGAAGAATATGCTTTAAAGAACGAATTCCGCAAACTTCGTGAACCATATCGAGGACGCGTTAGACGATGTATTCTAATGCTAATTACAAGAGAAAGCACAATTGTCTATCAAACACATATACAGTAAAACTGGCAGTAATCCGCGCGTGAAAAAATCACAATACCCGATATTCATATAAATTTTTTATAAAATACTACAAATACAATATAAGATACACATATCGAACTGTACATTACTTTCCTATGAATTTGAAGACAAATTCATTTGTTGAAAATTTTACTAAGCACGTGATTTTTACAAAAATATCCGCATTGATATATTCTTGCAAAATAAAAATTATACCACTCGCAAATTGCTACTAAAATTTTATGCAAAATGTATAAAATATTCAATGTTCAAAATATTTGACAATAAGTATTCTTTGTCTTCTTATTTGAAATAACGTTTATGATTACAATAATACACATACGTAAAATTTCACGATAATTATTAATAATTATTAATAATTAATAATACACATACGTAAAATTTCACGATAATTATTAATTTTATACGTGAGTTTCATAATAAAAGCCAGAATTACGAGTAAATATAAATGAAAGACTGAAAGTAAAGAAGACCGAAAATTTAGGTGAACCGAACCGGTCAGCACAGTCTGTGTTCAGTTCGAGCTTTGTCAGCCTTTCAGTAATTAAGTGAGTTTCGCCTGCGGCCAACGCCGCAATGTCATTAACTCGGATCAATTGAGCGCACCAAGCTTGGCTTTCTCTCTCCCAAGGACTTAGAAGATGGTCACCATCTGCTGAAATAGTAAACTGGGCTCTTTTAATCAATCGACATTCCTCTGAATATTGATATAAAGTTCGGTATACTTTGATTTTTTTCGACATATATTATGTATATCTTGTTGACTGTTTTATTATTATTTTGTTTTACCCGACATTCATTTACATTAGAGAAATTGGCTAAACTTGTTTAATAGTTAATTTCGAATTTCTGCATTGCGAGGATGCGGAGCATGAACTCTCATCAAAGGGAAACGTATGTTTCAGGCAGAACCAGCTTTAGTGTACGATAGCGTGCAAGTTTTCGTACATGGTTTGGCAGCTTTGGATCGTAGTTATGATCTAAGACCAGCAAATTTGTCCTGCGAAAAGGAGGAACCGTGGGATGACGGTTTATCACTCTACAAATATATCAATGCCGTACGTACGTTCTATGAATCTTTATGAGATCTTTGGACGGGAAAGTAGTATAAGTCAATAATAACGCAAACATTTTGTTCACAATTATATCGAGAGGATATAATGTTTTAAGAAATTAAAAATGTTAAAATTAAAATTAAAATTAAATTAAATTTTCGCTTAATTTATATAAACATTTCTTGTGCTTTTTAGAATAAAAATGACTTATTACTTAAAATGACTTACGTTCCATTCAACGAATGAAATTTGCTTTGTTGAACTAACTATAATTAGTAATTAGTTTCTTTTTTGTTAAAGTCGTAAGATAGGAAACTTTTTGCACTTTTATGAAAAGATTTAATTTCAACTAACACCAGGAAGCATCGCCATTAGTGAAATATGAATCTTGCAAGACAAAGTTACAAAAAATATTTATTCTAAAATATCAGTAATATAATATTTAGAACATTTCTCTCGTATTTTGAGCGTACATGTTTTGATATTTTTTAATATCCGAATAAAAGTAAACTTAACCATTACATTGTATAACGGTTTAGCTTATTAAAGATTCGGAATAATATTTAATTATAATATACATTGATACGATAAATGTCAAAATATAGATTTCCTTTAGATTTTTATACTAAGTCGATTAGTACACGCAAATTACATGTCTATCTATAATTGCAATTACATGAAAATACGATTACTTGAAAACTTTATTGATATTAGTCCTTAATATTACAGTAGTTTTCCATTAAAATCCTATATATTAGTGAATGTATTTCGAAAAAAATTAAAATCAGAAATTAAAAGTAGAACATTAATTTCAAGGAATACGTATAAAAAGTGTCATCTATAGTATCAAATATTTCAGCTTTCGAGTGGTCAATCTATTTATAATTGCGCCAATAATCAGGTTATATTTAAATCTATATATGATGCAAATTTTAATGAATTCTTAAAAAACTCATTTTGTGCTACACTATCTTAACAACCTATACAATACTACATCCTATGTACTTGAAACAAGCACGGAGCGAATCAGGACTTTTATACACAACGGGACGGCAGAACTTCTTCCCCCTCCCCCCTTCTCTCTCTCTCTCTCTCTCATTCTTGCGGTTTAAAAAAATTATTTCGCTCGACCATGAAAGGGTTTAAATGTACACAGCGGGACGTCGTGCACGAAACTCCCTCGCCAGGAGTCCGCGCGTTGCAAGCTGAAATCTAGAGGTAAAAAATCGCAACTATTCTGGCAGAGTGAGTGTGCTCTTTATTGCCCCGCACGGATTGGTAGTCGGTGAGCGATAAACCGCAGACGTATGGAGACCCGCGGAAGGAAAGCAACGTTGACACATGAATAATTGAACAGCGTATTTAGCAAATAGCTACAAGGTCGGGAGCTTCAACTTCTCCCGGGCATCTTCTCTCTCCTTTACCTGACTCCAAAGCGTCGTTCGCGCGCTTCCCGTTTGCGGTGACCATTTCTCGAATGCACGACCGGCGTCACACGAGAAACACGTACGTAAACTCGCGCATACGTGCCACCTATGAATAGATCCCGCTCGGAGCATGAAGCTTTATTACTCTTGTATCGCAACTGAAATTGAATTTTCCTATTAAACGCGCCAACGACGAATTAAACGGTGCTTAAACCTTCGAGGACTACGAGACTCTCCCTTTATCGACAGTCGAACCATTGAATTCTTCTGGAAGCGGGAGTGAAGCCGGAAAGTCCTTTTCACACATCTACATCGATGTGTGCGCTTACGCAGCATTATGTTCCGAGTAAACACTAACGTCGCTAATTTAAGTGTAAAGTACACTGTACGTCGCGATAAAGCGGTACGTTGTGTGCGGTATACTTTGATGTTGAACTACGATAAATACAATATGACGAAGAAGTATTTTCATTAGTGTTATTAGTCCTTTGACCGCACACTTTTGAAAAGTCGCTCGTACCGCAAATAGGATCATATTGACCCTACACGATTTTCTAAATTTCATGTCCGGAAAACTATAAAAGGAAAGCGTTGACAAAATTCTAGAATAAAATGTAACTCTTCTACTTTAATATTTGATCATGCATTTATAGAAAATCAAGTTTTAAGTTACTGAAAAAAATTCGAATTTAGACAGAGGTCTCTAAATTTTATTTAAAGCATCGTATAATTAGAGAATACACGTAATTATAACGCTTACGTTCACGCACAAATTTTCAGCGAAAAAAATCACTTCACTTGTAGCGCCAAATTATACACCGACACTATAAATCTAACTGACCCTGCGTTAAATTCGGATGGCTCCCAAACACGCATTAATCGGCTTATCAGATTTGTACCACGTCTAGCGAACAAAACGACTTGCTAATGATTTTTCGGGAGTGGAGAGAACTTGATCACGCATTTTTTTCGCTATAGTTGTTCAAACATAACTCATCGATCTATTTGACTTATAATGCGATCGAAGAGTGTAGCACACAGTTTGTTACTAACGTAGTTTAATTTAATCAACATTGTGTTCATTTAATATTTTCATACAAGGGTCTTCTGATTTTATTTTTCCTCATCTCACAACATTATCTTTACACAGCGCGTCTCTTGCGAGCGTTATACATTAAAATCAGCGTTAAGTTTTAACACGAAAAGGGATTACAACGTCGGAACAGGAAGCATAACGACACACATCGCCTCGTGTGTCGCAGAAACTTATAAGTTTACACAATGACGATTTCCTGCGAATTATTCCGACGTTCCCTCCCATGCAGCATTATAAAGTTTCTCTTTTTCTACGGGACGGCAAAGAAAATTGGAAGCGCGCACGACAGCGCGTAGAAAAGTTTAGTCGGGTTGCCGGTATAATCGAGGATGTCGCGAAGAAGAAGAAGAAGAAGGAGGCGGAGGAAAAGAAGTAAAATAAGAAGAAGGAAAAGAAAGAGGAGATGCTCCGTCGGTGAATCGTGACAATTTTTCGAAACTTATTCGTCGTACAGACTAGATATTATTAAAGACCGCCAGTCTTACCAGAGCTTACGCGGCTTAAGAGAAACGCGCTATATGTATATAATATACAGGGTAATTCGGAACAACGGAACAAGATATATTCCTAACTGGATTCTGAGATAGCTTCTCCTCTTCTATTCTTTGTCCAAAACTTAATTCTTTAATTATAAATAAAAATAATTTGCTTGTTATTGGTCAGTTACAAGAGACAAGCAAGGGCGGCGTAACTCACGCCAGTCGTGATTACTGTATTATTGTATATAATAAATTATTAGCGATATTAATAAATTATTATGGAAGGATATATTGTTCAATTATTTTCGCAACATGATAAATTGAATCATGATTATTCCAAGACGCGGAATAAGGGGCTAAATAAATGAAGAGAAATTTTAATAATATATGTGTAGGACTGAAGATCTGTCCAACGTGGAAAGTATGATTCACCACGTATGTTTAATTCAAAAACTAATCTTTGGGCAGAAAGAGAAGAATTCATCTCAGAAACCAGTTAGGAATATATATTTGAAGGATAAGAAGTTATTCTGTATGCCGATACGCAAATCGTTCCTTGAACGCTGTTCCGACTCGCGAGACAAGCCTTTTATTATCCCGACGCGCCGCAGCCCGTTTGAGGAATTCTACGTTCGTGGAATATTATCGGGTATTAGAAAAATACCTGTCGTATCTTGTGAAGAGAAAAGCAGAGAAAGGACGAGTTCCTCGCCGTAGAAATTATAAAAGTTCTCGATATGTTCCATTCGGTCGATTTCTTTCAGGCAGCGAGAAATCCACCGATACGTGAATATCAATTTCTCTCTCTGCCTCTCTTTCTCTCGTTTCACGGTTGCGATACACTTCGAGGCGTCGCTGTATTCGGAGTCGGAATATCGGTTATCGACGTTTCTTTCATGTTAAATCCGAAATAAATAGCGCGCCACGAAAAGATATGCCGGGAGTATAGTCGCGGTTGCGTCCCTCGTACACGTTTAAATCCTGTGTGACAGGAAATTGGCAGCTTCCGACGTGACCGTATCCTATTAACGGAATAATTGTATTCACCGTTTTTCTGCCGTTTCTGGAGAATTGTAGAGCCTTAATAAATCTGCGTACTGCTAAATTACGCGTGCTTCCGGGTTAACTGTGATTAGTTAATAGTCAGCTAAAGTCAGTAAATTTTTTAGTGACTTTATTATTTTTTCTCGAGCAGCAGATAATGTTCCGCATCGCGTCATTGTAAGATGATACCGTCGTACTTTTTGAAATGCTAATACGTGGAACATTACACGCGTTATAATTTTTACAAGCTTTACATATTTAGGCCACACACTTGAGAACTTTCGCAAATCTTACACCGCTTAAGCAACCTGAGCCGAGCGCTAAAAGCTAAAGCTCGCTGTAAAAGCGGCAAGATTAATGCACCCCGGTAAGTATATACGGTTTTTGCAGCTTTAGCCTATCTAGGTATACTTCAGTGCTTCGAAGGTGGGAAAATACACGCGTGAGACATGGAGAGAAATCCGGCAAAGCACGTACGTGTGAATAAGAAATAACCAGCCAATGTAAAGTAAGGAGAATGATTAATGAGTTATTGTAAAACATGTAAATTATACAACACGTATTTAATACGTTAAATCGCAGGCGTGAGTGGAAAAATTTTAACATAAACAATACATATTTCAAGCTAAAGTTCTCTTCTTATTTGTTACGATGAAATATTATCCTAATGTATTTCCGAATAATGATTATCGAATGTATAAAATATAATACTACTTTACATAAACTTAAACGATCTGTTGACTTCTATGTTAATTAATAATAATATTTAAATGTATATAAGCCGCGTTTCGTTTCAATATTGTTTATACTTAAATTTAATATCTATTGGGAGAATTATTGCATCTTTATATTGAAATTATATAAAATGCTGAGATAATATTGGTTATAGATATTACAACCTGATTTTAGATATTTATATATTTCAAAATTCCGACTGAGAGAGAGTTACCGGGGTTATAATATTTCGATAGCTTAACGCATTGGTTAAGCCATCGAAGTCGGCAGTATGTCTTTGATATTATTCGCGAATGAAGACGGAATAGAAACTGTTTACCTCAACGGCAGCAACTATGTTTCACCTCCGATATGCTTTCGGTAATAGCCGTGAGTAAGCGTACAAACAATGCAGCGACGGTGTCTCTGTTACCAAATGGATTTATGTATGGACGGGAATATAACTTACGATGCCGTATCGTCGACATATATACACAAGTACGTGTAGGTGAGAGATTGTCAATACAAGTCAATATCCAGATAGAACAAAAAATGACGATGACATTAAAATAATGTCAAAATAACGAGAAAATGACTATAAAACTCGTTTTTCGGCCATTTTTTCATCATTTTGATGTCATTTTCACATTATCGTCATTTTCTGTTCTATTTTAGTTATTATTTTGGTATATAAGAAATTATTTTTGTCACCTATTCTGTTAAGAAACAATCACTACTTCGCTTTTTTGTACCGGTGAGACAGCACCCTTCATAATATATAATTCCTCGGCAAAATATAGCTGTTGTTTCAAGTTCTTTTGTCGCAAACAAAACATTGACGTTTCGCGAATAAAACGCTTTTGTCGTTCGTGCGTAGGAATTGTTGTTTTCCGTCGAATAGCGTCATCCGAAGAATGTTGACTATGGGAGGGGAGGAGGGGGGACAAAATGAAAATATGAAAATATATCACACCGAGCAATCCGGATGATACCAATATTTCGCATCGATCCTTAATGGATGCTGGTTCCAGTTAGTATCAATTTGCTTGTTTGGTATTTTATGACTTTTTTCTTTTCAGAACTGAATTCGTACACCGCAGCACGCTTCCGCGCAGAATATTCCAAACTTTGAATCCGGCGTGTAAAAGCGTGTGTGCGTGCGTAATGGTACAAGCGTGCTGCGCCAGCGCACGCATAGACGTAATTAACGGTCGAATTCGCATTGGGCAAAAGTACATCGAGTAGTGAAAATACACGCGCGGTTACTTCCGGCGCGCTTACCATTTGTTCCGGGAGCGTTGGTGTATTTTTCATGTCAGCCAGTTCATCGACGCTGACGAGTTGCTGACGAGATCTCGCGGTACGGATTTATCGATCCACGTGGCCGGTGATCGCGGCAGTAGCTACGCTGACGGGCCGAAAAATCCAGACTGCGAAATCGCAGCTAAAACTCTCGTCAACTGCCAGACTGATGAAAGGCGATTGGCACGAGCTCGTGAAATAATTTGACAACACGTCGTGACTTCGTAGAATCGCGGAAGTTGTAAATACACGCTACGGAGATAATAGCACAGCGCGTGAAAAACTATCGTACCTACGTCGGCTTTCGTAAAACTTACTAACGAGCGGCGCGCTTATCCATGAATTCACGAAAATTCACGGTAGGATTCAAAAGCACTTTACATCTCGGTAAAAAGCGTGCCAGCGGGTAATGCGGTAACTTTCAAAAACTAAAATCGTTTTTTGAATTACTTTATGTACCTTCTAAACGCTAGAGACACGAAAGAGATTAAAACGTTATATTTCACAGTGCTGTAATGATTTTTACAGTAGTTGATCCATAGATCCATAGAGTGCCCGATTTTCAGTGGCAATATTAATGGGCTCTTTTATAAATTACCATGTACTTAGAAAAAAGCTCTCCTATATTTATTTAACTCTATATGTGATAAATGTTATTTTTCAACGAAATTAAAAATAATATATCAGAACAACATTATTATACAAACATGGAAATATTATTTATCTTTTATTTTGTTGCATTAATCCTTTATTCGTACGTCAGTTGAGCTAACAATCGAATGAAATAATCGCGCAAAAATCCGCGCGAACAGATCAAAGTTATCAACGCGGATGCAATATTGATTGTTTTACTGCTCTTGCAGTAAACCTTGCAGTAAATTTTCCTGCGTTTGCACACTTCGTGCCGGCATTATCAGAACGAATTCGGATTACGAGTGGAATATAGTACGACACGTGCTTAAAAAGTGATACGACCAGGCATATATCAGCCAGTGATTATAATCATATATTCAAATAATTCTACCATGAAGAACAAATAGATAGAGATGTTTTGTTTCATCTCAAGCGAGTCAACTATTTGACTTTCGATTACTAAAAAAATAATAAAATTTCACCGCAGGACGGATATCCCCTTGAGATATACTTCAATCTCAAATAAACACACACATGCAGGAAACGGAATATGTAACAGATTTCGAAAACAGTGGTTGAAAACTGTTTTCGCGATGAAATAGTTAATACCGGGAGTTTGCGTGACAAATATTTATCTCTGCACATACTCAGAGAATATCTACAACTATATTTGTTTTATCCGGGCACTGGCAACCAGGGTAAGTGGCCGACTTTAGACAAAAGTGCATTTTGGTTGAATATCCCGCCAACTCCGGCAACAGCACACAGGAGAGCATATATTCAACAGAAAAAAAGGCGAGAGAGAGAAAGAGAGAGAGAGAGAGAAATAAATCAAATAAACTGTGCGCAGATCGGTGGTAGACCGCAAACGGTAATTAATGCGAAAAATTTCGCCGGGCACATCCGGAAATGTAGGCCGTCGACGGTGAATTGCGTGGTTGTGTGCGCGTCGGTAACCTACTACGCCACGGGAGAAAAATAAATTTAACGAGCATCAGACGCACGCGTAATTTAATAGACGATGAATCCGGCCGTTCCCGTCACCAAATAACTATAATTATAATTATTATCCGTATGAAAATGTTAACGTGTATTTCATTATATACATTTAATTTCGACCTCACATTTCATTTAGCATTAATTCGGACGAAATATCTATTTTCGCAATATATTTGATTGTATTACTCCGACATATTGTCATTATCACTATTAAAGACTTCTGTTTATATAAGAGGGATTTCCTACGTCATACGTCTATTTAAATAAGAATATAAAATTTTTTGGAATTATATATTTGAAATAACAGAAGAAATATTTATGTGCATAAAAGCGAAGTTAAAACACGCGTAAAACTACACGGAATTATTATATTTTACTTGTGTAATATTCTCTATCATATATTCGTATCATATCATCGATAGATTATATAAAAAGTAAAATATTAATAATATACATTTAAGATATCAAAACATGTTTCGAATTTTTCCCTTCTTGTATTGTTATCTTATAACATGCCATGAAAACTTGATGAGTTTAATTAGTCTTGGATTTAGAATTAATACGAGCGTTTCTGTTGCAGGCAGGCTTAAACGGACTAACCGGACATATCACATTCAACGAAGGAAAGAGGAATAATTTCAAGCTGGACCTCCTTAAACTGAAGAAGGAAGAACTCGTCAAAGTTGGCGAATGGAAAATCGGGTCTGGCATCAATATTACGGACATAGACGCATTTTATGAAACCACAACGACCAATATTACACTCGTCGTAATGACGAGAGAGGTAATAATACTTTGTAGGCAAATTACTGGCGTTTGCAGTCCTGTTAACGTTATAATTAATCATTAGGAACTATATACCGTGCGAATATTGATTACATAATGATGAAAGCTATTTAAAATGGTCTCGAACAAATTGATCAAATCACGCGAAAGTGAAATATTAACATTTTAAGCTAAAAATGATACATATGCGTGATGAATCTATTCTTCTACATCTTCTATTTAGAAATGATTCATAGCGATACATGTAATTAGTTTAATTATTTCAGACATTTTTGGGAAAATTTTCATTTCAAAATTGCAGATTCCAAAAATAATAATAATAATAAATAGCTGGAGTTTTTATTATCTACTTTTTTATTTTATGATACCGGAATACCATGTATTCACGTCGAATGGTAACTTCTACTAGCTCCCCATCTTTGACATAGCTTCTTCGCATGGAAATAAAGGCTTTTAAGGGTTACCTCCGCCCCGTCTCTGTCACGGCGCGCGCAATTCTACGATGTATCAATGAGATCCAATCTTTCGCAGGAAAGACCCTACGTCATGGTAAAGGAAGACAAGAATTTGACTGGCAACGCGAGGTTCGAGGGTTTCTGTATTGATTTGCTCACGTCGATCGCCGGCCAGGTCGGCTTCCAATACGCGATCAAATTGGTACCAGATCACATGTACGGAGTGTACGATCCGGAGACGAAGGAGTGGAATGGGATCGTTCGAGAGCTTATGGAGAAGGTAAGACGGAGTACGTAAATCCTGTTTCTGTTCCTCGCGATAATTCAATATCACGGCGTGAATGAAATGAGCGAACAACAAGACGGGGAATGAGATGTAAATAGCTCGGTGTTAATATGCATGCGTCGAGTTAAAGCAAAGTTTTCAGGCGCTACACCGTCGACAGGATTGTGCGGAGAACCGGAAAAAGATTTAATCAGTGTCGCGAGAGGAAGATTAATTGAGATATACGCGCTTTACTAAGTATTCAGTTCTGTGCTGCAGCGAATTCGACGAAGTAGTTGATTTTCCCAAGCTTTCGTAACGCTGAAGGATTATAGAAGAGTCTGGGAACACTTGAATTCCTTGAGAGACTTGATTCCTAGCTGTTATTTCGACAATGGGAAGATTTATTTGTTTTTATGTCGACAGTAGCGTTTATTCTATAGGATTAAATATCATTTTGACAGTTTAGCGCCGATAATAATAGAGTGAGATGTGTTTCACTTCTTGGAGTGCCAAGTATTTTTTTCGTAGATATTCAATTTCAAATATTTTTTATATCGTTAGGTTTTATAATCAAATTAATTATAATTAAAACTCCATAATAGAATGAAAAGTCAATTGCTTTAAGAAAGTAATTACAAAGTTAGTTAACAAAAATTTATTTGTTTACAAAATATAAAATGGAAATTAAAAGAAATTCTATTTGGACATAATCCACGCCAGATCGGGGACACGGATTAAATTTTCCATACCTTAATAGTACAACTCATTCGCGATACATTAGTTCAATATTAGTTATATTGGCATTTATTGTGCAAATGTTGCCTAATATAAAGCCAGCCAGACGATAAAATCTGCTTAAGTAGATTTTGCGCAGTATCTGCTATAAATTTTTCGACATCTTGCTAAAATTCAGCCATATAAAAATGCAATAACATTAAAGATAGTACGAAAAATTGGTGTCGTTGATGGAATTGCGACTGTACAGGGAGAAAGAGAGCGGGAGAGATATTAGGGGAAAACACCGAGGCGGAAGAATGGAAACACACGGCCCAAGAGGCCGATTTTACATGCAAAGTAAAGTAAATTTCCGCGGGCGTGTCGCAATAAATCCATCCCACGAGGAATTTCATTACGCGTGTAGTCGGGTATACAAGAATCACCTAGATTAACCATTTTTCCAACGAGCGACCGACGTATCTGATATTTTGATTCATAGATCAGCAGATGTTGCCGTCTGTTATTTGAATTGTAAAGTCGCGCGGTTATTAAAATCAAAATTTGATGTATGCGCATCCAAGCGTCTTCCGGATTTAATTTACGTCGCCAATCCATTATTGTTTGCATGATCGAGTAGGCGCACACACGACTTTCGTCATGTCAGCGTAATTTCTACTGCAAATTAAAATCACCTCTGATTTTTTACATGTTACATTATGATTATTACGTCGAAATATGCAACATTCACAATTAAATAAACATTGTACATCAGCGGACTTATGTCATATCTAGTTAGTTAGACAAATATTCGAATCGATGGAAATATTTTATATTCTCTCTCTTTCTATTTCTTTCTCTCGTTATACATTTATATTTATCTCTCAAATACACTCTTTCAGGTAGACTCTCTTTCAGATACAACATCTGAATAAGATATATTAACGAGCGCTCAATACAATTCTCATTGCTTATACAAAGATATGACTGCGAGAAAAGTGAATTAAATAGTAATACATAAAAAGTCGAATTCGCGTTTAAAATTTGATTATATCGAAATGTTCCATCGAAATAACGAGAAAGAAAATTCAGTTAGCATGTCGCGTGACAACATTTACTCTTATTAAATATTATCAATCGTTGCCTCTCGTTATTATTTTACAAACGTTCGCATTCATTGATTACGATGAAAATTGGATATTGACATTTGTTTTAAAATATGTGATTCAATTCATCGAAATGTATGGCACCTGCGTGTTTTGTTACATATATACAATTGTAATTTTAATATTTCTACCGAACCAAAACATTTTCATTTATTTTTTAATTTTTCTCTTCCTTTTCAGTATGTTTTTTACAAGTTTATATAAAGCAATTAAAATATTAAAAGAAAAAGTCATGTTAACTTCTTTTTACCAAAACTCCATTGCTTTTCTATCGGAAACAGTTCTCTCTTCAAATTTTGGTTATAATTCAAACAACTTCGCGCTTTTATATACCCGGAGGAAAGTAAATGTTGTCTTTCCGTTACCGGGAGAATAGATCTCCATTCGTACTGTGTTTCCTCGCGGATACGATCGTATCTGTGTAGCTGGCGCCGGCAATGAGAGAAAGTGCGCGCATACGTTGGAATCTTCAGCGAAAAACAGAAAACATCACGGACGAACGCTAATGCGCCGGGAAGAGGAAACCCCTGGAAAGAGAGTTCTTATTGGATTCTGTATTCCATCACCGAATCGATGAAAATGCGGAAACACGATACGTGTATGAAACAACGCGGACATACACGCGCGTAAAAACGGAATTACACTGGCAATAAAGTCGCGGCCCCAATATCGCTTTGTGCAAAAAGTATCATTGGCGCAAGAGCGAATATGACGATTTCGTAATATTCAAATACCGACGAATTTCCGATTTGACGATCCAAGCGTCGATAGACAGGCGGACAATATATAGTTAAAATAAAATCGAATCTATTATTATTATAGCCAGAGACAAAGGAACAAATTTTTTGCGGTGTCACAAATTGTTATCCAAATATCAAGGTTTAAAAACGATTCGAACATTTATGCGTTTCCGAAGGTATTTTTTTTTCTGCACGATAAATGCGAAATCATATGATAAATGTTGCAGATGTGATCATCACGAATACACGGTTCGCTGAATTTATTTGAATATATACGCGCAACATGCTTTTCCGTCTGCGACAGAGTTTCAGCCTCGTTCGATAAATAACTCAAACGTTGTTGTCGCACTAACGACATGTCGCGTATACATTTATAGAGTTGCTAAAAGTACTTGGCGGTATGTCGTCAATTTTATTGACCGTAATATATAAATCATCTAGATGTTTATTTTAAATTGCTGAAAGTGTCACCTAGTCACTAGCGCAGTGTTCACTTCACTTTAAGCGCTGATATAAATACTTATTCAATGTATGAGTGTAAAGAAAAAGAAATCTGCACAACCAACGTTAATTTGGGACACGAGAAACGGAACGTTCGGAGAGAAAGAGAGAGGCGTACGTGCATCTCGCAAAATTCGCGACTCAGCTTACCGACATACTCGCTGAATACCGAAGATCAGCGGTTTATAAAACATGCAAAGCAATCTGTCCCTCGTGAAAGTGGATGTTGCCTTAACCCGGAAACCTACGAAACCGTAGGAGAATATTCTGAAACGGAGGATGATACGATTGGTGCTTCACTGTGTGCGCGACACTCGCCCGTTCATAAAGAATGCATCCACTATCTCGCAAGGTAAACTCTCTCTCGCAAACCCCAGGTGAAGATTTATCAGTAATTTGTAACGCTTTCATTCAGCTCTCGCTCGCGTATGCCGAAATGCATTTATTTATATGCGCGATATGCTACGACGCCCTCTCGATTATTATCATTAAACCAGTAAAAGTGTATTTAGAAAAAGAAAAGGGAAAAGACTTTTATCGAAAGAACGATCGGTTCTTCTTTTAGTGAGAGGGGAGAATATATATATATAACTATCTCTTCTCTTTCTTAATGTAGATAGGTATTGTAAAATTGTCCAATCTTGTACGATGTCAATTTTGTGCGAAAAATGTAATCTCTTTAATTCTCTCGGATACCGCGACATTTGTTTTTTCAGAGAGCGGATTTAGCTGTCGCATCCATGACAATTAATTACGCCAGAGAGAGCGTAATAGACTTCACCAAACCATTCATGAATCTCGGAATTGGGATATTATTTAAGGTGAGTTAATAACATGTGCGTAATGTCTCATAGATATATCTGCATGCACCACAATAAATATTATCCCCGTTTAAGGTGCACGCATTCATCTTTAATGCCCGTTTATCGATTTATGAGCCGTACATTTGCGTTAATGTAAATTATAGAGATCGTTGCCGTGAGCAATTTACTTTCCGATGGCTATCGTTTAATAATTAACTATTAATAAAACCAGAAGTAGCAACGTATAACATTATAATAGATCAATCGTAAATATAATAATAAACGACGTAAATATATATATCTTAATCACTTGAATATTGTTCATATAGGATGTTCTAAAACTATCATATAATATTTAATAGCGCATTCTGGAGATACGATTAGAAATGTTGGCTCTGTATTAACATTGGAAATTCTTTTAAACTTAGGGAACCAACGAAGAATTTCGCGATATTGCGCTATATAGGTATTGTACCGTTCTCTCTTGATATTCCGCAAACTTCACGCACACAAATTATTAAATTTAATATAAATTTTTCTAACAGCGAACAATATGTGACTATCCTTATTCTTGTCGTTAAAATTCAATGCGATTTACGACAATGCATGCAATACGTAAAATGCACTCTATGAATGTTGAAATTCAACTCACCATATCGCGTTGAAGTCAATCGTCGTTCAGCCGAGTCTATTCAAATCCAGTTAGATCCATCTCCAGCTAGATCGGCTGATCAAACCCACTGCATCCCGAATCGCGTAGCGGCCAGCTACCGTCCTGCATCGTCCCACGTTGACAACATTCCACTTCGTTACACTTCACTTCATTCGCGACGCGATTAATATTTATATTTTAACAGCGCTTCACGTGTATCTCGAGGGAGTAGCGAAAAAAAGGTATTGATTTATCTCGTGACGAAATCTACGAATTTGATCAACGAAAGGCGAAATTGGAATTCGCGGATCCGTTTAGGGAATATCGTATCATGCACGACCAGATCTGGCATTTTGAAAGCGCATTCACAACACTTTGTGGAAGTTTACATCCGCTATATTTCGGTGAATTGATTTTAACGCAATTTATTTTAGTTTACGAAACGTAATCATGTAATACAACGCAAAGGTTGTAAATAAGAAAACTGACGGTCGCGATGATCTTTAAGGAACAGCAGAAAAATTTGGTTTTATCTCGTGATGAAATCTAAGAATTTGGTAAATGAAAAAAGGCAAAATCTGAATTTGCGAACTCGTTTAGGGAATATCACGTCATAATATGATCAATTCTGGCATTTTGGAAAAACAATTCGTACATTACCGATACGTTGCCGAAGTTTATGTTCGCTGTGTTTCGGCGAATCGTATTTAACGCGATTTATCTTCATTTATGAAATATAATCATGATACAAACGCACGTATGCGAAATAATCATGAATTTCGTAGCAGCGCAATTTCAGTGCGCATTAGAAACTATCTGAAATAATTAGAGGCTTGCGCTGAGAGAATAATTATATTGAATTATATTAAATAGTGAACAACTTGGATCGAATCTAAAAATAAATCACTGAAATATATAAGAATATGTTTACTAGAGATTAAGGTTAGCTATGTTTATTAAAAAAAAGCATAGACACTTTGAATTTTTTGCTGGATAATAAATTTGGAGAAGCAACCCTCTAATTATCCTGCGCAGTATATGTTATATAACGATACATACAGTCGGTCACAGGACGGTCGCAACTTCTTGCTTACACATATATAAAAATATGAGTCTTGAACCGATACTAATTATTTACCTGTGTAGCTTTCGGACGTCCTGTATATGAATCGACGTATATACATCGAAATATGTTAGAAATGCGAAGGAAATAGTAATCAAGTAATAATCAAGCCATTCTGCGATCTCATCTCGCGATCGTCGTGTCTGCCTCTCTTTCTCTTTTTCTCCATTTCTCTCCCTTTAGCAAGCCCATCTGCAAAGAGCTTCTTTGAACGCACGATGCCGGATGCGCTCGCTGTGAAAGTTGACTCCCATCGGTTTGTAACGTCGCGTTATGCCGCGCTCGCGTTCCGCCGCGCCATGAGACGGGATCCGTTTTAATTAAAATCGTAGCGTGACGTAATTTAGGTGCCGTCCAGTCAGCCGACGCGGCTCTTCTCCTTCATGAATCCGCTGGCGGTCGAGATCTGGCTCTACGTGCTCGCCGCCTATATGCTCGTGAGCTTCACCCTCTTCGTGATGGCGCGCTTCAGCCCATACGAGTGGAACAATCCGCATCCGTGTCTGGCTGAGAGCGACGTGGTCGAGAACCAGTTTAGCGTCAGCAACAGTTTCTGGTTCATCACCGGCACCTTCCTCAGGCAGGGCAGCGGGCTCAACCCCAAGGTACACTCAACGAGGTGCTCCGCCATTGGACTACTTCTACCGTTTCTCTTACCGCGCACCGATCATCTACGTCGCCATAAAGCACGCCTCAAGCGATATGCTCGCCTGTTCCACACTCGCACGTTTGCCGTACACACATTATACGACCTCATTCGTGTGAGAACACTCGTATAAATCCATCACGTCGTCCAGCCATGAAGTGTGGACGTTCGCAAGGCGCCTGCCGAATTCTTTTTGTTTATGTATATTTATGTTGCGAATCATGTATTTGCAATATTACAGAGGGCTGAAACCGTGAACAAAGACGATTGTGCTGGGGACAATTGTGTATCTCAGTACAGAGAATTACATGAAAGTAAGCAAATTCTGCTTCTTTCTATCGGCGGTCAATTTTTCAAAGTAGCTCTTACAACATAACACTTCTCTTTGTTGACTAAAGAATGTAATTATAAATATTTTAATTAATTCACTCACTAAATTCTCACTACGTTTTGAGGCACGCAAACGACTCCTTAAATTGATCGCAGAACCAACGTCGCAATAACGTCGTCTTCTCTTGTTACAAAGAACGTCAAGCCATTCTGATCTAAATACCGAAGAGATCAAAAGACCAGAACCCGCGAGCGCATTTCTTCCATCGCGAGGAGGATACGACGCGGCTCCCTTATACCGTGGAAATTGACTGTGCGAATGAGATTACTCCGAATTCGTTACTGTCCGTTCTGTCGTTGCGATAAATGGTTGCGTTTTAAAATCCAATCCAGATCGCCGTTTCACGAGCGTCAGCGATATCTCGCGAAAAAATCAAGCAGCATGTAGCGTGGCGGCTGCACTCAAGGCGCACTGCGCATTGCGTTCCGCCCGGCGGGCCGAAGAATAATACGCTTCCGTAATTCCATCGAAATAAAGAATCGTCTCTCGAACCATTTGAGAGACAGCGGATGTTGCGCGAAGGGGAGAGCGGGTGGATATAAGCGGTTCGCGCGGCTTTGAATTCTCTCCCGGCTAAGTAGACGACGCAACAATACGTAGACGAGCGCATCGTTGCGTTTCGCGACGCTTCGCTGTCACATACTCGTCGTTCGCGTCGGATGGAGGATCGGATCCGGGTATTCGATTCCACATTCTGACGCGGATTAGTAACGCGAAAACAAATGTCATTGCTTCAGGTTTCCAAACGATCGCCGCCGCGACTCTTCTCGTTCATGAATCCCCTCGCCGTGGAGATCTGGCTGTCCTTGCTGGGCGCTTACGTAATGGTATCCCTGGCGATATGGATAGTGGCAAGATTGTCACCCTACGAATGGGTGGAGCCGTCGCCCTGTCCGAGCTGTAAATGTCCCTTGCAGGTAGGCTCCCGCCGAGCGGTGCGACACGATCGATTAGAGATTGCGTCATACGTACGTCCCCGAGATTATTATGTGACTTCGTTCGAATGTTGAAATATCCGTAGCGCTAAAGTACAGCTGAAATCTCCGGCGGTTAATTTAAGAACGCCGTCTCAACCGCTCCGTAATTTTCACGATTTTATCGTGCACTTTACCCTCGGTTTTATATCGCAGGATGTAATATTCAGCAGAGAGGAGAGTTAAAAAACGACCAATTAATAATTTCTACGGCAACGCGTGTTCCTCTGCGCGGCATCCATCGTGAAGAAAAAAAGATAAAGAAGAGGGAGAAAGTAAACATGATTAAAAAGTAGAAAAATTATCCCTTTCAAAGATAGCGCTCATATAAAATGCGAATGGAACCCGGTGTTACATTCGCGTCTTTGCGCCTTCCGCAGCACGATCGAACATTTAAAGTGAATTAGAAAGATCGTTCAGTCGTACTTTAATCAAGTGCAACTGGTATAATTGTCCTTTGAACTTTGCACCGCTCGGCGGGGGTCACGCTGTCATCAGGGTAGTCACGTGAGCGCCTTGGACCCGGACAGCGACGACATTCCACTGCTGAGCACTGTCAACGAGTTCAGCCTGGCCAACAGCTTTTGGTTTGCCGTTGGCACACTTATGCAACAGGGCAGCGATCTCAACCCTAAGGTAAACGTGCCACCACAGAGTCAAAAGAGCTCCGAGAAATAACGTTTCCGCTAACGAACGCGCGCATAGTTGCGCGTGAAACTACCGTCGCCGCCGGAATTCCGTCAAGTACCGTGACATTTACAAAAATATTCCCGTCAAAGGCCGACTTTCCATGTAGGTTGAATGACATTAATTAGGAAGAGACGCGCGAGGATTTAAGCACACATATAATCGTGCTCGCGTCTCTAACAATTCTACGACAGTGAAATGCTTATTTAGGCGTCACGTTAGCAGAACTGGAAAGCGATGAATTACTTACACCGCAGCTCGGTCAAATTTTGATCAAAATGTAAAGGAAAGTGAGGGTTATTTCTGCGCTACAATCTCTGTACTCTTTTTCATATGCATTTACTAAAATGCTGATCCGATAGCTTTTTATGACACTCTGGTAGATATTTCCTTTTTACAAGCGTATAAAAAAATGTTCTCTTGGTGTACTAAACCGCTTGATCATTCGCTTCCAGTAAAAAGTTTTCCACATATAATCATATGTAATCATACATATAACCATATAAAATCACATGTAGAAACATATAAAATTATATGCAATTTCTTATATTATTATATGACTCGTTTAAAAGAATCAGGCAGCATCATATATAATTATGTATAAAGTTGTGTGAAATTATGTATAATCATATAAAGGAATTATACATAATTTTATATGTTTCTATATATGATTATATACGATTATTATTATATATTTCTTTTCATGTACGCGACTTTTGCAGGTTAAATTCAGCGTTAATAGCGTAAATGATGCAAAGGGAGAATTTACCTCTGATTTTAGTAGCGAAATAATTACAATTCGACAGTTCTTTTCTCCCGGTCTATTTGTTCTTTTCTTTCTCGCCTTTTCCAGTCTGCATTCGCCCCGCGCTAGGCTATTTTTGCGCGAACCAGTTTTCCTTCTTTTTAATAGCTACCCGGTATATACGCTTGGAAATTACTCGTTCTGCTCAACCACGTGCGAAGCACGTGAAGAGAAGAGGGAAGTAAGGAGAAGAAACTTTATTAGCAACGATATCTCGGGAATACCTTGCGGGAAATGAAAGATATATGACAATCGGTAGAGTCAGGGGTAATTTGTTTTGACGCCTGTCGTAGAAACCAATATAAAAGCGAGTTTACGTCTTTATAAATGAAATTCATGTAGGCGAAATTATCATTGCCTCCAAATATATCTCATTTTAATTTAAGAAGTTAGTAAACAAAGAAGTTTTAAAAATATAATTACATCCATATTTTATATAGATTACGAGTAATAAAAATGCATGTTATGTTACATTTATTTAAATTTCCGTTTTTGATAAATATTACTTGTTGAAAAAATAATCTTTTAGGGGGGAAGCATGAATTTACATTTGCATTATTATCGTTATGTTGAAAAGCTTATACTGGTTGTACGTAAAATGTTAAAAATGTCAGTTGTACGATTTATATGATTTGAAAGTAATCGTATAGAATGCAGAATTCAACAAGTTCTGCATTTCAAGACGAATAATATAATACATGTGCTTACTGCAGACGCACGAAACACTTCTCCTTCCTTCCTCCACGTAAGTATGTCGCGTATAATAGTCATGCAGAGATGAATAAATAGCATCAAATAAATCTTAAAAGGAATTCAGGTACATAAAACGCGAAACGCCCCTAGCATATATAAAAAAATTACACCAGCGTTTGCGAGTCAGCTAAGTAAACGAATGTTGGAAATATATATATCCTCCTATTTTATTTTAAATTAAAATATAGCGCGAATGAGGTATACAAAAAATGATATTTTAGTGACAAAAATGGGGAAATATATGATGATTTTGGCCCAATAGTAAAATATGAATTATAATTTCACTTTGATATATATTTCATTTTGATATATATAGATAAAAAGCATGACATTTATCATTCCACTTCGAGAAATTATTATTTCTTTGACATACGGATTTTCATTTATATGGTCACACCGCTGAACTATGTGTGTGTGTGTGTGTGTGTGCGCGTGTATACATGGACGTAATATGATGAATAGAATATGACGAATGGTGCAGAATAGCGTGCAATTGGCTTTCAGTTGTCGAATAATACTGGTGTATATTGTATAGACTTCCGTCAATCGCAAGAAAAGTATCCACGGGGTATAAACTGGGTCGGCGGTGACATCGTGGACAATGGGAGCATTCGGAGTGAAAAGAACTGTCTGTTATTATTTGCATACTATCTTTCTTTATCGTGTATTTATGTGTGTGTACTTACAAAGATTAAAAACGACGGAACTTATACCTATAAAGCTTCTTCGCGACGTCTCGCTATATTTTATTCGTGACGCGTATTTTGGTCGATCAGATATATTGAATAACTTCGCACCAAAACCATCGTTTATCGAAATTATATGATGTACAGGATGTTTCACTGGAATTGTATATAGATAATTTGCAATTTCAGTTGGAGTAGTTAGACTTGATGAAATTTAGCGCGAATATTTTTGTTTATAAGTTTCTCTTCTAATCAATGACGAGGACCGAATCACTGACTACGTTTATACGGCAATATTAATTTAATAGTAACCGTAATTAGTGAGCTCTTGTATCCTATTTGTATATTCTTTTAAATCTAAAAATATAATCTAATCAGATGCAAGAGTCCTACTAACTATAGTTATTACTAAACCGCATTAATGTTGTCGTGTAAATGTAGTCACTGAAAAAAATGCATGTCAGCCCTGCATGTACATATATGTCGATCGTCATTTATTTATCGATTGTATTTTAATTTTTTGTATTTATGTGATTTATAATCAATAAAATAACCATTTTACTTGTTTTACCATCTTACTCGTTTTGTGCTGTTATAATAATTTTGTATTAATTTTCATTATTATGCGAAATATGTCGTACTGCAGATTTATACTTAATGCAGTATATTTTCACCATTTTCCTTTCGTTTAGAGCATCATACATTATTCTTTTGCGTTACGTAACATTTTGCGTAACATTTTGCGGCAGCTTACGTATATGCAAGGCTTTCGACATATTTTGAGAGAGTAATACATTTTTTTAACGTTCATGATCAAATATACGATAATATCTTCATATTTCCCATTTCATCTAACTTCGTATAAAAACAATGATTTTTTAGAAGACAAAACACAAGTTACATAGTACGAAAATTTAGAACTCAAAACTTAAAATAATGAAGGTCTTTATTGCATTGATTGTTCAACATGACATTGTGTCTATTCCTGTAATTATTTAAATCGCTATTTTACTTCAGACGCATCGTTATTTTAGAAAAACGTTGATATAAATGCACACAACGTCTCGTGAAAAACATCAGCAGTGTCTTATTTTTTCTTCTTTGCTATCTTCATCTGACGCTACAATAGTTTGGAAAACAGTAGATTTTGTATGCAAGACTCAAAAAAGCGCGATATAAAAGCAGTTTTACGTATACGTTCGGTAGTAAATTTGACGCTTGGTTCTTCACTTTTACGAGAGTGACTGCTACAGGCGTTTTCTTGAAGGATCACGGTTTGAACAGTGTTTCGTCAACTTTTTTCTATATTATACGTGACCCAAAATAAAAAAATATGCTGGTAAATAATAGAACTTTTACTATTTATGCTTTGGATATTTTATTATTGTTTTTTCATAATATGTTTGTTATTTGAAATATAAAAAGATGTTCAGAAATACGATAATAGTATTAAAAAATTGTCGTTCATTATTTATTATTGATTATGTTTCATTGATTATTCTAAAGCCACAACAAGAGTAATAATTATTATCGTTGCTTTTTTGCATTATTAACACGTTAAAGATACATTGTCGTTTAATATGAGCTGAATGCTAATTGCTTAGAAATGAATAGAAATAATATAGACGCTTGTTTGGTGCACATTTGTATCTGTTTTTCTAGTGATAAAATTTATTATTACCAATAACAGCTATTAGTTATGTATTTTAGTCATTACGTCTGTCATTTCTATATTGCTCAAAATATATTGCCTAATATTTAAATTAAAAATAAGGTGTACAGAGAATTATTAATTAAACTAATAATTTTCTCAATTATATATTTATACGTGAAAATTATGGCTTATTTAATTTGGTGTGAAGGCAAAGCTTATTTTCAAAGAAATTAATTACAGCCGTTGAAAATAAGAGCATGTTATAATAAAGGTGAAAACAACGTGAAAATGGAGAAAATATATTTATATGATTAATAATATAAATTTGGACACAAATAATAATTTCGGCATTATCTTGTAGCATACGCCTGCAGTTATCACGCCGCTGAATCACGGGGGCATAAATCCAACTCATCTGAACTTATAAATCACAGGATATATGCATCGTTTTTCCGGTGCTTCTTGCATTTCGCATTCGCAGCGTGATATTGCACGAAAATTTTACGATGTTCTTATTCGAAATAGAACGCGGATGAAATGCTGTCGTGAAAGTTTATGTAAAACACAATATATCCAACGATGTAAAAATATTTAAAAAAAATAAAGATGCAACTGTAAGACTAACATACGTCAAAAATACGTGTCAAGCATACACGTGCTATTTATTTTTAAATCTACTTATCAATTTCTTATCGAATTCATTCTCATTATATAATTATACATTGTATAAGCTTGCCAGTAAATATCTAAGTTCGGAAAGTATAAAATTTAGATTGCTGCACACTGCATATTTGTTCGTAAAACGCTAGGGGAAAATTAAAATAGCAAATATGAAACGACTAGTAAGTAAAACCTTGTAGGGAAACATGAATATTTATGGTTTATCTATATATCATGCGATGCCAATTGACTCTGTGGTGGCACGTATGTACATGCGGGGTTGTCGTTGCAACTGTCTCGAGTGTTAACGCGTGTGTTTCATGACCAGGCACATCGGCGTTATCAGTTGCATTAACAATTACGGCCAAGCGCTCTTCATATAGAAGAGAATGTAATATTGCAAATAATAATGTGTTTCTTGCTTGTTTGAAGTTTCTTTACACACGCGCGAGCGGATGTTTGCCGAACGGTTTAGGCACTTTTTCTTCGATGCACCCCGTAAAGCAGTCGACGTCTGATGAGAGAACCTATCTGAAATTTTAATCTTTCGTGATGTGGAAAACGCTCGCTTTGGCTTTCGAATTGGTGTCGCTAGGAGAGCAAAAGAGAGAGAGAGAGAGAGGGAGGGAGAAATGCCTCGAAATAAACTCATCTTCTGAGATTATTATTTATTTAATTATTTAAGAACAAACTTTATTATTGGACGTCGGCTGTGTTCTAAAGTACGTTAAAAAAAAGGTACTCAAACCGTTCTACAGACGAATATACGCGCACAATGCAGGCTTCTTCTGTCGATACGAAAAATAAGCGGCTCTTCGTTCGGACAGATTGTTTTTAAGTGTGACGCATCACGAAATGCAAAACACGGATATTCGACGGACGAATTGAACACGCGTACGCACTACTACTGTCTGCTAAAATATTATTCGATATATTTGAAGCTTCGAAACTTCGAATTCTATTTGAATAATTCGACTTCAAATGTTCCAAACTTCAAACTCTTGGAAAAGACAGAGAAAAAGACAATGCGGTACGCATTATTCTAAAAATCCAATCGTTATTTTAATTTCGATATTAAAGCACAAAATTACGGAAAGTAAAAAAATCGTATATTCGCAAATTACCGGTGTGCAAACTCTTTCGCGTCATATTACCGCGCGGCGGAATTAAAATCGCTCGCCCGGCTACGAACTCCAGAGGTGTAAAAGGAACGAGGAAACCATTCACGGGGTGTCCTATATCCGAGGATCATTTCCACGATCGTCGGGTTCACCGCGTTAATGGGCCGAAATATCCCGCCGGCGAATCCTAAACGAGACCCCATATTGCATTCTTCGACTGCGGCGCGGTATTCTCCGTCGGGATCGCGATTCGCCGCTCCTTAAATCGACCTCGTCACTCGCCTTGATGCGTTTTCGATCGATCTCCGAATCCCCTTACGGTCTCCCGCGACAGTGGTGAGGGAGTATCCTCCTCGAGGTAGAGTGGTATTGAAAAAACATTTACACGTGAAAGATCCTTCTTAACAGAGCTCGAAACGGATGTTCCTCTCACATGTTTACGACGATTTGATTTTGGTACTATAGACGGCCTGATTGATATCTAAGTTAAAAGCAATCTTCTCTGTTTGGAAAACGTCAGTTAATTATTTATCGTATCCGATACATCGACATATGACTTTTCGTAAGCGATCGTGCATATTGGCATCGTTGGATAATTTATTCGTGTTATTAATACAACACACAATCGCGAAATTATAATATAAGTTATTAGCGTTGCACAATTTTTGATGTATCGAAAAGCTTTTGTTTTCTTATAAACGAATCTGATGAGACATAGTTTACGATTAAATTGATAAATTATATTTTCCTTTCATTAATATATTGCATTTGTAATCTCTCTGTCACTGAAATTTATGTAACTGAGCAATAAAGGCGATTAAATCTGTAATATTCGGGACGAAATTTAACGTGTTGTTAAACATTTGGTACTGAATTCAATATCATCGAATTGAGAGAACCGTGTAATTTACTAAGCAAACGAAAAGAGGGAAAAGCACACAGCCGAATTTTATCGTGTTTATTCGTGATGAATACGTGATTAATCCTCATTATCAGGCCACCAGCACGAGAATAGTAGGCGGCATATGGTGGTTCTTCACATTGATCATCATCTCCTCTTACACTGCAAACTTGGCCGCCTTTCTGACGGTTGAGAGAATGATCACGCCGATTGAGAACGCCGCCGATCTCTCGGAACAAACCGAAATTTCTTATGGTACTCTGGAAGGTGGGAGTACAAAGACGTTCTTCAGGGTGAGTTTACAAAAACACAGTGGTGAAATCGTATTTTGCGTCTCTCATATCGTACAATATTTCGGCCGTCAACAACATACCTTTATTCCATTTATATACGCAAGTATATTTTCCGCTGATATCCTTTGATCGTGTTTTCCATTGTACATGTAGATTCCGTCCAAAACCTCGTTTTATTATGCGATTTCACTCGGAAATGCATCACGCGATACATGATTTAAAAGAACACAAGTTCCATAGTAAATTTCTTCACGGTGAAAACATAAATTGCGTTCTGCAACGCGATGTTCCAACCGAAACAGAAATTCAGTAAGCGGATACAGTGAAATTATATACGCATATGAATCTAAAATATATTAAATATATCGAGGGAACCGTGTGTATGAAGTTTAAAGACATATAGCTGACAAATCTATAATCTTCATAACTCCGCTAATAGCCGGTTAATTTTACACGGACGTATTTTTGCAAAGGATTTTACATTACCGTAATTTTAATGAATAACGACGTTTTATTGAAAAGTACCTGTTATACTCATCGAACAAAATTACGGCTTTTATTAGTCCTGCTTCTCTCTACTATCTCGTATAGAGAGACGAGCAAATTAGCTGGCACGTTAATGAGCAAAAAATTCCAGAATTTATCCTGGAAATACCCTGGAAGTTGACAACGTCAAAGAGCGACCACTCAATATAAACGTCCGATTTAGAGGCTTCCTCTGAGTTGATATTCGAAAAGCGGATAGACCCGTTTGACACGATATAAACTTTTTTCGGTTTTGCACTTAATTTAAAATTATAATCTGCCTTTACGGTTCCTAATCGAAACTTGAATTTACAAGACACAAAGTTAAATTGGAAAACGATACGGAAGAAAAGAACTCGATTTCCGCGACTTAACCGCAGGACTCGAAAATTGGAATTTATCAGAAGATGTGGAGGTTCATGGAATCGAGAACTCCGCCTGTGTTCGTTCAAACCTACGAGGAGGGAGTGAAGAGGGTCCTGGAGGGCGACTACGCATTTTTAATGGAGTCGACCATGCTCGATTATGCGGTTCAACGTGACTGCAACCTGACGCAGATAGGGGGTCTGCTAGACAGCAAAGGATACGGGATTGCTACCCCAAAAGGTAATTATATGAACAAAGATAACAACGTAGATCCAACAGACGTATAATTTGAAAGTTAGTTAACGAAGTATTCGATACCGAAAGTTAAGAAGTTATGAAACATGAATGAGGTACTATTAAATTTTCGTCGAGGGAATATCGGCTTCATTGGCCACCACGTAGTTTAAGAAAAGCGCGCTACTTTTAGTATCGTTCATATAGTACAGATGCTTAACTGAGCACAGAAAATGTACCTTTTTGTTAAAATAGCGTGAATTTGAAGAATTTCTGCGCGTGAGACGGTATATTTTTGAAATACGCTACTTGATGATATATTTGACGTGTTCAATGTACGAAGCAACGACGAAATTACGCTCGAGATTATACTGCTGAAGCAGGAATTGCGAGATCCTTGACCAGCCTAACGAAGGCTTTTTATATGCAGGCTCGCCCTGGAGGGATAAAATATCTCTAGCTATTCTGGAGCTGCAGGAGAAAGGTGTAATACAGATACTCTATGATAAATGGTGGAAGAACACGGGCGACGTGTGCAACAGAGATGACAAGAATAAAGAGAGCAAGGCTAATGCTCTCGGAGTCGAGAATATTGGTAAGTTTGCTGAATTATATTAGCTTCTTGAATGAAATTAAATTGCTAATGGGAAAAGACAGAATTGATAGATCAAACTAAGACAGCCAATAACGCGGTGAGTGTAAGACTTTGTTTTGTCTTATTTTATAGAAACATTTGATTTTCTTTCTAAATTACACGATAAAATATTATTTATTTCACGTCATGTATTCTAGAGCTCACATGCAAAATCGCAAAATTACTTTAAAAATTCGCTCATTATGGAGCAAAATGAACTCCTGATAATAAAGTTCATTACAAAGTATATTCAGGGGATTGTGGCTCTGGAAATTAATTTATGCTAAATTGAATACTGCATACATGAGAACGGTCCTTTTATGGTTTTCGATACTTAATTAATTTGGTTATTGAGTTTATCGAATTTACATGCAGGCGCACGATGTACGCGAGCGAATATATTTAGTTAAATGTATCGTACTCGCGAAATATGTTTGTGAAACCCGTATATGTACATTTCATTCGTATCTTATCAACGGGATAGCATATTTGAACCGTAATGCCACCTATGAGTTACATTCGCGTGCTGTAAATCTGAGCCACAGCTGCGGCATATACCATTGGCGACGTGCTTGTGTGTGCGCAAGCAAAAGAGATGTTCGGTGGTCATAACTTCCACGTGTCCGACACGCCTGTTTTAAGTTTCAGTCATTTCAACTATGACATATATTTTATTCGTTTTACGGGTCGTGTGTGCAGCACGTTGGAAAAGCGGACAGAAATCTTCTTTATGCAACGATACAAATCGAGTGTACGAGAAAAACAGCAAAATTTAAAAAAACACGAAAACTAAGTTACTAATAAAAAAGGTAGTATTATGTAATAAAATATTTGTATTGCGCGTTAAGAACTTTTTACAATATAAACATCGTCGAGAAGCAATTATCAGTTGGTTTTTGTTCGAGCAATAAGATGAATCATCCAATTAGTGACAAAGTAACCTCATCGTGGAATTAAATTAATAAATTATTATATTATACATACACATGTATAATACATATGTTAAATATATAACATTTATTTTATTCGAAAGTTTAAGCATTTCTCCGCTGCGCGGAGGAGAACATTGACATTCGATCGAACGCGAAGGAGACAAAGTCTGAATCGAAAAGAAGAGGAAGGAAGCTCTCTCTCTTTCTCTCTCTCTCTCTCTCAAGCGCGGTGGAATCTTACGCAAAGTTCGCGAACAAATTTTTCTTGGGACTCTCCGGCAAGCGCTTCCGGATTTTATGGAAGTCACAACAAGTTCCTTCTTTCTCTCTCACCCACCTTCGTTCGTTTTGCCTTTTTTCTCCTCTCTACTCGCGGAAACTCGGGCTACCTACCTACCTACCGAAGCACCTACTTTGCCTCCCCCTTCTTTTCTATGGTTTCTTCGCCACGTAGCCTGTAACTTGGATAAGCACCCACTTTGCTGGCGGTGTAAATGTACTCGACGAGACAGAAAGAGAAACGGACCGTCTCGGAGCGGCGCGAAAATCTAGCGAAATTACAGTTAAATTGCTAATTCCCATCCCTTTCAATGCCTTGATTATTTGCCGTGGAAAATGAACGATCTTCGCCAGCTGACCTTTGTCGTGCTATTTTATAAGAATAAGCAGTCTACCGGCTGCGGAGGAAAGGCTCCCTGGTAATTTTAATGCAGCCGAGGCAGAATTATAAGAGATATAAATTGCCTATATCTGTTCTCTTGAAACTTTAAAAACGTCGCACTAAATCTTTTTGTAGAACTATGTAAGGTAAGGTGAGAAAAATCTATGAAATAAATTGTGAACTTAATAAATATTTATTTAACAATAAAAACTTACCCGATGAAGTAATGAGACACGGGAAGTCTCACATTGGACGTACAAACCACACGATTCCGTACTGAGCTGCTACTTTGTAGGATAGGTTAGGGATCCAGCAGCTAATAATTTTCCTGTTATCTGCTAAGTTGTGATACTTAACAAGTTAGGAATCATGATATTTCATTATTATATTATATTATCTGCATTTCCTCTACGATTCCTTTTCGTGCGTCTAATCTATTTTAAAGATTTAAAATTATTTTTACCTAATTTTATTACAACATTAATTTTATTAATATTATTTTACTTATGTTATTTCTACATAGATTTACATAGATTTATATAGACTTACCTAGATTTACTACTTAATGGTACAGTACGTGTCAATAATAATAGCCAATTTTTTATCGTCAATCTCGACGTTGGCAATAAATAAGAATAAAGGAAAAAATGAAGCAAGAAACTTTCTGCGTACATGGATAATATAGGGCATTACTAAGTTTTATCCCAACGCTAACTTTAACTTCGGTTTCCTATCTGTTGTCCTAAAGTTAGAACTAAAAAGAAATGAAAGTTCTGCGTTAAACCGTAAATTCCTCGTGTTCTTTCCGATGAGTAGAGACTGAAAATAAACAAAGGATCCGATGAAGCACGAATGAAGTAAAGCGACGATCCGGAATTGAAGAACACCTTCACGGCGCGGGGGACGAACAAATAACAATATCAGAGAGACACGTTGAAATCTATTTAGGGGGTGTCTACATTCCGCGACCTTGCATTCACTTTGCTCGTTTGTCACTGAACACCGCTAACTCCGGGAATTTCCGGGTTAGCGAGAGTCTCCTCGAGAACGACGAGTTCCGGATGATTCTTGGTTCGTGCCAAGAGAAGGCCTGCCATCCTACGGGGAAACTTGGGCGTACATCCTGGCTCGGCGAGCAGAACTTCCTACTCGCAGAACTTGAATCGGCCTGTAGCATGATACGGCGATTTACCTGCGCCTGGCTCTTGATACCGCTTTGCAAAATAGGCGTGAAGCCACGGCGCGATACCTTTGCGCCCGTGCGAGAAACTTTCGTCCTTCCGGCGAGACGTCCGGAGTGTCATCATAAATCAAGACGATGTAGTTATGCAAATCTACCTCGCATCCCCGCCTGGATACTGGCTCAGTTGTCTCGTCGTCAACGATAAGTGGACACTTTTTAGCCCGTGCTTAAAAGTGCCCGCGCGCTCTACATATTTTATTTCTTATTCTTCCTCTCCGCTGGAAATATACGGCCGAAAGTTTCCCGCTGGAATAAAAGTGTTCGCTGATATAAGCGAATCTATTTCGCGAATTTTCTTCTTGCTTCGCTCCGCGATCAGGCTCGACTCATGTTTCATACAAATTAGGTGTCGACGGAACATTTTGCGTGCGTGCAATCAATCGGAAAAGTAATCTAAATCCTTGAAGGGATTAAGAAAGGTGTTTGAACTCTTGCGAAATCAGTTCATCAAATATAAGTTTAATCGTAACTTGAAATCAGTTTTATCGCAACTTATCGCATCATTTATCGCATCACTTATCGCATGAAGTACTATTTTACGCTTATATAATTGTAATCTAGATTAATACCATTCTTTGCGTCATTCTTTTTATCGCCTACCTTGAGACCATCTGTGCATCGGTTCACATTTGCTGCTCTCCCGAACTTAATTTTTCGAATTTTCTTAATTTAGTTAACAAGAAAATCATTTCTCAAAAATCATTCTATCCGAAAATACTAGAAACTTAAAATTTATTTTTTCGAAATCTCAAACTTTTCTATCCCCTTTAAATATCTGGAGAAACAAGTCTGTAGAAATTGCAACATTGTAGGCAATGGTTGCGAAAATGAGGAAAACCAAAGCGTACTAAAAAAGCTATGTTAGCAAGTGACTAATTATTCACCACAGAATTTCTAAAGAGGAAGTTGGAAAGTTCACTTAGAAAAGACGAACATGTTGATTACGCAGTAAAGTGAAAACTTTGCGCGTCATATTTTCAAGCAGTGGAGTGAAAATTCTGCTCTGATGTGAGGGAGTATATTGGCGGCTTTCGATAAAATTGAAATGTTTACTAACACGACATCAGTTTGTTCAGACTTTACAAAACTGATCTTATATTTTACACTGTTTACCCGAGCAAAACCTGTCGTGCCGAAATAAAATGCAAATCGCGCGATACTCGCGTGACACACGTACTGCCTGCTAAAAATACCCCGTTTAACTTTTTTAGAAATTTCACAAGTTACTATTTCGAGCGAGGTGTTTCTGGAACATACTGCGCACGAGTGTAACGTTAGCTGGAAAATTAAAAGAACAAATCAAATGAGAGCATACGCGCGAACACACCTGACGTGCCGCACCGAGCTACAACGACTCTGTCAGGGAATGCGTTCCAGTTTCGTGATTAATCACTCGAATCTTTCTAGAAACTATCGCTAATTTTAAATGCAACGCTCCCGCATACTTTCGCCGTCGCTTCGTTTTTCGCGCGTATCGGACACGAGCTCAACTTTGCGCAGCCAGCGTAAATGCCGCTTCCGAGTTCACTATTTTCGCACGACTCTCGCATCGCAATAAATACAAACACCCCACCATTTATCAGTATATACGTTTCCACGCACGCTCGGCTCGCAGTCGTTACCCGCGAATACTCCATCGCGAAGTTTTCCCATGAAACAGACCAAAAAGGCGGCTGGCGCGATCGATCTGAGTGCAAGTTTCGCTTAGATATTGCGCGCACGATTTTTCCGCGGCCGTCCCGCTGTGCGAACTTTTTTCCTTCCACCGTAGTTTTCTCCTTCTCTTTGTTCGCCGACAAACTAGCGCTACAAAGACGCGAACGGGGAGGAAGCGCAGAGGGAGACCCGCGAGATGGAGGACAAACACGCCCCGTCGTACTTCGTGGCTGCCAACGACGTCGCGCGTCTCGCTCGGCGAAATTAGCGGAGAAAGAGAAGACCCGCCGGCATTAAAATAATGAACTCCCGGTCTTGTCGTTTCAGGCGGTGTCTTCGTCGTGCTACTCTGCGGCCTGGTGCTCGCGATCTTGGTGGCGATCCTTGAGTTCTGCTGGAATTCGAAAAAGAACGCACAGTCGGACAGGGTAAGCTGGACGAAAATCGCCGCGAGGACGGCGGCGTAGAATTTTACGCTTCACGTGAACGTGCTGCATGAGTTGTACTTTCTCTTGGTCGTGCGAGGTCGTTTGGTCGTTTTACAAAATTCATTCGCAGTTCGTTTCAAATCACTTACACCTTCCACATCGAATTCCACTAAATATATCGAAACTGTGCGACGCACTAATCGTCCATGAAATGCGTACAATTGATTCAAGAATAATTTGCTATTTCTGAAAAGAACGAAATCGAGAAGAGAGATAAAAACTAAACGGAATTCGAATTTGCTTGTTAATTTTTCAGCTTATGTAGATGATAGGGAAGGTTTTACATATTTAAATAAAGATCGATCATTATTTTTACGTTACCACGAAAATAAGGAAAAATCGAACCCTGAGGTTGTCATCTCATCTCCCTTTCTCCCGTTCCTCTTTTCACCTTGCCAGTATTCGTGGCTAAATCACGCATTAAACATTCTTTCTTCATCAAACACACAATTGATACTCCACACGAGAACGCAGCAAATGACATTATCACGACTGACGACCAAGAGAGCGCGAGAGCGATAAACGACCCCGCGTCACGGAGAAATCAGCCTTGCATGCGTTCGTATGATCGTCTCGTATGATCGTCTTGTGTATTGTCTCTTGGTGTATGTTGTACCTGTCTCGTGCCGGCGGCCCCATCGTCGTCGATTACCTATTGGACGGTAAACGCACACGTGCATCGACTTCGTTTATACTACTCGACAGTCCCTCTGTGCGGAGATGGCCTCGGAATTGCGATTCGCCATACGCTGCGGCTCCCGACAGCGGCCCGCCGCGAAGTCACGCAATTCCGCGGCCGCCGAGCTGTGCAGCCGTTGCAGTCCGCGGTCCAGGGGAAGGGCGCACCTCTGCTCCTCCGCGGAACACGAGGAGACCACCTACATACCGAGCATCGAGATCCCGCGATTAAATGGTGTAAGTCTTGTCCCGCACGACGGGCTCGCGATCAGCCTCGATCGGCATCTCCCCGAGGTCTGTTCTTCTTCTTTTCGGCGAAAGAATTTGATTTCACGCATTTACAGTCGCGTCCGGGAATGTGTCGTTTAGCACCTTGATCATAATCAAATGTACGTATGCAAAAATACAAAAAATAAAAATATTCATATATGACGCTTTTTTCGTCACATTCCCTCGATCGAACGAATTGCCAATGGCGTAAATCGCGAAGAAAAGTGCCGAAACAAGGCGGATTACATTAGGATTCTCCGGAGGAGAGCCGATTGTTGGTCGCGAAGCGATACTCGATTTCACGGTAATTCGACTCCACTGAGCAGAACCAATTACAGGCTCAGAATCTCTCTTGTCCTTCGTGTTAGCGAAAATGTTGTCGAGTATTGTATGTATGCGTTGCTCATAAAGGTCGGACATCGGTATCGCGCGCTAACTCATATTACCGTGCAGAGAGTACAGCTTCCGTGGAGCCTAAATACGTTCCTTGTCACCATTTCTACCGTAGATAGGGAAGCTCGAAATCAGAGAAATCACGGGTGTGCGAGGAATATCAGATCCCGCATGTCACCTGACAAGGGAGTATTGCAACTGTCGATTTTCTTCCGAAACGGATCGCACCGTAACTGTGCGTATCTACGTTTCTCTCTCTGTATATTGTTATGATGATGTGTGCGTGTGTTTTGAGATATCTCGACTGTGCGAGCCGTAGAACACGAAGTTTCCCGTTGCGTCGGGCACGCATCACACGAGATATATTCGTATTCTATTACAAGATATTTCTGATTATTGCACGTTCATATCTGGCAGTTAGCGAACTGGCTGCACTCTGCGTAACGACAGTTGTTGGATTACACCACGCGTGTTTATAGTTGCAGTATATCACACACGCGTAAGATCTAATTGCATGTGCAAACTTGTAACAATAACAAAGCGCGCTCTATCGCGCGCTGTATCCTCCGGCGCAATTTAGTGGAATTTCTATCAGGAATAGTTCAGTCTCGCGATGCACGAACGCCGTGCGATATAAACACGAGCGGAATTGATGTCTAATATATCTGTTGTGTATGCTTCGTCGAAGGTCGAAGGCCGATCGATGGTGTTATTCTTGAAAACTTGGACGGAATATATTACCTTTCGATACGATGTTATCTCTTGATGCAGACCTATCAAGGATATCCCGTACGAAAACTCGCAGGGGTACACTTCAACGTTCGCCCTATCCGCGAAAATAAAATAGCTACTTTGGGAACGCGCGCGGCAAAATATTGTAGCGCCTAAACGGCCCGTCATTCTTGAAATTTCACGAGGAGGGTCGCCATACGGAAGTGATTTTTTTTTCGGGCAGTGTCGCGCTTTTAGACGTTATCCTCTTTTCTCTCGTCTTCAAAGTATAAGGCATTCTGCCGAGTTCCTGAAGTGGAAAACGAAAGAGGGCGAAGAACGTTTAAGATGTGCTCTCGCTATACCTCGCTATACCTGTGACATAATGCACTCTCTTTGTGACGTAATCGTTTTATGTACGGCGCAAAATCATTTTTTAGTAAGAACATGCTTTCGTTAATAACTCCTTTTGGTCGTTCTTAAAATGAAAAACAGCGTTTAATGTTTTTGTAACATAATTAGAAATTAGTACTAGTTTTATTCTAAGAAATTTAGAGAACATTTATATGAAAAAAATTACCTTTTTTCTAAAAAAAAAATATGAATCTTAATTTATCATGGATGAAAAATATAAAATTGTTAATAAAAGTCTTAAAGAGGGTCTCATGCATGTTCGATCGAGAAGCAGGTGTTCAATTTATCTGTCTTGTGAAATAGTGTCTAGATAGCGGAAACTAAGATGGGCAATGACTTTCATTAGCAGAGGCAACTTCGTGAAATGTCGACACGCTCCGGAGCAAATTCCCGCGTGACAAGAGCGATAACGTATCGCTCTCTCCTTCTCTCTCTCTCTCTCTTTCTCTCTCTCGTTCGCTCGCTCCCTTTATCTCTTTCCGTTCTAACATCGTGTCTCTTCCTCTCGTCACGTACCACGTTCCACTCTTCCGCTTAAAGTTTAATTACGATCATGTCGAGGTAGAATCAGTGACTCAATCAAATTCCATCGACAAATCCGCCCGAAAGTACGAGTACATCTAAATCTGGCTGTCACCCCTGATTTCAGTGACTGCTTTCGAATAGACATTCATCCTTCTCGGTGCACTGTACTATCGATTTTCACCGCCAACGAAGTACCAACGATGCAATTGCGACCAACTATACTTATCTCCCGGCTCATTGTTACTACTCGGTCCTCTCAGCGCGAAAAAGAATAATTATCGAAAAATTACGTAGCGTTTGCTGCAACATCCTGCGCGCACAATTGATAATCTATGATACGAACGATGCCGAACATATTATGCCGTGGTACGTAATGTGGTTTAGCTATTTGACAGTAATTAACCCATACTTATGCACCATTTGTCGTTGATACACACGGTGAATAGCGACATCCGCATCGTCGAGAAAATGCAATTGTATTGCGAGCGAAGACGGCGCGTTCTGAATCCCAATAAACCACATCGACCGCATTATTCCGTCACCGCTAGTTTCGAACATATTCACATTAGAGACGATGCACTTTAAACTACATACTTTTACGCGCATCCATAAGTACAAGGGCAAACTTCAGTTTATTCGAGGGGAATTCGTGAATAAAAGATATTTACATAATATCCTACAAATATATGAGATTCAACTAACTGAATGACTCACGCGTATTCATACGATAATCCAAATTTGATATTTAAGTATACTTAATTTATATACAAGACAATAAACAACTATTAGTAGCTTATTAAATTTTATGATTCGATTAATTTATTCCCAAATATGAGGTTCATAATAACTTTTATGATATTTTCCATTCGTAAATCAATCATAACTCAATTTGAACTGAATCTAATTACGTTATTTTATTTCGGCAATATCACAGATAACTACAGTATAGATCTCGAAGGTAAAATTCAACTTCCGTCATTTGCATGGAATGCGTTAATCATTTCGCTCATATCAGCGATGTAATAATCAAGTCATGGTATCAGCCCGCATTAGTCTCTAATAACTGGTATATGACCGATGTAGAGCCTATTTGCAGAGAAACGCTTCATTAATTGCGCACCAGCTCCCGTCTTCACAATAGTCCTCTATCCCGCAATATATCCATGCAACGTATCCACCTCGCTTGTCTCGCTCGTTCCAAAAACGTGATCTGAAACCTATATCAGTACTGTTCTATGCCGGAATTGTGGGCAAAAACATTCTCTTCGTAAAGCACGTGCCGCTCGTTTCAAATAGACAACTCTAAAGACGTAGTTTTCAACACTTCCGTGCCCGGGTGATAACGTTCTCTCAGCGTGACCTTTAATAACTTTTAACAGCCCAGCGCAACTTTTAATAACTTGCTCGTCTACCCCCACATCGTCACGGAACGATTCGGCCATGGCCGCACCGATACAGCTAACACTCGCGCTTACTTTTCTCAGCAGGAGGGTGGTGCGTTGTCGATGACGGAGATGAAGAAATCATTGAGCTTCGATCAAGTGACGACGTCCCATGGCGGGAACACCTAGCACAGGCCTCATCCTCATCTTCACCCCCAGCAACAGCAGCAACAGCAGCAACAGCAATCACAACAGCAACCGCCACCGTGCAAAGTCACCCCCACGCACACACGTCACACACACTGCCACTCACATTCACACATTCACAGTCATGCGCACAAACACCAAGCACCTCCACCGAGACAGAGACGGGGCTCTTCGGACATCATCTTGGGTCAAGGTACGATCGTTTATCGATTACGCAGCCGATAATTTCATCCCATTACGTTCGCCCGGATGGATGGCAACTTGATCGTTTAAGCTCCCATTAATTCCGTTTCCGTAAATTTGACAGGCGATGGAAATCGTAGTGACAAATTTGCTGAAACGGACAGAACGTGGATTTAACTTTTCAGAAATTATTCTTAGTAGAAGCAACGCCATTCTGCAATAAAGTATCGAAAAAATTGTTGTGCTTAAGAATAAGGTAGTTAGTAAGGTCCGTGAATTTATTTTCTTAGGCATCTTTTCCAATTTTAATAACGTAACATACAAAAACACGATTTACATACATGCAAAATTAGAAAAAAATATGTGTGAATATGTACGAGGTTTAAGTATTAATTTTATAAAGATATTGACGAAAGAGAACCGAAGACGATAATATATCCACCAATATAACTTCGCTAGAAATTGTATTATTAATTGTGCCACATTAGGAGGTGACCATCCTGAGAGTATTCTCTGGAAATTCGACTGCGACCTAGCGGGTGAACCGGACGTAGTGATTTCCCCGCCACCCCCGCCGCCGCCACCGTCGGCAACGGTCTCGAGGACCACCACCCTTTGACCAATACTCGAGGAGGTGCCGACAGGTGTACCCGCTCAAAAGGAGCTGCCCACGCAGGCCTCAGTGGTCATCAGCGTGGTCGATCAGAAGGAGACATGCTTATAACACATATAGTCGCCGGGGCGAGTTGGTAAACCGCAACGAGGGCCTTCCCGCGCCGACGACGATGACGACGTGGAACCGTCGATCGATATTGTGTAAACACGGAACAACTGAGAAATCGATTAGACGGGAAATACTGTAACGAGGACCGTGCGTGATCCGCGTGATACATTCCCGCGACGCGTCCTCCGTTTTTTTTTTTTTGTGCCGACGGAAACTATCCGGCAACACGGGTCAAGTGGTGCGACTGGTGTCCGACGCCCGGCGAATTCAGCGAGAGCCGGCTTTACAGGACAGCGCGCGTATGATTCCGCGCGTAACTGTGAAGGTATCGATCGAACCCGATGCCGACGCAAGAACGTAATCGAGATAATGGAGACTATGTAGCCGGACGTGTGCATCTGTTGATAGAAGCGGCACGACAACGAGTGATCCCCGGAGCCATCACGGTGTCATAATAGACGTTCGCCGGTCCACGAAGACAACGGGCTGCTGTTCGGGGAGCGAAGCGTGTCCCTCAGAGGCCGCCGGTGATCGTACGTCTGACTGGTCGGACCGGGGTTAAATTGAAAAGTGCCGGCGAGGAGATGTCACGGCTCAATTGGGATGATAGATGCCGCATGGAAAGTGGAATTCCGCGATCGTGACGCCGGAGACACGAGCGGGAATCCGGCAGTGTCGCGAAATTTTCCGGGGCAACAGTGGAATCGAGAGACAAGCCGAACCGCTTACGTTCGCTCGAGGTGTCCGACCAGAAGCGACCACGCGACACGTGTCGGCGCAGTGCGAGAAGGAAAGAGAGAGAGAGAGAGAGAGAGAGAGCCGATACTGCGGCCGAATTTCAAGTGAAACATATCGAAACGGATTTAGAAACTCGGAAAGAGGCTTGTTAAAGATCGCTCGTCACATATAGAATTGTTCTCCAGCCGCGTCGCGACCTGTACATTAGAACTGCACACGTTGAAGCGAACGACAGCGAATTATGTAACGTTGAGACATCCGTCACTAATTACTGGACTGGGATGATTATCCGTTGACTGGTCGACGATGACATGTGATTACTTCATAGAAAGTACTCGCGATCATGATATATTGCGGCGCTGTTCTGAGCGCAGTTCTATATGTGAACGCCGACCATTAAGTCGATCGTAAGATCGTCGACGAGGTCGCATGCGAACGCGAAGACAACGTCTATTGGAATGCTGTTTCCAGTGACAATAATTTCGGATCGCGATTTTGCCGCGACTGCAGCCGTGACGCTCGCGCGAGACGAGAGTTGGTCTAGCAAAATCGGGCGAATTTTACATCTTGCGAGTTCTCGATACCGATCGAAGTTGCGAGACAGACGGAACCAATAGACAAGTAAATAAGCATAGGCTGCGAACGGCTAACTAGAATTTTTACACGCGACGAGAGGTATAGCGCCTAATAGCGATAAAACACACCGACGGCTGTATCATATGACTCGGACCAAAATCGAATTAGTCATCACTGCCATATTTAGCCTGAACAAATGTCAAAGCGTCCAATAATTTCGAGCATAGATAGGCAGGTGTAAAACAGTCGACCTATGAGAAGTAGATGCAAACGGTGCTTGTTGTTATGACAAATCTATGAAATCTATATAACTTAACGTTATCGCTGAGTTTGCGCTACAATATGATGGGTCAAATGTAAAATTTAATACATGATAGGAGAGTTTTTAATTTCGATGCTCGCGCCGAGAAGATTTTTTATTGTTTCATTATGGAAATAGTATAATGCTGACGCTATGAAAATACATATATTATCGAAATTTTTGTTTCGAATATTTTTGCGTTCAGATTCATCAAGTTCAAGCATAACATTGTCCTCTCACTCATCAGATGTCCTGATAATTAGCAATTTGATGAAAGAAATCTTTTTTTAAAAGATATGTAATTTGCAACTGAGAAATCAGTCAGAAATTGAGTCATAAGATACTTCGAACGATAACAAAGAGAGAATACGATCACCTGATAGCGTCTAACCGTTGTATTATATGCAAAGATGGTACACTAATTGTTGAAAAGTGATTTATAAATCTTTTGTATAAATATATGTGTGATTTATAAATTCACTTGAAACATAAATATATATGTATAAATATATATATGTATGTATACGTCAATGTATGTACATATTATGCGTACATGTACTGTGTGTGCGCGGCGTGCGAACGTGCCAAAAAACTTAGTCATATTTTGACACGATCGAATAGTTTATTATCACTGATGTACGTACAGCGAGTGTTTTTCACGAGGAGAGAAAGGAAAAAGTAGGGATAAGCCGATTAAACTGTTCGATAGTTTTTAGCTATATACACCGCGTTTCGTATTGTGAATACATTATTATACGCGTGTATCGCTGTTTGTTGAGAAGATTATGTCGTGCAGTGAATTTATTAATGCGTTATTAGCCGTTTACCTCGGAGAGTGAATGTAAGTACGTGTACATGCGAATATCTACCGACGAAAAAAAAAAAAAATTTTGTTCCGAAGAGAAAAAAATGAAAAAATATAGGTACAAATGGAAAAAAAGAAGCGAGATGAAGGAATGATAGGAATTATACGCGTTCGAAAACGATCGGGCGTTCCATACTGCCATTGTGTGCGACAGGCCCATGTGTGATGCGTTTTTAATTCGGCACTTTCACCAGTTTTACAGCTGTAATGCGTGTTCCGCATTGCGCCGATGATAATGTAATTAAAAACGGAATATTAACTCACGCGCGTCAGTACAGATCACTTACCAAGCCCGTTGTGGTATCTATCGGCGCATGTGACGACTCGATATCTGTGTTTGCACGAGCGATACATAAATTTTCCAGTCGAACAAAGCCAATATCGTAAGTATATGTGAGAGAGAGAGAGAGAGAGAGAGAGAGAGAGCGGTGCGGGTACTTCCAGCATGGGAAATCTTTCTGTAGACTTTACACTTTCGTGCGCGTGTCTCACGAGACTCCTAAGAGCGCTCGAATTGCGTTACGGTCACATTGTGTCATGTAGCTTTAAATTTCTTTATTGCGCTGAAACCGGTAAAATGATTTCAAGCAGGTCAAACTAGAGAGTGAGACAATGGCGACTCATCGGCATGCTGGTAATCGAAAACTACCTGTAAGAAAAATGTCTAATGAATGTCTATAAGCAACACACGGAGAACGATAAACATCTGGATACTTTCTCTACATCGAAATAAAAGATTTGAATACCTACTGTACAGTATTTAATATCACAGGGAATAAACATTTTCGATGCTCATAAAAAAAAAACAACCTGTACATACTTAACATACTTTTACAAATGTTATCGGTGGAAGGTGTCCATGATTCGAACAAGGAGAAGATGTTCTTCTGTATTTTCCCTTATTAAATTAATTTGAGAAAAAGTAAAATGTAATAAAGTGAAATAAGAGTTACGTGAAAAATAGCTTTGAAAATTTAACATTCCTACACTTTTTAAAAACGAAATCGAGAAGTATGTATATAAAAGTATAATTGGAGGAGATCCTTTCTCAAAATAAAGTTGAGAAAGCTAGAAAATAGAATTGTGAAGCTAATATATTTTATAGCTTCCATGCGCTTTTTATTTTTCACGTTGTTTTTAACAGTGCTTAATTTCCTCACTCTCACGAGCATTTATGTCTAAGCATTATGTTCTACTTCAGTACTCGGTAATATTATTTCTTTTCTCAGCTCTTTTATAAGTAACGGACGAAGCAATCAATCTTTCGTTTCATGAAAGAATATTGGCTTCTTGCGACTGCATGCAAAACTCTGCAGCTGTATTTTTCCATCACGGAATATTCTGTCAGCGTAGCACTTTATAGACGAGATGGGAAGTCAATACGATGCTACATCAATCACAACTATTACAATTTCTTTACAGATATTTCAAAGCATCCGCATATATTCAATTGTCCATTTAAAATCGCCATTATATGATTCATGCCACTCTTATTGTATCCTCAAATCTCTAACAAATCTATTGGCGAGTTATCTCGATGGCGTGTTCAATCGATTCCAACAATCCGCGCTGCGGAAAGCGATTGTATTCGATGGATTTTGAGAAAATTGTTTCATCACATATCTACAATCGTATATAATCCGATATTCGTGGAATAAAGCAGATAAAACAGTCTTCAGTCTTCAACAGTGAAATATGCATGATTGGATAGCTGCACAGCTCTCAAATTCCCTAAGCGTGTCAAAGACATGATTTTTCTAAATAGAGAAAGGCAACTCATGTAGCAATAACGTTACCAAATATTAAAAGCATCAGTATTATATTCAACTGAAGGAGTTAACAATTTTATACATTTTTAGCAAGTTTTTTAAAGATCTAATCAATAAATATCGTAAGCTTTTATCATTAAAAAATTATATATATATATATACAAACAAAAAAAGTCTTTTATCATATTGTAAAGAACGCGAAAATTTTTGGATTATTAATTAAAAAAGCATCTATACATTACCACTATCAATAATTAATAATTCAAACATTTGTATGTTGTTTGCAAAATAGTAAAAGATTTATTGTTCACTTCAATCTGTTCTTCATGAAATTTGTCTCTGTCGGTCTAGGACACCATTATTCCGCGCTGATATCGCAAATACTGGATACGTTGCAGAAACGTCATATTATTAATCACACGTCTTTCTATCGCTTGCATTTCATCCCGTCGAAATGAAGTAGCGTCAAATTGTTGAAAAAAGGCAGGAAATCGTCGTCTCGAAGTGGACGCGTTACAGAGCCGCGCCATATTGAAAATTGCATTCGTTTAGTCGTGTCGCTTCAAAGAGAGTACGTTAAAATCCAGGTCATTTCCCGACATTTGAGACCGAGAGAAAAATGAGGGGAAGGTACATGGAACGCAATCATCCGTAGTGCGAAGCTCTGATAGCTTTCAGGAGCGGCTAACCATTAACACGTATACAGAACCATACTGTCTACCTTGAAATATTCCTCACCGTATGTCCATGCAAAAGCGAGATCGATAAATAAAAGTTCACATTATTGATAAAACACGTCCCGAAGAATTATCGGATTTGTTGTATCCGTTTCTATATCCTCTTATTAAGACTGTTCCACTATTTCTATTTTTTTATTTTCAGCCGTCGGCTATTATGCTGACGTCTAGGCTGCACCCTAAAGTTTCCGTCGTACATCGAAGTTACGTGCAAAGTAATGCCGGAATAAATGAACGAACTGAGTAACGCGGAGAAGAGACTCGAGAGAAAAGGCAAAATTTTTCAATATTGCTTAACGAGAGAACCTTGGAACAAACGATCCTTTCGTCTCCCCGCCTTTTTCTTTCTTACTTTTTTTTTTCGTCTGTCGAGGTGCTGAAACCAATTGAGAAATCCATTGATGCTTCAATGCTTTAAAGCAGATGTCGCCAACAGCTCCATGCTTTTATTCACTTCGACACTGCAAGGTTCTTCTTCGCCGTTTAATCGATTCGTTAGCAAATTACATGCGATAAGAACAAGATTCAATGCAACCCGTTCTCTAGCGAAGGCAAAACCGAGGGAAAATTACAGATTATTTGGAGAAGTAGAAAACTGTACCGTAACATTATTGCTCCTTCGGATTAGAATGTTTCGAAGTATTTCAACGATCATTCTTAAATTCAATGAAGCACATTGCTTCTCGTATGCAAATATTGAGAGAAAAATACCTGAAAAGTAAAAAAATATTTATTCTGTGAGTAGGATAAAATGGGCTAATGGCAGTCATTTAAGCGGAAGATCTCATAAAATTCATAAAAAAATGTCGGATTCATAACAACGTATGGCGAAACGATGAGAAATCGCCGGTATAGCCGACAAGCTGCAGATGGACGACGCGATGGAGTTCTCCTGCGGAATAAATTTAATCTTCGATTGTCATATTTTCATAGGGGAGACACAGTCCGTTATTTTTTACAAGTAGATCTACGCCGGTGATTTATCGCCATCTGTCTGGCGCGCAGTGTCTCTATGTAGGTACTTGTGCATAAATGCGTCGGTATATTTATAGAGCTAATTTTCCACATAATATCCATGACGTTCGTCCGTTTAGCGGAGTTGGACAAAGCTGCGCCACTACATGTAGCTAAAAACCTTCGTTTCGTCGATTGCAGAAGCAAGGGCCGATGGCCTCGTTAACAGTGAATTTGCTGAACGACGTTCCATCATAATCACCGCGACATGGTTCTGTATATAAGACACTCCGTAATTGAAACATTTGCAATTTAATCATTTATTTTCACAATTGTTCTGAGTTGAAAAATTAAATAACCGTGAATGTACTTTTCGCGACGGTTCTCTTTGAACGAAAAAATTCGAGGATAATCAATGAACTGTTACATATAGAAATACAATGCAAACTTTCACCGAGTACTATTAAAATCGTAAAATTTACATTTACTGTTTTGATTTCTCAAGGTAGTTTTTAAAGAAAACACGAATTTGTAACGGTGCTGTTTATGTAGCTCGTATTTTCGCTTCGAGCGTATATATTAAAACGTGTCGAATATCGTAAACGTCTGTCACTGTTGAGCAATCTGGAAAACTCTATTTCAATTTTCAATTAACGAGAAAATGGCATGAAAGGCCCGATAACAGGTAACACTGGTTTATTTTCTTTTCCATTTTATATTATTTCTCGTTTTATGATAGTACATTTAATCAATCATATTTATTAATCAAATTTATTTATTCCTTTATTTTTTCTAATTACGTCGTTTAGCGCAATACCAGGTCTACTCGGTATTCACGAAATTTATGAACGCGGCAGGAATTTCCCGAGGGAATGTGAGCCAGTTTGGATATCGATTGACAAACACGACCTCTTATTAACCGTCCCGTCCCGACATCTGATCGAAAAGCTTTCGTTGACAGGTACATTGGCAGAAGCCCACGGCCTAGATAGATAAATCACGAATTCTATTCCGTTGATTGATAGAGTTTGCAGCTATCATGACGTAGTTTGATGATGATGATGAGAAATTTCGTAATTTTCCTAGTATATTCGCATATGCGAATGTGGCTTATGCTAGCTACTGAACTATTTAATGTCCCATAAATTTGCGAAAATACAATGGATCTCATAAGATATATAAATTTAGCTTTGAATTTAATAATGCCTCTTCATAAATTTATATTTACGCTCCGTGTATTTCTGGATGATAAAATTTTATTAGAAATAAAAACGTTTTATTTAAAGTTTGGAATATTATTCTCTATTAACTCTGTGCCTATTATTATCTCAATAAAAAAGTAACGAAACAAATTTTCAGGCAAATTGTAATATTTAAAATGATTGTTTATAAAATAATTAAAATTTTGTACGATTATTAATGATAATATAATTACACACATAATATTATTATATTATATTAATTAATTTATATTATACTATATTACATTAAAGTAGGAGAGAAAGAGGGAGAGGGAGAGAGAATGCGTTATTTGGAATATAACAAGTTATTAATATTATTCAATTAGAGTCGTAAAAAGAAATTAAATATATAATTCGAGCTAAAACACGAAATGTGATAACACGAATAATGATTACATTAAATATTGTTTCATGATACATTAAAATAGATTAATTGATATTTAATATAGCATAATAATGACATTAATTTTCAGCAGGAAATATATATACGTTTTCCTCGCAAGTTAATATATTCAATATTTACGAAGAGAAAATGTGAACAGAGAACCGAATAGATATAAAAGAGAGATTATTATTATATATATATATATTTACTATATATTTAAAATTTATATTGAAAACTGAACTTACACTAATGAAGACTGAACTATACACTTGTCTTAATTTGACATGTTATTTAACTTAACACAACTTTTTCAATATTGTGAGATCGTGAACATTCAATCATTCACAAGATGGAGAACGCAGTCCCTGTTAATTCCGCATTCTTTTAAGGATGCGTCTATACGTTCCAGCTTTTTCGGTGAATATCTGTAAGCAGTTATATTCAACTGTGAAGAGAACATTGGAGCTGAAAATAGATATAAATAGATAATCAGATATATTATTTCTTACCCGCTCAATAGCACTTTGTATCCTTTATATCCGGATGCTTTTATAGCTTTATCAAGTAATTCGTACAGTTTCGCCACCGATTCATCCGTCGAAACGTGCACAAGGTATACAGTGCTGCCGGTAAGAGATCTAATTTTTAATCGCAACTCGCCAGATTTTCCGGTCGCCTCATTGATTTGATGCAACAACGGGGGCTGAAACAATAAATTTCGAGTTTGTCAAGGAGATGGTATATCACATTTTCTTACAAGATATAGCTTGTCCAGTTTTTGCGGTTGCTAGTCAGATACGCTTCTCACCGAACTTTTTCTCGCACAAGTAGCCGATTTCGTGACACGAGGACGTTTCGTCACGATGGGGTCAACGATGAGTTTAGCGATATTCATTTCACTGGTGTTATTGATTTCCGCTGTGCTCGACGTTTTTGCTCGTAATGATTGCGTGCTGACGATTCTTCCTCCTGACAAACTAGCAGATCTCGGACGTGGTCGAGGGCGATTCCCGATAGATCTTGGCCGACTGCAAAGGATCAACATGAGTAAATAAATGGCATTATAATTTATCTTGACAGAGCGGACGTCAATTTCATTTGTCCGTTTTCTGTTTTCATGATGAAAAAAGGAAAAAAATCGTCTACGTAGTTATATCGCTGGAAATATAAACGATAATATTTCTTCAAATTTACACTTAAAAGTAATGAGTGTAAAACTTATTTATTACTTGGGGGAAGAAAACGTTGTTGATGATCTGTCGGTGAAGCTATGATATCTTGCCTTACTAGTGCTTAAAGATCTCGAAACGTCCCTTGATTTTGATGAATGCTCTCTCGACGACATACTATGTTCAATATTCTTCGCAGGCAATTCTCTCTTTTTTAGAATTTCAATGTGTGTAATGTTTCAAGAAGAATAAATCTCAACAAATAAAGAAAGAATCGATGACGATGAATTTGGAGATGAAGAGTTTTACCTTATCTCGTCGACCCCTTCGTACCAATTCAGCGTTAATGTGAGATTGAATGTGAGAATCGGAGCAAACGTTATTGTGCGAAGCTAAAATGTGAGATCTCAGAGAAGGTAAATTGACGGATGACGATGCTTCCGAAAACTCTTTGGATTTTGGAAAACTAGTGGAAAATGCAAAAGATAAGTCATAAATTTTCATAAATAATTAATAATCGCTTTAAATAAATAGAATTCTAATGGAAGATCAATAAAAGTTGCTAGTACTTTTAATATTTTAATTTATAGAGAAGATGATATTATAACCTCCCTTATCTTCGCTGTTAAATGACGAATTCTAGCGATTATTTATGGAATTATTTGTTTAGTAGCCTGCCACAATAGCTGGCATTTGTTATAGATCATTTTTACTTTGGAAATGTTTTCAAGGTACATTTTAACATTTAATTACGCACATTTCCTCATTCTTTTTAAACTTGGGAGTAATATCACACGAATATACGAACAAGATATTGCACCTACATATAGCTCATTACGACGGATTGCACGTTACATGGACACGTGTGAGCAAATAAGATAGCGTTACGCGAACTTAGACCGGTTCGCACACGCTCTCACTCTCTCATGTGCGTCTTTGAGCAGGCAACCCGTCATAATGAGCTGTATGTTGATGCAACAACCTACACTTGAATATTTTATTTGTTGTTTAACATTTTACTACGCTGTGCGCATTTCGAGTTATGTGAAGTTAAACGCATAATCCCTCTTCAATTATACTCTATGTATAATATAATTATAATGTATGATATATCTCTATGTTTGTTAAATAGCATGACATTTTGCTAATTTGTCCTTCCCCCAACTAAAATAAATTTAATATAGTTTCCTTCTCGAGGTTTTCATGTTAAAGTAGTTATTCGATAAGTCAATAATTCAAGTTAAGTTTAAAAATGTCTATTCATTTTGTAGAAATTGTCCTTTTGACAATATTTTTCTGACAAGTAAATTAATATCTACATTAAAAATTTACAGTTATATTCATTATTGTTCTTTCTATATAAGAGAGAGTTTATTTTTAATAAATATATAAATTTATAACGAAACCTTATTTTTTAAACAAAACTAATTTTTTTAATATATTTTAATGGGCAGTCATATTGCCATATCTATTTCTCGTTGACCTATTTTGCAGTATCGCAATATTTTTATAAATAATGTTTTAAGTGATAAACGTTTCAAGTGATAAGTGATAAATATTTCATAATTTTGAGTCTAGAATCAATCGGGTTTAGAATTGACTTTGACAAATATATTTGATAAATTTTCAGTTTAAAATATTGATTATTAACAAAGTTAATGTGCAAAATGTGAGTAGGGAGCCATGATACCACCTTCTTCTCTACCGAAATGCAATCTTTTTTCTATAATTATTTAAATATATATTTATTGATCCTTATATGAAACGGTGCGATAATACCGGCTTATCGGGAGTGATAAAAGCGGTACATTCTGCACATCCCAAGCGTTATCTTTCGATGAAAATTCGACATAATCGGATCTTTGTGAGACGTTATTCAACTTGCGTGAACTTGTCGATAATGACTTATCTACTGGTGATTGCTTGCCCAACCGATACCCTTGTCCAGGAAAGCCAGCTGGATTGACCATGTATAATTCTGTTCTGTGATCTTCTATCTACGAGGGTAAATCAAAATGTAGGATGTGTCTGAGAGTTAGCTACAAAGATACCTTCAGCTGAATGTTAGAAAGTCGCGTAAAAGTATGATGGCCAATCAAATTTCCGTCGAGAAAAAGACGACTTCGTACTGATCAAAGAATCCGTGGAAAAAAGAAAAAGTGCAGGAACCGTAGTACCCTTCGTACATGCTAGAATTTCATTTGATAATTTACCACGAAGGGAACTCCGTCAGGATATTCTCGTTGCAATTCAGATGGAAAATAACCATCTAGGATATCTTGAATGAACGTGCTTGCAGCCGGATCGTCGTAAGACCGTAGTGAACCTCCTTGGACGGTCATACCATTTTTGTAAAATTGTAACGTCATGCAGGTAGAGGTCTTCAATCAAAATGTACAAGGAAAATGCCGATTGATAATTATCAGTTAGCGCGGATCACCAATTAATAAATATTTCAACAACCAATTACACACATAATAATAATGCAATTAACATATGATACAATAATAATAATAATATGATATAATAATAATTGATATAATTCGTATAATCGATAGAGAAATATTTTATGATTCATAATTAAAATTTCGTATGCAATTTTGCGGACATTTTTGTAATATTCCGTCTAATTTTTAATGCACGACGCTGAAATACAGATGCAAGAGTTGGAAGACTGCAAAGCGTTACTTTGAAAGTTGCTCCTCCTCCTTTCTCATTATGATGAACGTGAACTTCGCCCTTTCCCGCGGTCAGGTTCAACTGATCGATATTAGCAACCAGCTGACTGTAACTGGTGTCGATGTAATTACTGCAACAGGGTTACTGACAATTAAATCGGTGGATTGCGTCCGCGACTAATCGGTAAAATGTTCATTCCAATTACTTGTTAATATTATCAGCGCCCGTCGAGTTTTTCGTATCGCCCACCCATACTAGCCCGTAATCAGCCAAGAACCTCTGTAAAACCGACATATCGTAATTGTTAATCGATTGGCAGTCAAGTGAGCCTGTCTAAGAAAGAAAGTAAACCTCTATCTCGATGATCTTGTGTTCCAGCATTAGACATCGTTGATAAAAGTATTCAGAATTGTTAGAATGAGTTCGTTGCTCTTTTTTACGTAAATGCTCCTGATTCTTGTACTTGTTCTCCCAATCTTTTACCTGTGCCAACATAACGTCATATATTATCCGAGGTATAAAAAATGACGTCGCTCCGCATTAATTCAAAATCATGGATACATGAAGACAATAAGATATAAAAAAAGAAAAGTTATATATTAATTTGTAAATAAATGTGCGAAATTTGAGATACTATTTGCAAAAACCACATAATTATTTATCAAACTTGTTGCACGAATTTATAAATTTTATTGCATTTTTAATGTAAGAAAAGCGTACAGAGAACCTTCCGCTTTAAGCGTACGATTTCCTGATCTTTGGTTCGCAATCCTTCCTCGGTTTTCGCCATGATGGATTGCATTTTTCGCATTTGCGACTCCACCAGACACAATTGTTTTGTCAGTACGCTTATGACTTCGCTTTCTGAAATCGGTATATTTCACGATAGCAAATATATAATTTGAAGCAAAGTATGAAAACTACAAATTATCTAATTTCATAGAAAATATGAAACTTGGGACTCTAAAGTCGCCGACAGATTATTTTTATGTATTTCTGTAATAGTCGATCCTTCCTAATAGACGCTACTTCCTTTGTCATTTATAAAATGGTTTTAATTTATAAATGTAGATAAGTTCAAGATAAAATTACCTTCTTCTATTACATCATTTGTAGGAACATGAATAGAATTTCTGGACATTCTGGAAGCATCATTCCACAATTTTCTCGCGAAAAGATTCGCATTGGAAACCTAACGAGAGCGCATTAATGTAGGTCGATATGTTCGTTCAGATAATTTCTGCGTATAAAATGTATTGCTAACCGTTCTACTGATTTCATTTCTTGATTTGCACAAACTGGACACATTCTTGTTATCTTCCGACACATCTGCTTTGTGATAATGAGAATTTCTCGTTGCGATATCCGACATGTGTGATGACGAAGCTCGCAATCTTTTCAATTTTTTTGCAAAATCTTACGTTATTTTTCTTTAACGAGTGATACGCTACAGGACTGTCAGCAAAGTTCACATTTGCTCGTCGCTGTAACCGTGACACATCCGAATTTAACCTACTTGCAATTGCTGTCACGCGATAGAAAGGAATTTCTTGGATATTTGTTCTTCGGCTGAATCGGGAGATTTCCTTGACTCATTATGGGTGATTGATTAATGAACGCGACAATATTCACATGAATTTTCTTACATCGTCGAAAATCCCGATTATTGATCCGAAGTTGTATTTGCAACGAGTGCAATGCAAGAAAAATCGATATAAGTAGATTCAATATATACACGTTGAAAGTGACGACAATCTGTCATTCGACATACACATATACATATGTGACTGTAGGAAGAATTTTTACTTATATCTTCTATATATTTATATATCTTTTACATATATCTTCTGTAGATAGATTTATTATTACTTCAGCTTACATTGCCAGGAAGGGAATATATCTTCTGTCTGTTTTTTATATACTAAATATATAATATGCATTGCACATATTTGTGATGTTCAAATGAATTACATATACACAGCAAGTTTTTGTATTTTGATTGATTACGAACAAGTTTTAAGTCCTCGTCCTAATTATGTCTATAAAAAAATTTTACATCCTAATCATACATCTGAAAATACATAGTGAAAGTGAGGACAAGACCTTCAAACCAGATAAGATATTGAAATGCGCGCGCGACTTTGACCCATAAATTGTGATACAATAGACGATACACACACGCGTACATATTCGTGAAAAACGAGAAAAGAAAACAATAATAGTTGAAATGTCAGTCCAGACACTTACGATATTTAATCTTAAACGTAATGGACATATCTTAAACGTAATGAATACATATTATAATTATCATAAAATATGCTTTCTAAAACTATTTCTTCAAATATTAGTTAAAACTGTTAAAATCTTATAACAATTAGAACCTTTCTCTGAAGATAATGATAAATGAGAAGTAATTTAAATTTTAGTTAATTTTAACTAATTTCTATAAATGGTCTACAGCAATATTTAGATACTTTTATGTATAAATAATGAAAATAATTTTAAATAATGGTGAGAGAGATTTATTTTTCTTTTCAGATCACTCGCGAATTTTTTGATAGATTCTTTAAAAATCAAAAAGACATCTGTTTTTCACCTGTATTTGTATCAAAACTGGAATTACTTAAACTGGAAAACTGGAAACGTTATTTTTGCACGTTACAAATTTATTTAGCAAAATGCAGCTGTATCAACAACTCGTACACATATAAAAACAGAAATGAGGAAAAGACGGTAAAAATCTTTAGTAATAAAATAGAAATAAAAGAAAGAGCAATATCCTTACCAGCAGTTGTTCATACATAATACATAATACATAAATATCACAATAAATAACTCGAAATTCTCCCTACTCTAAATTCAAATATCAATAAATTCATCCAAAACAAACGTTTCGGTTTACTTTGAGTTCTTTTCAACGGCGTACAAAAATTTAAAACTAGAAAGGTCAGGTGCCAAACATTCTGCACTGAAGAGAAGATTATACATTACTCTACGGTGGAAAAGGGAAAAGCGTGAAAGTTCAGACATTAAATAGTTTCTAGATAGAAATGTGTATACGTGGCCTAATATCTCAACGCTGTTTCATAAATTTAAACTATGAAACTGACGTTTCACGTGAAGCGTCTTCGAAATTATTCATTTAGGAAACTAATTTAAAAGTTATTTATCGAGCAGAGAAATTGATTAATGGAATGTTCCAATAAAAATCATGATTTCTCCCCAATTCAATGGTCCAGAATCACGAGAAATATTGCTAGCTCCTTAAAATTCAACATGACGTCAATGTTCAGAAATTCTAGTTGCTACAACCAAGGTTGTCACCTTAGTTTGTCCGCCCGCCCGGAGATTGGCGAGGTGGAATTTAAAAGAAAAGGTCTTTCCATTATCATTACACTTTGCACCAATAAAATGTATCCGCTATTCAACTTCTAACAAAATCAAAATTTCTATGGTTGCTTCTTTACTTTATAAATATACTTAGTGCTACTTCTGGCGTTTTTCAATAATGTGTTTTGCTCTGAGTTCATAATTTATCGGTCACATGTTTTGCTGCATTGGCACGGAAATATTGTTTTTTGGCCAGAGGTTCAAAGATTTTCTCTTTCGCTCGGAGACTTCGAGCGGAAATCAGAGAAATGGCTCCAACTCTAGTCCCAAACAATGCATTCATTGATACAGAGCGAATTTCCCGATATAATTCTGCGAACCCTGGTGAAAGTTTCGCTAATGACGGGACTGACTTTCGCGATATAACGCGTCGGCGCAGTTCCTTTCATCGATCGCAGCACGTCGTGTATGTTCGGGTCACGTGACCCCCCGCCGACAAACAGACGCATCTGTCGTCAAAGAAGCCGACAGGCGAGCGATTACGTAGCCTCACACGCTCGTGAGTCGTATCCGGTGTGTGCGGTACGCGCCGTTCTAACGGCGACGTTCGCCTTGCCGTTCGTCTCACCTCGCTCCGGCTGGGTCACTCGCGGCGGCTCACACATTCTCGCGAGGCAACGTTTCACATTTTAGCTCACCCGCGCAGGTAAACGCGCGACGCCGGACAAGTTGAGTGTGCCCGCCGCCGCTGCCTCGTGGACGAAAATGCCGCGCAAGAGAACGTTCACGCTTCACGAGGCACTGGCTGGACGCAGAAACGACTGCACCAAGGTGAGTCCAAGTCGGCTGTCCTTCGATTCGCTGCGGTTTTCGCGACCCGCTGCCCTCGAGAGCGGCCGACGAGCCACGTGGTGCATCGTAGCCGCGGAAGTCCGCGCGCTTAACCTCCTCGGAATGGACGGTGTCCTTCATCGGGCGTCCTATGCGACTGTTCTCGCGCCGTGTATCATCCCATCGATACTTGGTGACACACCGTCCGTCAGCGGCTCGTAACTGCAGATCGGAGAGAGACCAAGGCGATAAGATAACGTCTTACAGTGGTCAGCATTACCATTCTAACACGTTTGTACGAGGAACTTGCTGTGCATTACGTCGCTACAATGACTGGCGAGACTATTATTTCTTCGGCAAACCTTGGGAGTCATTGTACATGGACTTAGGATTGTCCATTACTGTAAATTGCATGTGAGAACTCTCGTGGGTTTTTGCCCCTAACTCAGCTCGGATAAGAAGAAACTGGGTTAAAGGTGAATCAATGTGATGACATTAGCAATGCATATATGGAAAGAATTGCAGTTTTACCACGAGCATCATCGCTTATCCTCTCGTGTCCTCCTACAACCTTAGCTTTGTTGTTTTCACTTGACCTGCTCACCGTGTCGAGAAAGTCACGAGACCGATAATTGCATGTTTATAATTACAACAGCGAGATACCAGGGATATGTTTTATTGCACCGTGTGATCTCATTACGATACACAAGAGATGAATATTCCAAATACGACACATTGCACCGTATATGAACGAGCATACTAAATATATTGTGTACGTAGAGAACGCACGGCGAATGAACGTCTAAATACTACACATTTCATAATTAATGCTCAGCATATTAATATTAGCAGAATACATCGCATGCAACATACGTCAATGTCATTTCTCTGTTTGTATTCCACTTGGCGCATCTATGCTTTGTATTACGTTTTCATTATATTTTATTTACATAGAATAAATCTATTTCTTCAGATTTTCTTAATAATCGAAGCATATTAATTCTCTAACCACAAGATCGGCTGCGACCCCACGGCTCGTTTATTTTACAGCTGTTTTTCTTTTTAAGGAAAGTTTTATATTATTATTTACTTCTTTTACCTATTTTGTACATAGATTACATGAAAAATGAAGAAAATAAAATGGAATCGGAATGACGTCCAGTAATTAAAAAAATAATTGACATGTGTTTGTGTGTGCTACCCGAATACATAATAATATATCTTACGATATTTCTTGAGCTTCCTCGGATATTCTTTGGATATTGTTTAAGATATCCGAAGGATATCACGTAGGCGGATATTTATGCATTTATTGGATATCAAGCGGATATTTGAAACTATCTTGCAATATCCTATGGTTATGGCGATATCTCAAAATGACGTCTGTAGGACGTCCCTCAGAAGGTATGCTGTGTGGGACAAAACGAGCGAGAAAACGAGCTATAAAACACGAATGCATATGATACATATATGAACTTTGATTTTGCAACTAACTTATATAACTGAGATAATTCTTGGAAGACTGGTTGTTATTTCATTGTATTACTATATGCGCAAGATTAAATAGGAGGTATCACTTTAATCAATGTTTTGTTATTATGAATTCATGTATGTGCTTGTAATTTCGGGAAATTCCGATAGTTGCTCGGGGAAATCTTGACACTTGTCGGATTTTCCGTAAACAAATTATTTAATTTATATTTTTTCGCATCATTTGTGAATGAAAATATTATAAAATCCTAAATACAAATTAATGTTATTTTTATCAATGTTATTTAAGGATATTACAAATTATTAATTATCAAGCTAATAACCATTAAACGAGAAAGTAAATAAGATCCTTATATAATAATATTCTAGAGTATATTTTAGAGTAATCATAATTGAGAAAAATTTATTATCTTTATAAAGTAAAAACGTTTACGTAAGGTTCTTTTATCCTTGACATTTATTAGAAACATCATTTGTTATCAAAATCTGATAAAGATATTCTGAAAGGTAAATTATTTCTTACTGTTCTTTTATTTGGTATTTTGAAAGGTAAATGGTTAGTGTTCTTGTAATTGGCTTTATCTCACAATCGTACAGAATATCCGCCAGTCATGTTATGTAATAAGGAAACGACTAAGCAAAAATAAAATGTTAGAATTTACCTTGATACTTGGACATAACTAAAAACGTTGCAAAATGAAGAAAAACTACGAATACAATATACTGCATTTTTTGCATTCTCTCTCTCTCTCTCTCTCTCTTTCTGTTTCAACTGAAAACAAATATACATTATACAACAATATACTTTATACTAATCACTCTTCTAATTTTCTTCGGTGTATTAGTATTATCGGAAACTATATCTGAACTGTAAACGAAGTGGAACTTTGTGACAATAATGTTGCAATTATCGCTTCTTAGAAACATTATCAAACTATATATGATATTTAATGAATATACGTTGCGTGTATAATTATGATGACGCGCGCATGCTCTCATGTTCGCTTTGAGTACAATTCCACTGGTCGAATTGCATGACCCGTCTCGATTGTGTACTTGATAAGGTCAACTGTGAGATAATTAAGCCCAATATTATGAATAGGGCGAAGTTTCTTCATTTGGATGCTTGGTGAAAAGTTGAGAAATGCGCTATATCTGCTTGAGGTTATCGTACATAATTTGCTCGAACCGTTGCGCAATATTATTAAACATATTTTACTACATCACCAAACACCATTAATTCATGTAACATTGGAAAAAATAAGTCGTACATCAGGGAATCCTTGAAATTTGTAAAGCACGCCTTCATTTACGTTATACGAACATAAATATCGATCGGTCAAGAAGTGGCCTCTAAGTCATATCGTACGATGTATTTAAACATAATTTAACACTGAAGGATAATGTATTATTATGAGTATGCGTAATACGTTTTATATCGATAAGCAGATGCACTAGGTGTAGAAAAAATAATGATGTAATTTCTTGTGACATGCAGAAATATTTCACGTACGATATAGACGATAATGTAGTTCATCACTTTTTCCTATAATAAAATATTACTTTTGCCGATACGAATATATTTGTTAGAAGAGAAAAGAAGTTCCGAGATATAAAATTTATTCATAAATAAATAAATTACAAAAGAGGGAGCATTAAAGTGAGTAAACTTAAGTGGCTATTAACAAATGCATCTTATACATTGATCTAATCGTTTGTTAGCGATGAAGCACATTTCTGAGTCCTCACATCTCCACGTAATTTCACTCTCGTATAAAATAACCGTCTGACAGTCATTCTCTTATTTAATCATTAATTATTGTTATACATCTCTATCGTAATGTATGAACAACATTTCGTATGATCCACATTGTATAACGATCGATAGTTACCGTTCAATGAGCTACCACTCTATGATTATCGCTTTATTTATCTATCCGCACTTATCACGTCGTAATAAAATTGTCAGTTGAAAAATTAACCAATCACGTCACGTACTTCTTTCTATCGAAGGATCACTAATAATCTGTGCTATTAAAATAAACATCAGTCGACCGTAGATAATTCTCTGCTTTGGCTAATCACGTATAATGCTCACGTCATGTTTCTCTTTACGTGCAACAAATACATCGGGCGAATCGTCTGGTTCTGTAATTCGTATTTAGTACGTAATTATCAATGATGAAACGCTAAAGAGATCCGGTCGTGTCGCGTTTTGTTCATAACAGGTACGGAATTCCCTCTCATCTCCGCCTCCACACTATACCAAAACCGCGATCGAAAACCGACGCGATGGTGGGGTCACTAAGATAGTCAACGTCTCGTAGTCCGGTTCGGCCTTTCAGTGTCAGCACTTCGTTCCGTCTGCGACGATGTTGATCGCATTGTGATTTCTTTCACCACGCTCTTCGAGTCGCGCCTGTTGAGCCTCGTGCAATCGTAACCGGCACATAGCCGCTTCTCCGCGTGTCCCCAGTCTACGTTTCGTCATTCAACGTAAGTGACTCTTCGGAAATAAGATTAACGTTAATATCACGGTTTTTTTCGCTCGTCACAAAACTCGTTACGCTGATATTCGTTATCAGTTGTTACGCGTTAAATCCGCGTTTGTCGTGACTCTCGAAGATCGAAGTCGATATGTAACTGGTCATAATTTTTTCCACTTACCACGACTCACGCTCGTTAAATCATGCAAATTATAACGAAGTGCTGTCATTTCCTTCATTTGCAAAGTCACTTTGAAAACGAAATGTCTTTGAACGTTATCATATACTTAAAATTTATCAATCTTGATTGATAAATTAATTAATTTGTGAAAACACTTCTAGTATACGTTTAATCTATCATCGTATTTTCAACTTAGTTTTTACATAAAGAGAAATACAGTAGTATCTGTAAAGTTAAAGGTATTTATAAAGGAACAGCTTTAATATGATATAAAATTTTAAACATATAGATATGTTGAAACAAAAGTTAATGAAATTGATTTGGTTCTAGTCTGTTTTATATCTTCTTACTTTACTTTCAAAGTGAGTTTCCGAAACTTGAGATAATGTCAACTTGTTTTTATATTACAACGTTCTTCAAACTTCGTAAACTGAGTCGTCGCTTTTAATTTTAACTAATTCCATTTTTGACATGAAAAATAGAGATATCATTAACAGTGCAATTTATATGTTTTACAAGTGAAAAAATGCATTTTTCTCATTAAGTTCTTTATAAATAAGTGGGTTTACATACATAAATCGACGTGTTTATAAATGTCGTTTGCGCATGGAAAAAATTATGCGAGGCGCTATTTGTGTGATCATAGAATTTCGATTTTCTGCGTATTCATTATCATGGCTGACATTCAGTATTACGAGTTACATAGCGATTTACCTTGAGACACTGAGCACAGAGAAGGTGAAAGACACTGTGGTCACGGTGTGCGTCTTAACGTTCGTTTGCGGTATTTACTAATACACAATCAAAGCGTAGCTTTGATCAAATTTACAGAAAACTGATAAATTTGCATGGATTATAATGAAATCTAGAGAGGGATTTACGTACATACAGATTTTCAGAACCATTTTTATCAGTAAGAATTTGATTAAACATTATTTTGTTTTTTATAATTATTTTTATGAACATTCAATTTTAAATGTAGTTCATTTAATAAGGTAAATTATTATTAATGCACAATTCTTGTTATGCTGCGTAAAATCAGTATAATATAATTTTGTGAACATTATACTCTGGTGAAATGATAATAAAATTTATATAAATTTACATATTCCACATATCTATAGATATTTTTATTCCATATATACGCTATCTGCTTTATTATGAAAGACTGATATTTTAATTTCGATTATTTATCATTTCGTCGTATTGCAGTAAATTTTGCAGAATCATCATTGATTTCCAAGATTGAGTTTCGCCATTATTCAATTCCGTGTGCGCCACGCATAAATGATTGTTTCTTTTGATAATTAGAGTTTTTGCGGAAATTTAGTATCGTACGAGCATTCTTAATAATCTCTGTCGCGCATAAGTGGCTAAAGAATATAATTATGTGTCTCATTTGAATATTGCAAGTAAGAGAATCGATAAACAAGCGTATAAATTGTAATACATTACGCTAAACGCAACGTTAAAATATATTTCTAACTATATAAAAAATGATGTTCTATGCGGGACGTAAACTAATTATACAGGATATTACAGAAACTGCGCCTTCTTTTATGTAATTCGATAAGTTTCATATGCCGATTTGTCCTTAAGCAAGAAGAAAACATATTGTATAACCTTGAAATACAATATGTGATCGGCATTAGATTATATCACAGCTTATCGCAAACAAAAGGATAGTTAGGCTTTTGTATGTTAGAAAGTACACAATAAAATTGTGTATGTTGGATATTGTGCAATGTACAAAAATTTGTATGCATATAAAAATTACAAACAAAGAATTTTATATCTGCAATCATAATGCAGATTTTATATGACGAAGCAGCTTTATTTTCGACTATATTTTTATTCTGGTCATAAATTAAGTTTTGCGCGGTTCGTAGGTCAGTTGTTTGTTAACATCGCGCGAATAAAATGGAATTTTGCCTTTTAGTTTTTTGCCCTCAAATACAAAATTAACAATAATATAATAATATAATAATGTTTTAACTATATATAGAATCCTTAGGAATTTTGTACGTATTACATAAATAAAACAAACTACACATTGCATAAGTATTACACAGGTGTTTGTAAATTTTTTTGATTGTTATTTTCTTCTTGCAATGTCCCAAATAAATTTCGACCAATGATCCCCAGGGCGTTCTATAATAACGAGTTAAAGATTAGAGATTCCTTACGACTACGCGCGACTTCATTAGTAATTGCGCGAAGCAACAGCTCGCAATATGCCTAGCAATCAAAAACTGATATGTGAAGGGCTGCGTATTCTGAGAACAATTTTCTTCAACGATCGAATTTATTTCTTCCGCGTTTAAAGTATATTGCGTTCAAGCCTCATAAATAAATTTTTCCAAGGGCTTCCACTAGCCGCCCCAAGAATGCCAATATGAATTCCGCGTTGGAATTTCATCCCGTTCTTATAAGTCATGACCTCGATGCAATACTTTGGATACCTTACGATCTTATCAAGATGCCGCATTATATACCGGTTAATACGAAATCTCATAACGATCGAATGACGCAACAAAGTTTAACAAGTTTTATGAACTAACGATAGTTAAAATAAATTAACTCTCACTTTTTGCTTTTTTAACAGAACCCGAGGTGATCTACGTGCTCTTACGTGCTCCCGTGACAAGAAATCCGTTTTTGTACTCTGTTATATTTCAGATACAGAAACCACTGCACAAAAATGGACGAATTTCAAGGGTAATTTCATCGGACTTTAATAAATCTTCTTATCTTTATTTGCATATTTGTACATAATGGTCTTATATTTTCATTATATGGTAATAACGTACATATTTTTATATAGTATTTAAAGTTTTATTTAATTTTTTAAAATTATTTACAATATTTTTAGTAAAATAGTATTCGATATTATTTTATTATTATTCGATATTATTTTCGACGTATTTTAAGAAATATAACATTTTCTTAGCTTTCCTTTTATTCTGTTGCTTATAAATATGAAAACTCAAACTAAACGTCAAACAAAGTGTCAATTAAGCATTGAAGGATTTCTTTGTTCTAATAAGTGCGATCTTATCGTTTTTATATTATTTCTATATTACATGTATCCTATGTGTATACATGTATCCTATAATAAGTTTATTTTTTACAGATATGAGGAATCCGAGATGTATAAAAAAGGACCACCTTGCACATTGCGAAAATTAGGAGGTAATATATTTTTTGTTACATGATTTAGAGCGTAATTTTTTCTGTAGAATAAAAATCATAAGAATTAAGAGATATTGTTCAAATTATTGATAATGTCGGTAGTGTCATTAATTTCTAAATCTATTTGCAAATGTACTTCATTTACTTGGTAATGTAAAATCATCGGCACCAGCTTTGTTGATTGAACTTCTTCATTGCAGACATGATTCCAGCGCGGGTAGTACTGTATTTACTCTCGTTCTCCGGATTCCTCGTATCTTTCATGATGAGGACGGACATTAATATCGCCATGGTGGCCATGGCGAAGCTGCCGTCAACGTCAGACAACGATGTTGCGGTAACGTCACACTGTTACACAATAGTGAATGCGTCGCATACGGAGAACACCACCGTGATTAGACCGGAGGTATGTTTGCCGTTGCGACAAATCGCATAGTATCTGATTTTTCTCTGCACTTATGCTACTCACTACTGCTTGTTATATACAATTCTCGGAACAAGTGACGATAACTGTTTCCCCTTAACGTAAAAGCAGAAAGAATCTTCCATTGCACGTCGATGAGAAATGATCTGTTTCTTGTATGCAAGTGCGTGTCGAATGCTATTATTACTTTGCTTTGAAACGTAAATGAAAAATGTGTCACGTATTGCGTCATATATTTATTCAGTCACAGTCAGGAATATCCTGTCACGCGGTGACTAGTACCAATTAACGTACCAAACGACTATCTGTGAACGTGATGAATGCACCACGAGTAACCATTACATTATTGTCTAACGTAATCATGGTGTAAATGTACTCTACATGTGGTACATGTACATCAGTGTGCAAAGTTGCTTTTTTATATGGAGTGTCGAGTATGACAAGTTTAGCAGAAACCGCGTATCTTCCTAATTGTAAAAATGTTCACTGCAACAAAATGGATTGTAAGTGATCGAAAAATAATTTTATTCGTGTTAATAATTCGCGAACACGATGAATCAACAAACTCGCACATGAATCACTGATAAGCAGTCATGTGCTCGTAACAGTAGAATTCGTTGCGGTTGTAAAGCACGTATATATCGATTATTCTCTACTGGTGCTTTGTTATTACGATATATAGCATGAAAATATGACTCATTGATGAAAGATGAATTTATGCCGATTCGCGCATTTGACCAGATAATAAACAGTGATAACGTTTGTCCTGTTCGTCTTCTGGGAATTATGACATGCAAAATTAATTGTAATATTGGCTGGCGTATTCAAAAACACTTTTCAGTACGGTCTAACTTCTAATTGAAATGCTGAAGGTTTTTCAAGATTATGCGGTAACGAAGAAAACACTGGAAGTCCAACAATGTTTATTTATTACTTTTAAGAAACTAGACAGCCGCAGTATATTTTTCCTTCTAACGTTTGAGGAAAAGCAATAACGATTTTATAAGGATCGAAGAAAAATAATATTTATCTCGAATATTTTCTTACATCCTGGATATAAATTTCACTTATCTTTATAATTTAATGAAAAATTAATTTACTTCTTGAAGCTAATTTCTCTTAGTTTAGTGAGAAATTGATTTGTGTACTTACTTAATGTATTTACTTAAACGCAAGCTTAACATAATTTAATTCTCGCGAGCCATGTTATATAATTGTTTTATTCTTATGACCAGGAAGCCGGCGAGTTCACGTGGAGCCCAGCCATTCAATCTGCCATTCTCAGCTCCTTTTATTGGTGTTACATACTCTCACAAATGATCGGCGGTGTTCTTACTCAATATTTTGGTACTAAAACCATATTCGGCGGATCCCAGGTCGTCACTGCCGTCTGCAGCCTGCTTATGCCATCCGCTGCTGAGATTCATTACGGGGCCATGATAGCGTTGCGCAGCATACAGGGTATTGCAAGTGTAAGTCTTCAAGGAATCGCTAAATAGATGTTGAGATCCATTTTACTACTATATTCTGATAACACATAGAGAAAAAAATTTGTCTGAATTTAATAAAATTTCTTTAATTAAAATAAATTTGTCTTTTAGAGACAACAAACAATAGAGCGAACAAACGAATGTTTGATTTAACAAACAAAATGAAATTTCGTTGTATTATTCTGAGTAGCGAATGAACGACGGAGAGATTTATTTGTGCCTTTTCTTATGGAAACAGGGACTCACGTGGCCCGCTATGTACGCCGTGATCGGACATTGGATTCCTCCCGTGGAACGCTCGCGCTTCATGTCTTCCTTCCAAGGTATGTTGTCGGGTGCCGGCCGCTAACAGAGGTTTTCGTGTGTTACAGTGAAACTTCGAAATCCATAATTAGGCCAAAGCTATGCGTTCCGTCATATTCCGTCGTACTCTCCGCAAAGTGTAACGCAACAAAATAAAATTGCCGTACTACGCCTCGTTGATTGTGTTCTCGTGATACTAATGCACGCTTCTTTCAGAGTGGAATAGAGGAAGTTCGAATGAGAAGCGCAGTTCATTCTGCTACATATTGTATCAGTCAAAATTCCGTGGGGATCGGGAAAGTAAAATTGTCGCTAAAATGCGAACGGTTTACCGTTTAATCAGTCGTTTCATCAATCTACGAATTTTGTCACTTGTTAATGACCCCGAATACGTCGTCTCCACGAGGTTGCATTCACCGGAACGAGGGGTATACTCAACAGCGACCGCTCAACAGCATGAGAAAGGCCGAGTATACTTCCAGTTGGTAGAATCAGCCAGGCTCGTCGAACATGTATATTATATATACTTGTCTCTTACATGTGTCAGTATTGTCTTTTAACTGCATCCACACTTGTCTACGGTATATGAGATAATCTTATTCATTCTTCTCACTCAAACTTTCCCAGAGACGGGACCACAAATTTTATTTTGTACTTACTATACGACGCAATTGCGATTTTCCTATTTACTTATTGCGCGTCAATTTGCTCGGTAAAACTAAATTATTGCGATTTTCACGCTGCTAACGCTATGAATTCTCAAACGTTACTTTCTATCTTCAATGACTTGTAATCGGGGTTGGGTAACAATATATATGGATAATAATAACTAATTACTCAGATAAAAGTTAAGTTAAAATGTTAATAACTTTTAATCAAAATGTACTTAGGTTTTTTAATTAAATTACAAAAATTGGTCAAAAGAATTTGACCAATTTGTGTTGATCTCGCTTTTTTATTAAGATAATTTTTGCACCTGCACAATTTTATGTAAATAAAATGTTCCAAAATATTCTTATTTCCTGTCTGTTATAATAACTTTTAACTTAGTTAATTTCAAATGAGTTAACGTTTAACTTTAATAAAGTAATTTAATATTAACTTAACTTTTAATTTAGTTTTTGTGTGGGTAACCTTTAACTCAATCCAACAAAGTTAATTTTATAGGCCATTCAATTTAACTTGGAAATAAAAACCAACTTACTCAACCCTGTTTATAACCATTGAACGAACATTGTTTAGTTTGCTTGTTTTGTGACGTTACAGGTCAATATCAAAATGATTTTTTCCAGACTACAAATTGCTCCCTTTGACTCTTTCATTTTGGTAACATAGCAACAAAACAAAGAGCAGCCTAGTGTAATACATTGCAGAAGTTGAATTCTTTCTTTTCATTTATTACAAGCGTATTATTTTATTAATGCGTTGCTCGTCACATCAGGTTCTCTTCTCATCTCCCCACCCACGTTACGTCTCTTTGTGATTCCGATCTCTGCGTAAGAAGAGTGACACTCATTTTCCAGGTAGAACGAGTTTACGCTCTTATTATTTACAGACACATAGAAGTTTCATTGTCCCACCATAACAGCTTCATCATGTCCCATCCCTCGTTCCTGCGTACTAAGTCTCTACTTGAATCGCTTTACAGGGTGAGAATACGTACGCCGCGACTCTGAAGAACGATCATCACCACGCATGAGTCGTGACAAATCAAGACGAGGCCATTCTACAAGCATCATGTTTCAGCTTCCTTCCGGCTCGTAGGGTGAGCTACTCCTAACATCCAGGTTATCTATATTCAGGGTTCAGCATCGGAATCGGCTTGACCTACCCGTTGTGTGCATTTATCATCGCCCACTTCGGATGGAGGACAGTGTTCTACACGACTGGCAGCATTGGTCTCATCTGGTGCATCTTCTGGTACTTCTGCGCTTTCGACACTCCCGCCTCGCATCCCAGAATATCTCAACCGGAGCTACGTTACATTCAGGAAGGTGTTAGAAACCAAGTTCTTGGATCGAACCAGGTAGGATATATTATATTAATTTTATTATATAATTAATTATGATTAGTAATTATCACATTAGAATATATATATAGTAATTATTATGTATTAATTATAATTAACCAGTACCTATATTACGTATCGTTTGAGGCGATCGGAAGTTGTCTTCTTCATGAACGAGCTCTCTGCGCTAATTGTGCAATTGTGCTTGAAGGATCTGCCTGTTCCTTGGAAATCTATACTCACATCCTGGCCAGCGTGGTCCATCGGCGTCACAACCTTCGGTAGAATATGGGTGCATTACGTTTTTATCATTCCCGGCCCGATGTACATGAAGACGGTGTTAGGGTTCAGCATACAGGCAGTACGTATCTATCATACTCGACGAGTGTCGATGTTATGTTCACCGGAGTAAGAAACTTCTTTTTCAGAACGGTATCCTGTCGGGCGCGCCATTTATCTGTAGCTACTTGAGTTCCGTTGTATTCTGCTACGTCGCAGATGTCCTCGTTACACGGCAAATAATGACATTGCTGACCGTGCGCAAGATATTTACCGCGCTATGTAAGTCTAACCGTTCTTTTCCTCACTTAACGGGTATCCGGAAATTTAATTATGGGAAACTGTCTATTTTTTTCCTTATAGCCCAAGTAGTTCCTGGAATTCTCGTAATTCTGATAGGATATCTAGGCTGCGACATTATCCTCGTTTTAGTTGTGTGGTTTATAGCTGTTACTCTCATAACAGCTGGTTACGCCGGCGCGATGGCCAATATTGTTGACATCGCGCCTAATTTCGCCGGTGAGTGTTCGTGTTTTGGCGAGTACGTTTACTCGCTGGGAATTCCATCTAACGTAAAATCTACGTGTCATTTCAGGACCGGTATTGGCGTTCGCACAGACAATTCACATGACCGCGAGTTTCCTGTCCCCGATAGCAGCTGGTCTGCTCACACAGGAAAGCGTAAGTATCGTATTTCCCTCTCTCTTCAATTTTTTTTCTCCGCGGTTCGCTCGCAAATTGCAAGTCTTTAATGTAACGTGATGTTTCAAACAGCAATCCCTCGACGCGTGGAGGAACGTGTTTGCGGTCACAGCGGGCGTGTCTTGCATTACGTACATCGCTTATCAGGTATTCGGCTCAGCGGACATACAAGCGTGGAATTATCCCGATCAAAAATATCCTCAATCTGTTCAAGAGGATTCTCGGCCTTTAAATGAATCTCCGCGCAAAAAGAGTAGGATTGTTCCAAGTCAAGCGGAACAGACGTAATAAATAATTTTCTCCCGATACATTTTACACCGGTTACAACTTACACTACTAAGATTGGTTTCCTGTTTTTCTACTGTCGTCATTCCTTGTGTTGAATCTTCAGCTCTTTTAACGCAAGAAAAGCGATTCGCATGAACGTAGCTCAATATACGTGTATGAAGAATACCTATTTTCAATACTGTTCAATTTCTGTAAATAGGTCCGATTGTTAATGCAGGAGAAATGCTATAGGCGTCAGGGTATTATGTATCATAGCGATGAGATAATATTTTTATGAAGTAACTCTCAGGTATGTCCAAATGTTCCAATTCGGTTCTCAACGCGGATTATATGAAGGAAATGCACAAACGTTCGAAGAAATAATTGATGATAAGTAAATCATAATTGTTCGTTCATATGTATTATCTAAAATATATGGAAAAATTATTATATAGTAATTTATTCGTGAAATGATAGAAGATATATGGATCTCATAATAGTACCAAATCATTACTTATTTTATCTACGCGAATGTCCGGAAAAATTCGTATGTACATTATTAATTATTCATATATTGGTTCATTTATATTTGTAAAGTATATTTCTTTTTGTATTTGTTATCTATAAACTGTGCTTCTAGTATATTAATTAATATCAAGTAAAAGTGTTAAAGATAGTAAAGATTTTCTGGTCTTTTCAACGATACCTTGATTTCAGGTCTGGAATTAGTGAAAATATGACGCTTATGATAAGCTCTCGTATACATACTTAAAAAATATATAGAAATATTAGAGTACTTATATAATAACTTTGAAGAGAGATACTTAAAGTGTAAATTTTATAATTAGAAAACTATTTTTTTTTCAATTTGTGTTCGGAAAGAAACCGAAAATATCGCGAAAAAATTTGAAAAGAACCGGATTTTTTTCAAGTTTTTAAAACTATAGTAAATTTGTTGAGAATAATTTTTGTAATAGGATATACAGGTGTAATCGTCATAAATTAGCTAGAACTAAGGGAAATCAGAATTGAGAGTACTGTTATTAATATTTACATTTTACAATAAGTGCCTTATGGTGCGTATAGGTTTTCAGATTGGTAAGCTCTGATGGAGCTCTCTCTTATACATGTCTAGTAATTTATTAATTTTTACAAATTATCATAGTTGCATAGGAAACACTTGACAAATGTTCACGACTATAAATTAATACTATAAACCTGCCATTACATCGCGACGAAAGCGAAGGGATATCCTTCTTAAGGTCGTGAAACCCGTGTTAGACAAATCTATATCGCAATTATTCCGTTAGCAACATATGCACATATTTCTAACACGTAATGCAAGTATTATAAATTTCACGTAGTTTTCATATCGAATTAGTCTACTAACCTTTCTTTCTAATCTCGACAATTTAATCTTATTACTTGCGGACAATGTACTTTATACTTTAATAACTTAGGTATATCGATAGGTTTAGGTACGTCAGAGATGTGCGTCAATGATTGTCTTTTCAATTAATGTCGCGTGCGTTTTAATTATAATCTTTCTCTTCGCATATATGAGACACTTGGTATAAAAATTAGTTATCAACTTTAGATATGGAAGAAAATGCTATTATATGTATTTTTTTAATGTTATAGTTTTAACGTAAAGAAAATCTCGAAAAGAGTTATTTTCTTTCTACGGAAATCTTTTCCGAGAAAACAAAATTTGTCAAACAAGGGTTTCGAAATTACGAAAAAATTGTGTAGCATACTAAATAAATAGATTTATAATAGATACGAAAATGAAATCTCGTTGCATTCTTCAATGCGCTCAGTTGATTACTGTTAATCTCATCATGTATAATCACGTGAATATAATCTTTGGAAGTTGTATTTACTGAGACAATTTCGTGACGAGTAATACGAAAATGCTAACAATGGATATATCGGTTGATCTTAACACTTCCATAACTATCGCCATTATACTTAAACTCAATTATAAGCCGAGGACCAGAGGAGCGTCGAGATATAATAGTAGAGACTGTATTATGTTACACTGAATATTACTAAAAAGAGTTACTTAGAGATACGACAGATGATTTATTATATAATGCAGATATACGATATAATTCAAAATATACGAACATATATATAGTTTTATTAACGGAAATATCTTTATTATGTGCATGTAACTACCTGTTTCCCTTATTTCGCCGACCTACAACAAATTCCGAGCTCGTATTATTACGCATACAGATTTTCAGAATTCAGAATGGCACAAATCCCATTAAACGACTGACGCTAAATGATGATAAGTGGTACGACGACCTCACAAATACGATAAGAGTGAATATAATCTTGAATACACAGACATTTCACACAATTGCATATCTCATTTCGACTTTTTCAAGATGTTGTGGATATGTTAACAGGACAATTGCGAATGACTTACGAATGTGAGATATTTAAGAAATGTGTCGAAATAAAATATTTATTAAAGCAGACATAATGATATAAATTATATATAAAGAAAAAAGCAACAGTTTACATATCGACATAATTTTATCGAAACAGCATGACGCATTTGACTAAAAAAAGGTGCAGTTAAGTCCCGGTAAAAATAGATCCCAAGACTACCGCGTCTCTTGTACTAAATTGGACATTGAGGAGATTATAGAGCGTGTCAGAGCGGTCTTTCTCAAGAGGGTATTATAAATATCTCTAAAGTATATCGGTGAAAATCCGTCCAAAGACGTCATAGGAGATTTAATCTTTAACGGACATCTTTAATTACATTGTAATCCACTTTTCTCAAAAAATACTCGAGCAACCGTGTGCTTGTTTTCTTACGTACACTATCATTTGAGTGCTTATTAACGTCAAAGCGTGAAAGTACGTTGATTGTCGTAGACAATCGTTATTGATATTAGATTAGATAGCTGCAATAAGATATCCGATTGGACCACGTCAGTTAAACTCTTCAGAAAATTCTATGACATCAATGAGACGAAAAGAAAAATATATTTAATGTAACCATAGACAAAATTATTACTGAAATTTTCTTTGCAATTTTATAATGTCGTCTCAAGGCGCTTCGGGTCATGTTTGCGACTATGTAGATATAATCCGGAAGTTGTATTTACAATTGAATCTCGTACTTTATGTATGCTGGTTTTACGCATCAATATACCATCTCCACAAATTGGAGAAAGATAACGCTCGCGATACTTCGTAAAACGCTGACGAACGTATGAGATGCGTGGTATGTTTATCGAGATATCTTGGGAGACAACATATGAGATATAAGAGACAAGCAACACCTGAAAAGAGACAGTGTCACGCCAGATTAGCTCTGTGACTAGACGTACGAAGTGTATCGAAACGTTGCAAATCGAATTCACGAATTAGCACAATGAGGTAAGAGAGAATTAACATTTCAAAAGGATTCGAATATATAAGACAGGAATACGATTAGAATATATTTTTCAAGATTTATTCAACGTTGAAAATTTGTGAACGTTGAATATTGTGATAATAAATTAAATATTGAATATTGTGATAAATAAGTTATATTTATTTTTATTAAACCACCATTTATACTTAAAAGTATATATTTTATTCACAAAACCTCTATCATAAGGTTTTAATAAATACACGTAGTACAAGTTACATAACTGTTTGTCCGTCACATCGATTCATAGAAATTGATTTTATCGTGACTTCAACGATTTGCATGCCATTCATATTAATGTGTGCTTCCTCTTTCTATATATTTGAGATGTGAGAGAATGGAAGTAAAAGTAATAAAATTCTAATTTTTTCAGGTTGTGGGTATGGTTAACCGTGCTTTTGTTAGTTACAATATTCGCATCAGAAGCATTAGCGAAGAAATCTAAGAAAGATGTGGAATCCAAAGGCAAAAATGAGAAGCAAGATAAAGTCCACGTCGAACGTAATTCAAAGTAAGTACAATAAAGGTTAAATTAAACATAAATTAAATAAAAGAAATATTTTATATCGAGTGTAAACATCAGTGCTAGCTTACAATTCAACGACTCAAAGTTTATAAAATCAAACGGCTATATTTAATAATAAATGAGTCACCAAAAATAATGACCACTATCTTCAAAGTTATGATACAATGCGTACACGTTGTGGTATATTATCATACAATCAGAGAAAAGAGTAATTTATCATTAATAAATTAATAGAAAGAAAAAATGAATAAAAAATTATTTAATAAAAAACTATTTTTATTGATCGTAAGATTGAATGGAATGTATTATATATTTTAATTATAATACACAAATCTATTAATTATTATATGTTAATCAATTTAAACTCGTAGTTATGCACTTTGTTTATTAAATTAATTGAAATGTTCTTTTTTTTAAGAGATAAATATCAGCCCGAAAAATCTGAAAAAAAAGGAAAAGAGAAATATATGAAAGAGGAAAAGTCGAAGAAGAAAAGGAGCAGCGAGTCATCGGAACATAGTATTGAGAAACCTTCAGAAAAATATTCAGAAACGAAAAATTCTTATAAATCGGAGCAAAAATCAAAGAACAAGAAGAACAAACGTGAGGAAAGCGTCGAGCAGATAAACAACGAAAAGGAAAGAAATATCGAAACCAAGTCAAAGTATGCGAAAGATAAAACGAAAGCGGATACTCAAAGTAAGCAAAATAAGGATGCTAAACGCCAATCGAAAGAATCCGCTGAGTATACCGAAGCTTCTCAGGAATCAAAGAGCCAAAAGTCGAAGAAAAACATGAAGGAAGGAAAAAACAAGAAGAAATCGAAACATGTGGACGAAGTAATCAACGAGGAGGAGAATATTAACGTTAAGAATAAGAAGAAATCAAAGCGGTCCAAGTCGGAGTCTTCTGAAAATACGCAGAATGTCGAGAATAAGAAAAGTAAGAAGAACAAATACGATAAGAACAAAAAGAAGCAAGAAGTAACTGAAAATACAGACTCCAAAGCCTCTACAGACAGCGACGCAGAATCAATCGAAACTGATGTGATATCCGAAGATTCCACTCAAGAAGAAAGAACGTCAGAGACTGAGAACGATAAGCGGAAAGTTCAGAGAACGCAGCAACAGGACAAGAAAAACAGGAAAAAGCGCGAGGTAGTGCAGGAAGAAAAGAAATTCGAAGCGGAAATATCAGAAGAGCCTGTCGAAGAGGAAGAAAATGTAACTGAAGATCCAGTTTCGCAAAAAGACGAACAGGAGGCGGCTGAAACTGAAGAAAGTGAAATTGAGAAAGATTGTCCGATGGATTCGGACGTCGTATCAGATGAATGTGCTGCATTGTGATGTTTGATTCATTAATATTAAACGATGGCCTTTCGGGTGTACTTGAAGAATGCTCAGAGATAGGTATCGATAATACATTTTATTGTGCCACATATCGGTGCCATTGTTGAGGTTCTAAAATTAAACGATAACGCGCTAGATACCTAAATCATCTTATTTATTGTTTTCGTCTATCTACAGTAAATTATACGTAAATCTCACGATATTTGCTGTCGAGTTCTTTATTTACGCACATCGCCTTCCATGATGACTTGATGTTCTCCTTACCAATTATCCGCTATTTCCATGGGATTAGCTGAAAACATGATTTCGCAGTTATCGCCTCTTAACGCACATATTTCCGTGATGTGTCTACTTTCATAAGTATTCCCGTAGAAGAATTCAAATATCTTATTACATGAAGATAAACGTCTTACCAATCGATTGCGCCATGAATATAATGACCCATCCTGACCCCACGTTGTTCACTGTCGAAGTATACGTTACGAGAATTCGATTACTCGCCGCTTCAAATCTTGCCGGATCATCCTGTGTGTAAGAAAGACAAAATATGTATTCTCGTCGCGCGTGTGGTACGAGGTCGCGAAGATTTTGAGAAGATTCTCTAAAATCCGATTTCGATTCTTGCGGACCACTCCTGTTTCATTTTGATTCTCTGGTCAGACCGGTATCTCTCGAGATAGCTAGTTAGCTTTTTCGTTAGTTGGTTGGTTAGTTGGTTAGTTGCAGAATTCGTTGGCAGCCCTCGTGGGTGTACCATTCGACGGAGCAACTTACCCCGCCGCAGTAAGTGTTGCTTAAGAGCGTTCCGCTGGGACCGACGTCGTAGATTTTGAGATTGTTGTTTTCGCAGTTCTTCCTCGTGCCGATGTCGAAAATGCGGAACTGGAGGAGGACCTTGAAGCCGCGCGGCACGCTCACGTCCCAAGTGCACACCGTATTGTTGCGGTATATGTTTGGATACAACGGCGAGGTGAATTTGCCGCCGTAATTGAATAGGCGACCGCCGCAGCCCCTACCTGCGGCCGAGTTTCGTTTTTTCAGCTGCTTTATGAAGCTAGTTCGGGACCACGTTCTATTCCGCTATAATACGCCCGACGTTTCAAACGAACGCGTCGCGAGATCGCAATCGTGTTTGCGCGGCCGCGTGAAAATAAAGCGCCACATTTCACGAGCGCGTATCTCCGAGGCGCCGCGCGCGCGGCGTCGTAAATCATTGCGTATGCGCGCGCGCGCGTTCTAATTTCTTCGCATCTGCTGGCGTGCATTAATCGGATGCAACGGAGGAATCTGTGCATTGCTGCGCGAGCGCATCGTACCTGCGTTCGTGGTCGTGTAAGTGATATCGTAACTTTGATAAGAGTTGCTGTTCTCGGCCCAGGAATGCAAGGTGAGCTTGTTGCCGGTGCTGAAAATCGGACTCGGTAACCCTCCCTCACATAGCGTGGCTATAAGCGGGCCGCTCGTATCACCGTCGTGAACCTGCGAGATGCGCAATACGTTTTCACGTTTTATATTATCTAGCGTCCCGCGGAAACAATTATGCAACCGCTGTCCCTTCGCATTTTTCCTCTAGAGATGGAAAGAATAACATACTTGAAGTGCGTAATGCGTGCAAGGTGCTGTGTCGTAAATGACGAATTGATTGAAATATAGGGAAATGGTGCTGTTCGCCGGTGCTGTGATCGTGAACCAGCAGTTCTTGAATTCACGATGAACGACTCGCCCTTGCTCACTCGTGAAATTCTGATCGCAGCCTGCCGTACTGTATTCAAGTTTGAAGCCTTTGTGGCCGCTGTACATCGATTTGAACAATATTTGAATATTGTTGCTGTAACTGCGAGAAAAAGTATTCAGTTTGGAATAAAACTGTTCCTCAGGCGGATACACGGAGTTGTGACGAGCCAATGGACTATTTTAAATACCTGTGATAATCGTGCGGTAGTGCGCCACCACAATATTTGTATGTGGAATAAGGTAACCGGCTGCCCTAAAAAATAAAGCAAAAAATAAGATAGAATCAATGAGTCATCGATGAAACGAAATACACGTTAATAATAACATAAGTGGTATCTTACCATCTCGACGGAAATTGGATGCTTTTGCTCTCCGCTGTAAACGAAGTTCTCCCCGAAGCCTTCGTTTATATATTTCTAATAGTTATTAAAAAGAAATTGATAGTTTTACCTTATAGGCTAATTGCAGAGAAATCAGGGAATGTTACTCGCTATCAAAAAATTGTATTTATTTTTCGGATATACTTACCGACTCCTCAGAAATCTCTAAGTATTCGTTTTCGCATTTGTCGGAGTCTTCCATGTCAAAATCTATAAACTGAATTCGCAATCTATCCCTGTATTGGTCAGGGTGTTGTAAGATCCAACGACATTGAATTCCAGGTTCGTATGTATTCGGATAACCCGGCGAAGTAAGCGTCTGTCTTGTCCCGTTTATCGTTCGACTGCTTAAGCCGCATGTTGCTAGAGCGAAAACATTGAATAAAGAAAAATGACGGTCGGTTGACAACAATCAAAATAGAAACGAATTTGTTGCAGGCAAGCGAGTGTATATGTCGATTTCTGACGGAAATAGTTAACTGAAAATGAACGGTTTCTGTCTGAGCGAAAATATAAGTAGTAATATATTCATCAAGGAGAAATAAATTATTATCGCGCAATTGTAATTCGTCTCGTGTAATGAGATATGAAAAAATGGCTAAAGCGAATTAAAGTTTCTTACAGTCTACAGCTTCCAAGGTGGCTGTTGCACCGGCGCCTTCAGCTGTGCCGTCAGTGTAAAATTTCATCCACAACATATTCAAGGAACTTAATATTGGAATTGGCGCTACGTTCCCGCAATATTGACCTATAATATCGGCATAAGATCCACCGCCATCTCGGACCTGCGAATAATATAATTTCTCTCTGTGTGATAAAAATGTCAAATAATGCATATTTTTTCACAAACAATTCCGAACTTTTTAGACGATATCGCGTTAGAGAGCGCCGAGAAGTTTATTAAATTGATTATAAAAAAAATTTCTCATTATTGTTCTTAATATTGTGCGCAATATCGCATCTTCTACAAATGCAATAGCACACAACATTGCTACGATTTTGTTATTAGCTTCTATGAAATATTAAATTGGCGAGAATTAAACTCACTTCAAGATAATCGCCGGTACATTTGTTACTAGTCATGTTATTAGTCGAGTTCTTGATGTCCATGCTATTGATGATAAGCCTAATATTTTTGCCTGGCGATGTCACCACAGTCCAGTGGCATTCTTCAAACGACTGATAAGTTGCTGCCTGTTGAGTTCTAAATGATTTCGATCGAATCGAAGTCATATTGATAATCTCTCCACAACCATCGGCCGGACTCGTCATGAACAATACCTGCAATTGTTCATTATAATTAATACTGCGGTCGGGTATCTACGCGCAAAATAGTCTACTTATTTAACTTATAATAATATTAAAATAATAAAAAAAAATGTCGATTTCCTAAAATAATTATATTAAAATAATTCAAAATGATTTTTCATTTTTCAATGATACACAAAAAATGTCGAATTATTACATTGAAATAAATTTAACACTTGAAAACATCACGAAAATAATAATATATGAGCTAGGTGTTAATTTGTCATTGAGACATTAGTCAAAAGTCAGTAACACAAGAAAATTGTAACATTTGCGCAGAAGATTTTCCCTATGTAAAAGCGATATTTTCATTAACTGACAGATCACGAGATAGATCACAGACTTTGGATGATTAATAAATTAATACTCGATCAAATAATACCTTAGCTGTGAAACCTTCGAAATGCCTCGAGCTGTCGGCGTTAAAGTTGATGACCATGAAATTGGATTGGGACTTGAAAGTGGGTAGATTCGCAGTCAAGTTTCCGCAGATCAGAGCTATACGTTTGTTTTTCTTAACCAAATCGCCTTCGTAAACGGCCACATTGTCGAAGTAACAACTACAAATTAATGATAATGATCGGTGAGATGGACGATGTGATTCGGGAACAAACTTGACACAGATTTGTCGGAAACACACCCTACGCTAAACTCAAGGATGAACTTCTCGAATCGTATGAGCACGCTCTTCCCTTGCGGGGCTTTAATGACCCAAGTGCAATTCATGCGTCCGAAATACTCCTCTCCGTGCATCAAAGGCTTCAGTTCAGCGGGCTTTGTAATTATACCGCCACATTCTATCGATTACAACGGTCTCATTATTTCACCAATCTCTCTGTAACGATCTTGTGAGTTTCTTTCCTTTTTAATTCTTTCCCTTTTAATTTACATGTTATATTGCACTTGCATTGAGTGAGAAATTATTGATGTGTTACTGTTAGTTGGTGTTTACTGAGTATAAATCATCGTTCACGGAATAACACGAGTTTTTCATAAATTACTAATAACTGTCGTCTGTATGAGGACTAGTGAATAACTTACGGTTGAGGAAATATTTAAATTGAAAGCCTTTTCGCTGCACGAACTTGTCTGTCATGAAAAGAATTTGTATTTGCGACATAGATCTCACAATCGGTGGTTTGTTGATGCCGCAGTAAGTCTCCACATTCTCTATCTCAAACAGATCTTCTGAGATAATTGTGATGTTATCGAAGCGACAGTCACGACCTGTTGAAAAAATTAATTTGATTCTTACGCTTTTTTCCTCCTTACTTTCGCGAAAACGAACTTTTTTCCTATCTCAAACATTCAAACAGTCTCAGGCGTGTATTAATAGTAGTAACTTGAAACTTGTTTCATATAAGATACACTTCAGACAACATAATGTCTAAAATCGGGACATAAGACGTATGAAAAACGTTTTTGAAATGTCTTATGTCTCGATTTTAGACGTTAAGTTATCTTGGTCAGATTTTAATTCATATTTAAACCTGAGGTTTTTAATTGAATCATGTGATGTATCTAACATCATATCTATAATTGCGATTCAACTGAAAAACTCACGTCTAACTCTGAATTTAAGACTGAGTATCTCACTTAAGACAAGTTTCAAATAACAATTATTAATACGGACCTCAAAGAATTTATAGCTAATGCTGATATGCACAATGAGTGTCATCAGAAGCAAACAGTCATAACTTACCGCGCTCCAGCTGGAAATCAGTAAAATCGACGATAATATCGTCGTTTTGCGCGACAATGGTATAATTGCAGGATATGTTGGATGGATACATATTCGGGTACGACGGTGATTGAATGGTCTTGGCGTTCTTGGTCGCCTGGAAAACACCGCCGCAATTTTCGCTCCAGACGGCACGGAAACCGTCCGACTGTACCGCCTCGTTCGAATGGAAAATCACTTTCATGCGATTCGACGTCGAGTTAAAGGGCGCAGGTGTGTTCCTGCCGCAAACCTTGCCGAGACTCTTCCATTCGCCGTTGCCACTTTCCTCTTCGTTGATCCAATCAAACACCTGTGTAACATGGCACATTTTATATCGTCGGTAAATCGTGACATTTCTAATATCGCGACGAAAACGTCGCAGTTATGGCGAACAAATGGAATTAATCGAGAGTGAAATGAGTAACGTCAATAAATGTTAACACTTTGCGGTTCGTGTTCCATATAAAGTTGTTACGCTCTTTGATTCGATAATTGACTGTAGGAAATTTTGTATATTTGTTGAAGATGTAATAATATAGTGTCCGATGAAAAATCTCCATTGGATATAATAATTATGTGGTCCTTAATTATTATATAATTAATATAATTAATTTATTATTAATATATTATAATTAATATATTAATTAATTATTATATAATTAAGGACCACATAATTTTTATATCCAATGGAGATTTTTCATCGGACACTATAAATAATATATTATATTAATTATTATATAATTAATATATTATATTATTATAATATTATAATATTAATATTAATATATATAATGTAATCATTACAATAATTGCACTCGTCATTTTATAATGCTTGACTGTTGCTCTTTCCTGACGTTTATAAATCTTTTTATAAATGTTATAATATTATAATAATATATATTAATAATAATATAATAATAATATATTATATTAATATTAATGTAATAATTATGGACGACATAATTATTACACATAGCAGAGATTTTTCACCAGGCATTATATTATTGCATCTTCAACAAATATATCACATTTTCTATTGATGTCTGTTAATATTAATGTTTTCACATCGCGACATCACTATATTGTCGGCGGACTGCAAAATGTTCCAATCAGACCTGTAGGTAATCTTTCTCGCAATTGGTACTGGTCTCCAAACTGAACCGCTCAATGAATGTTAAGCCTAGGTGATATCCAATGTCTCCCATTATCTCCCATGTGCATTCGCCGTTGTTCGGATATTGTTTCGGATATCTGCGATTACAAGAAGTGACATTAAGCAATTCTTCCGCTTTAAAGACTGCGTAGTTAGATTACTCTATTATATTAAGCTGAATGATAATTACTCCGGCGACAAGATTTCGCGACTGCGACCGCGTAACGTTCCGCCGCAGCCTGCACTCGCAACATTCAGAGTAAATTCGAAGTCGTTCGGATCGCCTGTCGCGAAATATTCTATCCATAGTTGATTCGATATACTGGTGATGTTGTAGGGTCTCACATTACCGCAAAACTTTCCAATTTCCGGCGACGTGGCACCACCGTTCCTGCATACAGACGCAAGTTACATGTAGATTAAATCGGAAATTATTTAATAACAATTATGAAATAATTTATACTTGACGATGATGTAACCCTGGTCGCAAGTGCCAACATTAAATCTTGCGAAAGTGAGACTGATCGTTTCACCGTTGTCAGGGTAGTTTGCGTGCCAGACGCAATTTATTGGATAGGAAAGATTCTTCGGAGATATAATGGTATGCCTCGGGCCTCCCAAAATATTACCGCAAGGCTGCCATTGGTATTGTATATTGTAGGACATGCGCTTTCCAAAAGTGCCGTTTAATATCTGTACAATTTGATAAATATTAAAATTTATCACCCTGTTAACCTTCGCACTAAGTCAGAGTCGAGTAATAACTAGTTACTTAATTAAAAGTTAAGTTAAAGATTTAAAATGTTAATAACTTTTAACTTAATTTAGTTAATTTTAAATGAGTTAACTTTTAACTTTAACTAATTAATTTAAAGTACACTTTAAACTATTAACTTTTTTGTTCAAGTTAAAATAATTCATCAAATATTAAAATTATCGCGTGCTGCTTACGATATAAAAATAAGAAAAATAAAAAATAATTCTAGCATAATTATTTTTGTCTCTTTGTATGCTACTTTGTATGCTACTACTCTTTTTTTATACGGAATTCTGAGCATAAAACAGTCGGTACTTTCTAATAATAGACTACCTTTTTTTATTAAGAATAAATTTAATTTACGATTAGAAAAGTTGATTTTACAAAAATGCATATATATACATAGTTTTGCATAATTGATTGTAATAAACTTTAATAAATTAATTCAATATTAATTTAACTTCTTATTAAGTTAGTTTGATTTCGGTAACTTTTAATTTAACTAAGTTAATTTTGTAGGCCATTAACTTTTCATTTAACTTAGTTAAAAGTAAAAATGAGATTACTCAACCATGCTAAATACGAATGATTTTAGTTTTTACGCAAAAGTGAAAAACAGATTATCATGTGCTGATAAATTACCGTCAATTCGTTTATTCCTTTAGGACTTCTCAAATACCTCGGCTCCGTTATATTTCCGCATAATATTCCGATATCTGCAATGTACAATGTTCTTTCTTTGCTTGTTTGCAATATTGTGCCCAATCCGAGCAAAAATTTAATAGGCTTGAGTCAAAAGGTAGTATCTAATTAATACAGACTAGATTAAAGTTAGATACAAATTTACTATTTCATGGCTAGACACCTACGAGACTCAATTTCTACTGAGTATCTGTTCACGATAACTACTGTCGATGAGCGATAACGAGAAATGAGTAGTGTCTTTTATTTTACCACGAAGTTCGATGTATTGAGGGAAGATGCAGTTTCCCCTGAAAGCTTCAGATCCGCCAAAGTTTCCAGTCACTTTTAACGTCAATGTCTTGCTCGTGTTGCCGTCAGATCTGGATAGATATTCAAAGGGCTGCGACAGTTTCCAATTACAGATGTACGAAGACTCATTGAAAGGTAGATTTACAGGGCCCGTTATGTTACCTTCCGAATTCGTCAGAATTCTACCGCAGGCTACAGCAGGGCATTAACAGAAGTTGATTGCTTGTCAACATTTCTTTGAGTATTTTGAGTTATGAAGAACGAGGAAGGAACGTGATTATTCAAGCAGAATAAAAAATCATATAAAAGTCAAGATAACATTAAGATAACATCAAGAAATAATCATTTATAGAAATTTAAAGTGATGTCATTTAATATCTTAAATAGAACGATAATTTGACTTTTTCGTGACAGTATTATAACTTATCAATTACTTCCTTATAGTCATACTTTCATCAATTTCTGTCATGATCAAAAAATGATTTTTGGAAGTCATTTTACTATCATTTTGATGTTATTGTGACTTTTCGTTCTACTTGCTTAGACAACACGCTGATACATATTGAATCGCATCGTCAAAACACGCGGTGGATAAATTATTGCCGATAATAGCTTTCGAAACTTACCATTCGGTGCCTGAGCGGTGTACCGGAGTTTGAAACCTCTGTGCCCGGAGGAGGACCAATAGCCGATAATCATGGTATTACTAGAACTCTTTATCTCCTCCGTGCTCGCTTGTGAAACGCGCCCCAAGGTTTTAATTTTCGATTTAAAGCGAAAATCGTTGTAGAACTGCAACAAGAAAAAAGGAAGAGAAACTTCAGCGCATTCATTCTTGTGCGTTTTTCTCGAAATAGCACTACATTGCGTTGACGTTACGTCATTTACCGAAAGTGAGTATCCTATGTGCATTGGTCCAGACGTGTTAACGATATCTAAATCAAAAATATTCACTACGACTTGATAACCATACGGCAATTCAATCCGCCAGTCACAATATCTGCAATATATCGTATATATTTGATGTTAATTTAAATACATATCGTACAAATTATAACGTATTAATTTTTATTCCGGTATAAAATACATAATTTATTTAGCCGGTCATTACAGTCCGTGTGATTTAATTGTGAATAATCGTTTAATCCTGTTCATAATTGAATTAAATTATTACATGATATTTTATAAAATTCATACATCGAATAATACACGTATGTATTATTTCTCAACGAATTATGTCAGTCGACTGAATTTTCCGCGATAGTTTTATCGTGCAAAAGAAGTTAATCCTTTAAAAGGAAATTTACCTGGGCCGTGTACGTGGATTTGGATATCCGGGTGACTTAATTATTCCACTCATTGCGGTTAATGAACCGCCGCATGCTGCAAGCATAACGTAACATATATGAAGTGATAAAATTCGTGCAACGCGTAAAGCTCGAAATTGTGCAGTTAACATATGGAGCAAAGTTCGTGACGTGAATTTGGAAATTGCTCGACGCAATTTGTTTCGCTGTTACTAACTTTCTTGGCTAGCCGTGAAGTTTATACTGAAGCCTCTGTAAATCATGAACTCCCTGTTATCGCTCTTGAAGTTGATGTACGCTTCGTTGCTCGATGTCTCGATCACGTCCGGTGTTAGAAGACCACAGTAGGTTCCGATTGGCATGGCTGCAGAGAAATAATGTTTCGTTAGCACACACATTGTGCCGCTGTATTACAGTACAACTGGTGTACATTGAAATTTACGTAATCGATTGCGTGATTACTCACTAGTACGCGTATTAGGTTCCATTATTCTCTCGCCGATTTCAACGTGATCACTTGAATCGCACAGGCGGAAGCCAGGAAGGTGTATATCGCGGAATTGCAATTTCAAAGTATGATCCGTCGGTCCTATTATCCACCACGTGCATGACTGATTCGTAGGATAGAAGTGCGGATAATTCGGCGACTCGATGACACCACTGGTACCACGCAAAATTCCACCGCAGACTTCTACGTGAGAACGTATGACGTGCGTGTTTGATCAAACGCTTTTCACGTAAAGGAATCGCACAAGTAGATGAAAAGATGGTATTATAGCCCTTATAGGTATAATATTAGGCATATCATACGAATATATATATATATATATATACAAGGCGTTACATTTACGTTTACGTTTACATACAGAATAGTAGAGCAATATGTCAGGTTGTCGCTCCACGGATACGTGTGAGAGAATGAGAGCACGCACATCCGACCCTAGTTGCTCTTGCGTTTACTAACAAAGTTATTCTACAAAATAGGGGGCTATAATACCACTTTTTCCTTTGCTGCTTTTATTTTTCAAGAACTTTCACGTCTCGTCCCGCCATATTAAAACTTGCAAAATAGCTTTCTTTCTTTTACCTGCGGACGAAATCACGGCTTTGAAGCCATTCTTCGGCTCCGGTAAGTCAGTATAGAAGTGAATGTACATCATGTTGCCAGTGGTAGTCATACTACTGGGTGCTACATCTTTGCAGTATCTCCCCAAAGTCCTTGAACTATCAGTACCGCCGTCTCTTATCTCGACATATTCTCTCTCGCAGCTAAAAAATATCACAATAGATATGTCATTCTGAAACTTAGCCGAACGATTAATCTCTCTTTAATTAGGGAAACTCACTTTGGACTAGAGCTTAAATCGAACCTCTCCGGAAAATGGATAGAAAGTTTCTCGCCAGCTGGAGCGATAGCCCTCCAAGTGCATTCGGCGTAAGTTGGCGGAATGTTTGGATAGTTGGGGGTAGATATTTCCCATGATTTCTGTTTGTCCTTCAAGATATATTCACCGCCGCAGTTCATGCTTACTTCCCTAAAATATGGCAAGAAAAGCGAGATTAATGTAAAGTTAAAAAGAATCTTTCGTTGAAGTGTTTTTTGGCACACATTGATAATAAGCGCACGAGAACTTTCCGTTGCGTTTGATATCTTCACTGTTAAATATAGCATTTTCACAAGATATTCTATATTTTCATATTAAAACATGATGTATCGCATTGTGTGACATCGGTATTTGTAGTGCAGCGACCTGTCTCGCGAATAGCTACAACGCCATGCGTTTTCTCAATTTAAACTTAATTTTTTACGTGTCATGTTATATAATTTTAACTAACATCATCAGATTCTTCGCCTCAAGAACTGTAATAAAGTCTAATTTACTTTTCCCGGACATAACAAAAATCAGCATTTTCTTATCATCCTTCCTTGTGCGCATATGTATCAACTATAGGTCTATAGATAATAGATCGTTCAATTAACGAACCTGTAAGTTAATTTAAAGCTCATGGGAGATCCGTGGTAAACAGCTCTGACAAAAAGGCGATTTCCGATGGTTTCTAGTTCGGCGGGTGGCTCCTCGCCGCAATATTTCCCGTTGCCTAATAGAGGTGCGAACGTATCGCCTCCGTTCTTCAACTAGAATCATACCGATAATTCCTACGTATTGTACACTTATTCGTATTGTCCCATACTTATGAACATGGATCAATAGATGTTATTTAATTAATTAATCGTTTCTCTTTTTTGGAAAAGATCATGTACAATGCGTTTTCATTGATTTTTCGCTTATTTGTTATCAGTATTGTCAATTTCGACTACCCAGTTATTCGAGTCTTTCAATAACTGAGTATATAGCTAGTTTCAAACATCATTATTATCTGTTATCGTTAGAAAAATCAATTACTTGCGACGTCTGAAATTAGCCGCATTCTAAGTTATTGAAAAACTCGAGTCATCGAAATTAACATCACTATTTCTTACCACTATAGGCTGGCAATATATTGTTTACTAACCAACAGGTAATTGTCAGTGCAGGTATGATCGGATGTCTGTGATATCGATATATTGGTAATCTCTACTTTGATAGTTCTGCCGGATTTCACCTCGACAGTCCAGTCGCATCCAGTATTATGAGCCCACGTGCGTCTCTCTCTCATCGAGGTATTGCCGTACTCAATTACACCGTTGGGGTCAGTTAATTTACCTCCGCAATCTGAACATTAAGAGAAATGCCGAACATCAACAGAGATGCCTTACGTTTACGCTGAAAGTTAACCCTTTGCGCTCGAGAGGTGCCCTCTCAGGCACCACTGGATATGATGCGACAATTCGAGCGGTGCCTCTCAGGCACCACTCGGATCGAGGCGGCAAATCGAGCGATAACGGTGTTTATTTAGATTTGGCCTAACGAATATCGCTTCACGAGTCTACTCCTAGCCCTCATGAAATAAGCGGGAGCAGCTAACTCCTCTCGAGTTGCTGGCTCGCTCGAGCGAAAAAGGCCTCGAGCGCAAAGGGTTAATTTCGTGAAAAACCAAATTGAAGCCTTAGTGACCTCGATACACGTATGCGCTGAAACCAGTCTTATTGACAGACGAATCTGTTTCGAATTTCACCGTCATCACGTTAGTTCCCTTGATCAAGGACATGGTAGAGTTCGCCAGGCATATTTTACTTTCCAGTTTGGCGTCCTCGGTGGATATCAACGCGTATCCCGAATATACGGACAAGGAATCCGCCACACAATTCATCGTCTCTTCCAAATTCATAGATATTATTCGCAACACTAAATGCGTTCCAGGCGGTGATGTGAAGACCCAATTGCAACGCAGATTGTGTGCATAACCGGTAGGCCAGCCGGGAGAGCTGAAGGAGTATGAATTATTGAGCTCCCCTATCAGAGCTATTTCCTTGTTGCATTCTGACACTGGGGAGAAGGAAAGCGAAACAAAACTGTTATTACTGTACGAATCACATCCCGCGTCAATATCGTAGTCATTCGATAATCACATTTAGCGTGTACGTTTTGCTTCGAAAATATGAAAACACCATATTGAAGCAGTATTAGTGTTAATTACATTACACGTTTATCTCGATTAATAACATAAAATAATTGCATATACACAAGACAAATATCTTACGTTTGATTTCTCTGTTACTCCCCCTGTAGGTTTCTCTCGGTATTTCTAGCCACGTGAGATCAAACAAATTCCCCTGCTTAACTAAAGAACTCTTCATTTGTATGTAAACCACATTGCTAGATGATTCCACTGGGTCTGGCAGACTGAAACCGCAGGCTTCTAGCAGTTTTGGCGCGTTGTCGTCGTATCCGTCATATATCTAATTAGAAATGTAGATTAAGGTAATAGCATTTAACGCTTCAAGTAAATGCGCTAAGAAAAATATCTGTTCGTATCTGATCGAATAATTCAATTAATAAATAACAAACGGATATATTCGATCATTTCGCCATTTCATTCCATCGTCAGTTATGCCTTTATCCGATGAAAATTACAACGGATATACAAAGGATGACTAATTTTCCGATTAGATTTCATCGGTAACTTCACCGGATAATTCATCGGATAAAGGTATCCATCACTTGATCAGATAATAAAAATAACAGTCGGATATATCATTTAATTGGTTCGCCCGATGGAAATTTTCATACATGATAAAAAACGCTGCAGCGATTTCTGTCGTGTCCGATAAGAATACTCACATCAACACTAGCAGCGCAATTTCCAGAGTTGCTTAGATTTTCCATCTGTATATCTCTAAATTGGATACGTATGGCCGAATCCATGTTAACTGTGACGCGCCACGAGAATCTAGCCAGTTTTCTATAAAGTTTCGGGTACAATGGCGAGGTAATGCGTCCTAGTGGTCCTTCGAGTTCGTTACCTCCGATGAAATTATATTCGGCCGTGAAGCCTTTAGCGGTGCCCGAATCGTCACTTTTAAATTTGATCCACAGTTTGCCGGAGGAAGTAATCGTTGTGGCGTCTTTGCCGCAAAAGACATTAATCAGCTTCCCAATTCCGCTGTTCTCCCGCACTTCGACGTAGTCCATATCGCAGTTTTCGCTCGCCTCAACATCAAACTGGGAGAACGTAAGACTAATCCTGTTACCGGGTGAGGTATTCAAAATCCAGACGCACTCTGAGTTCAAAGGATAGCTGTTCGGGTAACTCGGCGAGGCGATTATACCTTGCTCAGATGTATAATTCCCGCCGCAGGCTGAAAAACGGAAACGAAGTCGAGGAGGCGTCTCCTAATGGATCTCGTGTACTTTATACGTATCCTAATTCGACATACCTGTGTTTATGACGGAATAAGTTGCAGCGAAGTGGCCTATGAACTCAGTTTGTACGAACAGGAGCACCGTGAGCGAACCTCCGGTACTTGTAATCGGCGGTGGAGCGACATTGTTGCACCACTTTGCCAAAGGTACACTGTCGATGCCGTCACCCTCGTACACCTCAATAAAGTTCGTAACACAGGGATCGCCCCATACCATTCTAGGGGCAGGGTTCAACCCCATATGCGTGAAAGTTAAAGTTACATGGTCGGCTGCGTTAGAAGGAGAGAATTAGTAACAAGTGGCGTGGATCTTTTGGAAGCGTAAGTTAAAACCAGATCGAGACCGATGTTCACCTGGATTTTCAGCTATCAATATCCAAGTGCAGTTAGTGCCGCCGATATGCATATCCGGATTTGTAAGGAAACCGTGATCTCTCACGGTTATGCGAGCACCGCAGGCTCGAGAGTATGCAGCTTTGAAACCTTTCGCTGAGATGATGGTGTCGGTCCGCATGGCTACTAACATTTGATTGCCAGTCGATACATAGGACGGTGGCAGCTGATTGTGACAATGCGTTCCTAGTAACGGATCGTTTTGTGTTGGCCCGTCAAAGATCTATAAAAGTATGGAACAAGAAAATTAACACGTGCGCGCGCGCGTTTGCTATTATATTTAACACTGCCCTGCTAGTTTCGAGCGTAAATTCCACGGAGTCGCAACGCGCGTATATATATATATATATATATATATATATACAATCAGAATACAAAACAAACTATGCGTATGATATTTTATTGCTTTCACATTCAATATTTCTATAAATAGTTCATAAAATTACTCATATTTAACTTATTAAAACCATTACCCATATATGAGTGACATGGCAGTACTTTAAATATTAAAAAGTGAAACTTAGAGAAAGGAGAATTATCTGTAAATAAATGTAACTGTATTTTTACGTATTTTTATTGTTATTACGTCAAATGTTTCTACATTTGTTATAAGCGATTTATTGTGAAAATAAAAGCATACCTTCAAGTAATCATCAGTGCAATTCCTGCTGTTCTCGATATCGAAATCCAAAAATGTAATATTTATAACGTGATTATTGTCGACTTCTATCAGCCATTCGCAATTCTGACCGTGCGGATAATTCTGAGGGTAATTAGCTGAGTGAATAATGCCCGATGGTGTTGTAAATTTACCGCCGCACGTGATAGGAACGGCTTTGTAACTAGCATTGAAACCTCGACCAATGTATAAAAAGTCCGAATGAAATCTCACGAACATTTTATTTCCAGGACTAGTAGAGATCACTGGTTTTTCTGAATGACAAAGTTCGGCCATTTTCGGCGCGTTCGCGTCTTGGCCGCCGTAGATTTGGATTTTATCGAAGGAACATGTATTTTGTTTCTCTGTGTTCACCTGAAAAAAAAAAATCTCTGCTTGTGAAAAGTCACATCAACACTCTGGTTTAACTTCAAATAGTTGTAGCATGAAATGAGTTCTTTAAGAATTCGTTGAAACTTGTACTATATATATATTTGTAAGATACGCGAAAGTCTCTTGTTTTTGGATATATATACCTCGTGAAGAGTGAGCTCGATGCTATGCATATAATCCACTTCGATGAGCCATTCGCAATCGATATTTATCGGATAACCAGAAGGATATCCGGGTGACGTAAAACTACCGACAGGTTTAGTGAAAAGTCCACCGCAACCGTAAATCGCCCATTCAAGCCGAAAACCATTAAAGGCGATAAAGGAATCCGTGATGAAATTTATAATAACTATATGCTTGGTTGAGCTTATTTTCATCGGTAAGTTGACGGTACCACAAAAGCGACCTAGCTCAGAATTGCGCCCGTCACCTGAATTTTCCTCAATTTTAAGGTAGTCATATTGGCAATTATTGTCAGGATCGTTGTCTCCTTCAAGATCAAAGTGTGAAAAAGTTAAATTTATCTTGTTGCCAATCGGAGCTTCGATCTTCCAACTGCAGTTTATCATGTGATCGTATTTGTTGGGGAAATTCGGTGATTCTATCACACCGTAGAAGCCATGTAGTGTGTTATTACATTCTGTGGCAAAAATTAATATTTTACAGTTATCGTTGAAACGATCAATAATAAAAATTATTATATTTGTTTTCATGAGTTATTTTCAAGAGTAATTTTGATGAGTTGTCTATATATACGGAGAAAAAGATTTCTTTGGATTTAATAGTAATATTTTTTTAATTGAAACAAATTTGTCTTTTGGAATAGAACGAATAAACGAATACTTAATTCAATAAACAGAATTGTTCAGTTTTTCAAATAATAAATATCTTTACGTCAAATAACATATTTCTTTTGTATTTTCATTCATTCCAACGTTACAATGAATGTCACAGGCAATAAATTATTTGAAAGAATTAGCATTATGTTAGCAAAATACTAAAAAACTTTTTTGTTTTAGTGAGTTGTGTCAGATTAATAAGATATTAGGACTTACGTGTTTCGTATTTTAAATGAAAACCTCTGGCGGAATTTGAGAAGTCGCTACGGAATCGAACAGTCATTTCGTTGGTTCTCGATTGAATAATCCTCGGGTACGTGACGCCACAGTAACGTCCTTTGCTCACACGACGACTGATGCCCTCAAATACTTCAATGAAGTCAAATCGACACCTCTCGTGGCTTTCGTGCTCGAGGTCGAGATCAATTATTTCGAGTTGCACTATGCTACCCGCCGATACAGCGATTTTCCAGTAGCACTCTGCATTGTACGAATAAGGTTCGGGATAATTTGGAGATGTTATTTCTCCGGTAACTCCGTTCATCGTACCACCACATCCTGAAATCAAATCACATCCCAGAGAATATTAAGATGCCTCTGAGATAATTAGACGTTTAAATGATATCTTGGAGACGTCTTTTAGACATACATGTTGTGTGGAATGTAAAAATTCACATATTGAATAACTGCTTGAAATGATGTAAATTGGGATAAAACAGAATTCATCGGAATTTCTCGCATGCTCTTACCCTGCGTTGTACTGTCCCATTCTATCTCGAAGCCTTCGTACCTCCTTGAGAAATCCGAATGAAATTTAATATACAATTGATTGGATTGACTTGGTATTACATTTGGTATATCTGTGCCACAGAATTTACCGATTAGCGGCGAGGATTCGTATCCACCATTTCTGAAACATGTGAGATATAAAATAGCGTTTTGTAAGTAACAATATTGACATTTAAAACTGATTATCTACCTAATTTCTAGATAATCAAATGTGCAAGACGAATGAGATTCCAACTGAAAGTGATTCACTGTAAGTATGATCCTGTGTCTGTCCTGTGCTTCGATAATCCAAACGCATTCCTTCCTGTTCTCATAATTATCAGGATAACCTGGCGACCTGATAACGCCAGTCGATTTCATATAATGACCGCCACAGACGTTAGTCAAGTCAACGAATATATAAGAGGCGACAAATCCAGTGCTGGTGCTGACAGAGTTAGTATTGAAGACTATGGTTAGTGTATTACTTTGTGATGTATAACTGGCTGGTGTTTTGGTACCACAGTATCTAAAAATATATATAATTGCAATATGTTTCGAATAAAAGGATAATAAAGAAAAATTTATGCGTGATTGTAACAACATCAATATGCAGTATCATTATGGATTTACGTTGCTTTTAACATTTTTTAATCTGCTAATTGTACTAACGTGGCGATTACGTTTTCCAAAGAGGAAGTGTAGTTTTCGTAAATTTGGACGTAATCGTAGGCACATCGACGGTGGAATTCCACGTCGAAAGACAACCAGGTGAGTTGTACACCATATCCTGCAGGTGCTTGGAGAGTCCAAATGCAATTCTCGTTATTCAAGTAATGTCCTTCTTCAAGGGGAGATTCAATCATTCCGCTTGATTCTTTTAGCAACCCGCTACATCCTTAAAGAGAAACATGATAGTGATTATTTTATTATAAAATTCCCATTAATTCGAAATGCCATTCTTAAGCACAAATTTTGTAATTACTCTTTATATATGTAATTATTTCGTGTTACTTTCTATATATATATAATTATTTTATATTCTTTAATAGTTTCGTCTTAATTATTAGATTAATTGTAAATTAACGGGCTGACCAACTTACTGCGATCAACGGTTGTATAGTTGGCTTTGAAACCTCGACCTTCGATGCTGTTATCGGTCGTGAACTTAATGAACATATAATTATGCGTTGAAATGAAAGGAGTCAGAGGAATGTCATATTGACTACCGCATAATGTGGCGAGTTTCGTTGCATTGTCATTATCACCATCGTGGATCTCGATGTAATCGTAATAACAGTCCGGGTTATTGCCTTCGATATCCATATCTAATATAGTCAACTTAATTGCCTTATTGACAGGTTGTATAATTTCGTAAGTACACGTCTTCGATTCATGATAGGTGTTTGGATAGGAGGGTGATTGGATGATTCCGGTTTCTTCACGGAACTCGTTACCACATAAAGTTTCGTAAGACATAGCAAAACCCTCTGATTCGAATGACCAGTCAGACTTGAAAACCACAATGAGGATATTCGAGGTCGATTTAGCCACTGGCGGTAATTGCGATCCGCAATATCTACCGACTAAGTTGGAAGACGTATCGGGTCCATCATAGATCTGAAAGAAGAAACAAGATTACTTCCAATTCTTGCCACGTTACGTCGGAAAGATAATGTTCGAAAGGTCACCTCGACAAAGTCGAAATGGCAATCGGTGGACACCTCGAGATCGAATCGCAACCACGCTATTCGGATTCGCTCGCCTGGTGGTAGTTGTATCTTCCATTCGCATTGCATGTTCGGAAGATAGGTCGACGAGTGGCCAGGTGAAGTAATCGTACCACTGGAAGTGGTGTAAATTCCACCACAACCTGGTATACCTAAATATCAAGAATGATTCTTGTATTTTTCTTATATTGAATGTCCCGAATAATAAAATTATCAAATTATTTATCAAATACTTTAAATAAATGCTGTAACTAATTAGTATATTTAGATTATATAAATCAAGTGTTTCTGTCGATACCTTCGACCATCGTATAATGGATCTGGAAGCCAACATCTTGACCGGCACTATCGGAATGAAAATGAATACTCGCTGCTGAATTCGGTGTGGTGAGAGGCGGTGGCCGCGTGTGATTGCAGTAAAGCCCTAAACGCTCTTCCTCTAAACCAGTAATCTATGTAATATCGAATACGGGATCAAAGTGGATATTACGAATACGATGGTAATTGTAAGTACAGTGGTAACGTTTTAACAGCCATTTCAAAGAACTTATGATAACGATTATGATTACGATTGTCAGCAATATCTAAAATTACACATGCATAAAAGGCATTTAACTCGAAAATCTGTTCACGTAATATCACTCCTTACAAAAAATTTCACAGTTTTTAGTCCACGAAAACGGTTAGTTTGAGTAATAAAACCGTGAATTTGGAGAGTGCAAGAAACGGGCATAAAAATGATAGAACGGGCCAAAAACGCATATAATGCGCGTAAAATATTTCACCGTTTTTACTACTCATATGAATAGTAAAAACGGTGAAATATTTTTATCAGAAACGTTCGATATTATTGATTTATATCAAATTTATGCGGAATTTATATCGAAGATATTTACCTCTAAATAATCATTTGTGCAAGTTGGATGTTCCTCGAGCATTAATTGGCCAAAATGGAATTGAATCCTCTTCGATTCTGGCACTAAAATGTTCCAGTAGCAATCCCTGTTTGGAGGATATCTACCCGGTGAACCCGGGGACGTGATTGTGCCATAGTCATCTACTAAAACACCTCCGCAAATAGGTTCGATGCTGTTCCATTGGAAAGCGAATCCGTCGTGAGATATACTGCTGTCTGAGTGAAACCACAAGTAGAGAGAATTATGAGATGAGACGATGTTGCCATTTCCGTTGGGCAATGTGTTGCCGCAGAATCTGTTGATCATTTGACCACCGGCGTTCTTTCCATCGTGGATCTGAAATATCGTATCAATGATCGATATCGTACAAGTGTCGTGGAAAAGATAACAAATTCCCTCGACTTTCATTCACTCTCTCTCTCTCTCTCTCTCTCTCTCTCTCTTTCTCTCTCTTGATCTTTACGTTGTAATGTCTAATACATGAGAACGTAAAGACCTAAGCGCAGTATCAAGGACTCGGCGATGCCAGAAACTACTTAGAACAAGATCAAACAGTTTACAAGTCCTCGAAGCAACTTTCCTAACTAATCGTGCCTTGCACTAGCGAGGGCTCGAACGTCATTTAACAGTGGATACACCCTTCGAGGGCTCGCAAGACTTACAACTTTACTACAAACACAGTGATTCCTGATAAAAAGTACACGAAATTCTTTCGACCGCTGAAGGAACATCGCACCTGCAGGAAGTCAAACTTGCAGTCCGTGGACTGCTCGAGATGAAAAGACGTGAAGGTAACGTTCAGGACCTTCGAGGGATCCGTGATCAGCACCCAAGCGCAACTCAATCCATGCTGATAAGTACTACCGCTGGTCGGGAATTGAAGCCTTCCTATTAGATTCCGTGACACCCCACCGCACGACTGCCGTTGTGTTTCGCATCTGCTTCCTGTGAAGGTGGATGTGCATTCACACGTCGCTTGTCCATTTGAAACGACGCAAACGCCGTTATTTTGGCAGGGATTTGGCGTGCACGGGTCAGCTGGCGTGTTGCACGTAGTTCCTGAAAGTGCGGGCGGAAAACATCAAAATGCAGTGCAAGCGAAGGATGTAGAACATGTGCGGTTTTTGTTCTCTTCATTTTTTTCCGAAATTTCACTAAATGAAATGAAGACTCTCGAGTTGCGAACGTGCTGTGAGTAACATAATCGTTTTTTATAGCGCGCACATGCATAAAAGTCACAAAGAAATAGGACGACCAGAGAAATATAGGAAAGTCCGTTCTATTTCTCTATGATTAGTCACTAACGGAACCAATATCAATCTTTTAATTAAATAGAACGGTAAATATAAATCTTCTAATTAAGTAGAATTATATCCAATGCGTGAGTCATTACACGCTGAATAATACATCTTCTTACAATAATTTAATAATATGTCGCTACAACAATCGCGATTTGGCTCTTAAGACCCGTTCTATTTCTCCTTGTTTAATTACCAATAGAGCCAGTGTAAACATAAATCTTCTAAAAAGTCACGTTTCGAACTTCACAATTCACATTTGTGATACTTCATAGCCAATGTGTATTCGCCAGATGCGAATTAATTCCATATCCCACCTATTCAGTCACGTGTGAGAAACAGAGCGTTACGGTTTACAAGTGGTTTCACGGATGTATTTCCCTCCTCCCCTCTCCTCCCCGCGCTCGTATCCACTCCTATGTCGTTAATATATACCTGAATATCCCGGACTACACGTGCAAGTGAAGCCATTTGCACCGTTTGGCACGCATGTGCCGTGAACGCAAGGGTTGCTAGAACACGCTGTATTAACCGATACATCAGCTAATTGACAGCCGTTTGGTCCCATTCCATTACCGATGAAACCCGGTGGGCAACGACACAGCACGTAAGAACTCGTAAGCGATGGGTTTTCGGTGCAGATTGCTAGCGGGTGACAGCCGCCGTTGTTGATGGAACAACCGCCGGTAAAAATGCAATTAACACCGTCACCTCGGTATCCTGTCGGACAAGATCCACATACTCGGGAACCCTGTAAGCGTAATAAGTAGATTTAAATGATTTAATAAAATAAGACATTTATTATTATGTATATCATTAATTAATTAATTATTAATCAATTAATTTTGAATTAATCAATAATTAATAAATAAAAATTAATAATTAAATAGTGACATTTCGGAGAAATTCAGCGTACACTAACATCTTAAAGAGAGTTTTTGTTAAAAAAAGAGCAGTACATTTCTAGTCGGGGATATGAATATGATTTTAGTACAGTTAAGGTTACAAGGTTACGGCTAATATTTTATGCTGCCCCAATTCAAACGGCTAATAAATTCAGCTACGGTATCAGCGATATTAGTATTCCTTATTTCAAAGACAAATCTTAACCACCCCAGATATATTTGAGTCTCGACGGCTTATTCTTTCTCTACGTGCACTTTATCGAGTTATTTTAACGATCTTGAGTAAATACTTCTCAGCAGAGAAGCAATGGACACATACACATTGGCCACCGCGTTTCTCTAAGAAAAATAATTTTACCTCATTATACGCAATATAACATAGCGCCTGTATGTGTGCACATATGTACTTACCATCGTGTTCATGCAGGGCACATAAGGTGAGGTACTGCAGCCACCGTTGTTAATCAGACACTCGTCAATGTCGGTGCAATAATAGCCATTTCCGCTATAACCATGCGGACAGGCGCCGCAAGTGAATGAGCCACGCGTGTTGCGACACGGCACCGGTGGATTTACGGAGCAGGGTGGATGGTCTGCTGCACATTCATCTACATCCTTGGTGCAAGCCGGGCTTGTACCGTCGCTCTCCCATCCCTGAGGACGATAAATATAAGGATCGGTACTCCCCTCAACGGCAAGAACCGGTTTTTCGTCCGATATCCCGTCGGTAACTTTACGATTTGCCCAAAACGGTATTTATAATGGAAGGTAAGGAATCATACTTGATCGCAGATACAGATGTATCCAAGCAGAGAACTGCTCTTCGCGACGCAAACACCGTGCTCGCCACAAAGCGCCTCAGAATTCTCAGTATTGCAAATCGACGTTTTCTTCGTGCATTGAAGACCAAACCATCCCGGCAGGCAATCGCATCTGATGTAGAATCGATATTATGTACAAGCGTATTCTGTATAATGTATCTCAGAAATTGTATATCCGCTAAACCAGGTACGCCAGATGCTAAACTCCGTAAAGCAACTCATATGGAAAATTAATTCGGCAAACTAAGCTACTAAGCGTTATATTGTCAAATAAAGAGATATGTCTACCAAATTTGTGATCGATTCAGCACACTTGTAAAATTGTCCAAACACTTTCCTTTCACTCGAACAATCGATAAGCAGTCGTGAAATTAACATTGACGAAATCGCGAGAAGTAAAGTTAGAAAAGAAAGTTCCATGTCAAATTAATTTCGCGATTATTTATCGATTGACAAAATACCCGTAAATAAACTAAAGATGCTATCACAATTGCTTGATATTAATGCTGCTGTTAATGTTGCCTAACGGGAAAAGACTATTACTATTACTATAAGACTATTATTCGTCACATACCGATAAGATCCAGGTAGGTTGCGACACGTCGCTCCATTTTGACATCCGAGATCCGTGCCAAGAAACTTCGCGCATTCGTTAACATCTATCATACAATTTGGGCCCTGAAATCGTCATAAATTATCCTCTCGTCAAATACCAGTGTGCTATTTTTTTGTACTAGACCGTCATACATACCTCCCAATTTGATGGACAGTGACATTGATAGGAGTCATAGAGGTCCTCACACGTACCGCCGTTTTGACACGGGTTACTGTGGCACTCGTTCTCTCGGAGAAGCGTTTGCAAAGCTCTCAACGAGTCTTCTAACGCTTTGAGCTGAAAAAAGTACATTGACATTTGCAATTACAACCACATGGAATATTATTCGTACATATCGCTCATAGTAGACAAATTTGCAAATCATACGTACTCGCATGTTGATGCGACGCAGATTACTTCTGGGTATTGGCACCGCCTGTTGACAATTAAACGATATTCTGCAGTCAATAGTCATTCATTCGTATGTAACGTGATTTATATTGCTTCTTATCGAGCTAAATATTTAAATTTGCAAAGAAAATAATTCAACAGGTTGCGTAAGTAATCAGAGCTGTTTATACAATCATCGTACTATATTTTACTTTGATTTTGTCCTACATATGATGTAAAGTTTTTACTTTTCTTGTCGACGAGCTAATTTGATCCACCGCATAGATATATGTTTCAGGAAAATAAGCCGTCGCAAGAGAGCTACCGATTCGATATCGCGCATTCGCGTGTTCTTACCGGTACACGTCTGTTTCCCGCGTTATTCGTAATGTTCGTGTCGATATCTCGCTCGAGCTGAGTGACTCTCCTCTGTAGACCTGTGGAGCCTGTCACTATAGTTGTTAGTTGCTGAAGAGACCTCTCCATCTCGGCCAAGTATCCCATCCGCCACCTGTCGATGACCCGCGTCGCATTTTGCGCCTAAAAGGGATCGAAACTCGCGCGTTAACCAATCGTATCTCGATTGTCACGCTTGTCACACATAGACGCATATTCATTACCGCCGATGCCACGTGAAGCAGATTGATCTCATTGACGTTCACGTAACCGCCCCCCATTATCTTCAGGGTGATGTTTCTGTCTTTCGCGCTGGAGATTATGAGATGTCCGTCTCGAGACTCCAGAACTGGCCTGAGTTTCGTGTATTATTTATGTATTCGTGTTTTATTTATGTGTTTGTTGTGTTAATATTAGAACCGCGGTTGGGTCATTTTTTACCCATTTGTAGATTCTTTTTTGTCCCATTTTTTTTAAGACTTTTACCACTAGGAAATCTTCATTGTCATAAAACAATTAAACAGTAAAATAATTGTCATAATTAAGAGCCACTTATGGTTAGAATAACTTTCATTCATTTATAAAAATTCGACGGTTGAATATCAAAAGGAACTAAGAATATTAACGTCAGTCAAAAAAATTATAGAATATAAAAAATATTTTTCCCTGTTTTCATTATGATGTGTACGTTTTTAACACATTAATTAACTAAACTTGATCCGAAATTGAAACCCATAAACGGGACCGTAAAAGTCACCTTATTATAAGGTAAGAAAGGTCCATGGATAATTACAAAAAAAGAGGTAGAACAAAAGTGATCCATTCACAGTTCTAAGAGAGAAAAAATTCCCGCGGTTTTAGTGTTAATGCGAGAGGAAACTTAAGCAAATGGAATAGAAATTAGAAGCAATTCTATTCGGTCATACTTTGTGTCAAGATTCTTGTATTTTATACTTTGAGCAAGTATTGTCAAGACGCTATTTTTAATTGCAGAAAGACGGTATAAATCCGTGATAACAGCTCTTGATTCGACTAAACGTTTAAAGACGTATTTGATGAACGTCACAGAAATGCAAATAATGGAATACAAGATTGGGTATACGATTTGCCAGTTCTTATCAAGGAGCATACCTCTCGTCCATCCATGCCGTGCAGAAACCGAGGTATAATAACAGGAACCATCTTGATATAGAAGCCATGCCAGTGGCGGTTTGAAACTCAGTAAACTAAATATTATCCCGACATACCGTGTTGGGCTCTCGAGGAATTCCTGCCGAAAAGACAGGTCGTGACAGACTGATCTGCGCATCGGCATCGCGAGTGTCTGCGTCTCTGAGTGGGCGTATTTGGTGGATTTATCAAAATCCACCCAAATATCGGCTTACAGACCCTATAAGTGATAAGTACTAGGCAAGATAATTTACATAAAAGCACAATGAAAATTATATTGTCGGTTAACGATCACGCTATTTATTATAAATTTCATCTTGATTTTATCTCTACTGCAGATTACTCTTTTTTATCAAAATTTCAATACATATGTAGCTCGTGCGAAATATTCATGTATTAGATATATTTCACTGTTCTTTATAATTATGTTATTCTTATTAAAATTATATATATATATATATATA